CGTCTGGCACCAAGCTATCTATTGATGGCAACACACGATGAAAGTGGTTATGATGTGGTCAGATGGGCAACAGCGCCGAGCTTGAGGGGCAGATAGGACACAGGGAGCATACTATGTCTTGATCTTAAAAGCCTAGAAACGGAACACAGTGAAAGTAATTCGGCTTATGTGCTGTGTTCCTTAAATGATCCTCACTTTCGATCTACTAACTTTTCACTGGAACAACTTTACAAGCTCAAGAAATGCAATGCATTTGGACCCCTGAAATGACGAGAAATAGCATACAGTATGAAGGCATTCAAGTTTAAAGTGGCAATGGTCTTCTGCGCCATTATGTCCTGCCAGTGGAGCATGGTAGGCAGTGAGGGTGACAAATATTCAGCTGGAACGTTATGACTCCACTGATTTCTATATATTAACGATACAATGCACAGCCCTGCACTGACTCGAGCAAATAGCCAACTGCACGCCATCCCAGCTATTCGGTATCTACTCATGTACTCAGAGGCCTCCTCGCTTTGATTAACTCTTATCGCCAACCCAGCAACCTCCATACACAAAACATTGAATTTCCACAAACTTATCTCATGGCAGGGCGTGAACTTTGGCGATAGTCAGCCTTAGTTTCAGGTAGACTTGTCAGTCAATCTATGCTCGGCTTATCCATGGCATAAGCGGATTTCCGCCCCTCAATGGAGCGCTGTAAGCGAGGTGGCATCCGTGGATGGATTTTCGGGATCACTGTTGAGCTTTTTCATTAATTTCCATTAAACAACTCAATCGCTCGCTACCTGAACAAGTCCCTACCCAGGTCTTTGCTGTCAGGCCACCACGATCTGATATGTGATACTATCATGCAGTCACTTCGGTCCTGGATTTGACTTTCTCGTATATTAGTTACTGTGTGACCACAACGCCTCCTAGCTGCTTATTCGTGGCCTCATAAGCCTATTATGACTCCATCACATGGTCAGGGATATCCCCTAACCCATAACCACCATGTTGGGTATTTTATGAGTAACGCCGCGGGATGCGCGCCGTGGCTCCAGACAGCGACTCCTTATTGGTTCTGTTATTTTCTCTGCGGTTTTTGGTCACCTGCGTTGAGAAACGCTTGCCATCCGAACCGGAAATGTAATAGAGTCGGGTTGACGCCAATGCGTGATTTGTTGTCTGTAGAGAGACGTCAGCTGAACAATCCTACCAATGCTACGTTCCTGAATAACATGTAAAATCATTTAAACATAATTATATCCATCCGCTTTCTAGACTTTTGTGTAGTCATCTCATTCTGTCATGGTATACAGTGACCGAATAAGACGAAGTCAACTTCGATGTCGAAGCAGATGAAGACGACAGCACTCCTGAGAGATCATCAAGGGGTCTCTGTTTTGATTATGATTTGCATCCGACATTGTCGACACTACTGCCGTCACTGTGTCTCGGCTACTACGATCTCGGAGTATCCATAGCTTCCACAGTCTAGCACAGCCAGCTGACGCTTCACAGGATTCATATCGTTCTCTTCGTTCACGCGAGAGGTTCGCAGATAGATCTAGAGCATGGCGATGCAGCACCTCATCGTTTGTGGGGTAAGGTGATTCCCTATTCGGAACGAGACAAACCCGGACTGGTAAAAACAACGTGGATTATGCCAAGACTTCCGAAAGCCCTTAGCTACTCGCACTGACTCCATCAGGCGGCGCTTCTCCGCCTTTTGCACCCTTTGGGAACCCATCGACATACGATCAACGACAGGGACCGACGACCATCATGTAGAGGCTCGCTAGCTGACACGTGCTGTAGCATTGAGTCTTGGCACCGGGACCCCAAAGTTCGTGAGCGAAAGGCGGAGGAATAGTGTTTTCAACAAGGTTGGAAAAGCCACCCAGCGCCCATGCCTGAATAACAACGGTATATATTGTCTGTGTGCAGACGTCAAAACTCCGAATCTCCACGTGCATGGTGGGCCAAGGGCTTCGACGCGGTCAGCATACATTCTGCTGTTCGATCGATTTCGCACTTGGAATGGATGACAACACGGTTTAGCATGTCAACTTGGAAGACAGTTGAGTCCCTCCTTTCTTGATGAACCAAGAACAACGGCTGCATATCTGCATTTCACCAAGTGTCATTGCGTTGTTGCCAGAAGGTACAGTGAGGTCGGAGTTTAGATGATTCACAAATAATACAAGTCACTAATACCGGTTTTACTGAGCAGATTAAGGAGAATAGCCAGTAGCAAAGCCACCTTAGCATGTATAGTAGGGTGCCAGAAATCATAGTACATGCATACAGTATACACCTATTCTACTACTTTATAATAAGTTATATTAAGCTAAATAAATACTTTAAAACTAAGAGAAATACTTACTAAATAGCTTACGTAAATCTTTATATATGCTCTAAAAAAGCTTTTGTTTTACTAGTATAATAAAGTAGTAAAGTTAAAAAAAGATATATAGTATCTATTATATTTAAGAGATAATAGACTTATAAAGTAAAAACATAGTATAAACACTATATTTTTCTTAAGAAAAAAGTAAAACACTAAGTCTTACTTACTAATATATAAGTCAAAATCTTTTTAGAAGTAGTATAGTATAGCTATCAGACTAAAGTATTTATATATAATTTTTCTTATTAATTAAGTTTTATACCTAAGACATAGAGATATAGTGTATTCTTTATAGTGTAGTTAAGGTGACACACTGTGAGGTGTACTATGACTTATTGCACCCTACTTTAGAGTAGAAAGTATTTTATATTAATGACCGGGAACCATCTTTGTTAGTAAGAAAGTCACACCGCGTTGTGCGCCGGCAATTTCCGCCTAGCCTTTTCGTACTCTGCCGTAGTGTATTGCAAATCAACACCAGGCCACGGTAGAATTAGTACGAGTGTACTCAAAATCAGACATGCCGTGGCCACAGGGTGCTCGTCTGACGCGGCAATGGGGAACGAGGAGGGAACGATGGCTGCATGCATAGCCAGAGACTCGCGCCCATGCCAGGAAGCGGCACAGAACCCATGAAAGAATAACAAAGCAAGCAAATTACACCCCGTCGGCGCAGCTGCGCATGCCTCCAGACATGACATGGACCAGCCTTGCTCTTGTACGTCAGATAAACAGGCCATTCCGAGTTCCGCACACCGCCTGCGCTCCGGCAGACCAGCTGAGGGGGAGAGAGACAGCTCGTAGTGTTTCTATTGACCTCCAACCATGAAGTTAGGACGCGGAGAAGCCCGAGGAGGAACAAATGGGTATCCAAAGTGTCGAGAGCGTAGCATCAAGTGGGGGGGGGGGGGGGGGGGGGGGGTGGCAGACAAGTCTGTCAGCCGCACACGTGCATGACGGGCACGACAAGCGTAGCCATGGACGGTTGACGACGGCTATTCCTTCGCGGGATTTTGAAACTCGTCCAAGGAGCCCGCGGGCCTCCGCTGTCAGTGATATATGACGTTCTCGTCTCCACCGGGCAATAGCCTTTGCCTGCTCGAACAGGAAGCTCGCGTAGGTGACGTTGCCAGGAAGGACAGAGACAAAAAAAAGGAAAAGAAACAAGGAGTCCGGAGGCGTGAAACACCGAGATACCAACCCGCCAGACCTCGGTTCCATAAGAACAAAAAAGCGTACGCTGGAGGAAACCGGCGCCAGAGGTGGCGTAAGGTCCCCTCCACCGCCGCGCCATGCGCGTCGCTTCCACGGATCGGGGCGTTGCAAGACACTCGAGCTCGCGGAACAGCCCCAGTCCGGGGAGAACGAAAAGAAGAAGAAGAAGAAGAAGAATAAATGTAACGGTGATCCATCGCGCGTCGCGTCGAACCAAAGGTCGGTGAGCGGTACAGCCTCGGCCGGGTGGCCCGAGGCGAAACCCAACGGGCCCGAGGCGAACGACATTCGGACGTCGCCTAGGTCGGGGGGACGAACCATTTGGTCTGGCGTTCTGGATATCTCTGAAACATTCTTTTCTGCTGTTATTCTCCACTTGCGAGAGAGTCCCAAACGGAACCAGCGATCCAGGGGGGAATCGAGACTGTGGCCGTTTTGTTTTGTCTCCTCCAGCTTTGACCCCTTTCTCAACACAGACCATGGTCTGCCCCCTCTTCCCCCCCAAGGCGAACCAGCAAAAAAGCAACAGATAACAACTTGTGTACATATATGCCGTCTGATATAGTTCATCTTTACAGGGTCATCGGGGGTCGTGGTTTCGCACTTTGGATGCCTTATCGTCAGGGGAAAGGGCGTGACGTGGCTCGAGGAGGAGGGGGTTCGCGCGCTGGTGACGAGGCTTACATTCGCTCACCTTCGGCTTTGCCCTGCAGCAGCATAGCGTATAATATCACTCGAGGCTATAGTACCAAAGTGAAAGGGGGGGGGGAACCATTGTCGGATGTAGAGGTCGCGAAGGGTGTTTCGTTTCGGGGCGAGTCGGTCGTAGGGGGTGTGGAATGGCGTCGTTTTGAACTTGGTGACCCTGTGCCTATGCCTGCGCGTACGCGCAAAACAGAACGTCAGCCTCGGTTTTCAGCTGGCAAAACGAAGAAAGAAAACTCGGCCGATTAAAACATCTCCCGGCTTTTGGACGTCTCAAGATATCAAATCAGGGAAGGGGGGGGGGGGGGGGGGGGGGTTGTCTGTAAAGTTGTTCCGTTTTTCCAAAGGAAAGGGGCCAAGAGACCGAAGCCAAATACCATGATGGTCCGGAAAAGCCAGCCTTCTCTCTTGCGTAGATCAAATCAAGCGGTCCCAGTCTCTAGGTATAGCACCGGAAGCAGAGGACTACAGCTTGTTGTTGTTGTCGTTGTCGCAGTTGCTGTTATTGTTATATTCAACGTCGAACTTGCCAGCCACGCTATTTGGGTTCGCTTGTATATCGAAACGGACTGCGAATGCGTGGACTTTCAGAGATCATCCAAGCGACTGCCGCCGTTTCCTCTTCCGCACAAAGCACGGCATTAGGATGAAGATAGAATGAAATTGAAAATGCAATTGCAAACAAACAAAATGGTTTACAAGTCGTCGTCGGGACTGCCCGCCTTGGATGTTTTCTCGATCCGGAAGGGCCGCAAAGAAGAAGCCTCCAAGACGATCGCAATACGCGCGGCAAGTTCCGAAGTTTCGAGGCCCTTCACTCCTTTCGAAACCTCCCCACGGCCGTCTGTCTTGCTTAACAAAGAGGGAGGAAAGAGGGGGCGGGCCTGACGGGATTAATAGCAACCTCTAGATCTTAATTATCTCTTTGGCAGTATCGGACAGCCATACTCGTTCGTATCGCTTGAACCTGTAGATATTACGGGCATGAGGAGGATGAGGAGGAGGAGGAGGAGGAGGAGGAGGAGGAGAGGTCGTAGGCATCGTCTTCGTCTTTCGTTTCGCGAGCTCCGTGTGTTTTCGACTAGTTATCCATCAGTTGCGGGCTTTTTGCCAAACTACGCAACTCTGTTCACAACGCGGAGTGGTAACCCTAGACACGTCCATTCTTTAACCTTCTCTTTCAACCTCCCTGTATCCCCCCCTCCCGTGTTATCCTATATTGCCATGTATGTATCGTCTCGGCTCGGATCGCTTCGCGGTCTTGCTCCGTTCTCTCCCTGTCTGAACGTCGTTCTTTCGTCCGTTGTCCTGGGCTCTGTCGTCTTGTCTGCAGCCGGCGTCGTCCGAAACCCCGTCTGGAGTTGCCATCGTGTGTCCGTCCCTCTTTACAGGTATGATCGACGTAAGAGTTGCAAAGTTCCCGAGTGCGTTGTCGAAGCTACTGCCGTTGTTCAGAGCCTTTTTCGAAACGGGCAGATGGCGATCTACCAGTTGGGTTCTTCCCTCGAAACTCGCAACATGACGTGTCGGGCTCGCTCTGGACGGTCTCAAAATCACAGTAGAAGTGCCAGGCGAAAAGAAAACGGGAGATGGACTCTCTGGACCATATGTATACTTTAAACTCTCTCGATTTAGACTCTTGCCACTAGCAACGGCCACCATAAAGACAAAGACTATGGTTCTTCAATTGCATTGCCGTCCCCCACTGCCCAACATGTTGACATGTCTGGCGCCTCTCACCCTCCTTCAGCCACTCGGGGTTTAGCACGAACGATCAACCAGCTTTAGGCATTGCTCGACCCACGGTAGCGACCTACACGCAACCAAGAACCCAAATCCAAGCGCCCCGAAAGGGTTTTGTGATTCCTGACAGAACCAAGAGCCAGCAAAGGTGCTTCTACGGCTCTGGCGAGACGGTCCTCATGGTGTCCCGCCCTCACGCTTACCATCTTTACAATAGAGGGTGTCCCAGGCATGGTACAGACTCATTCGAGTGTTCTCGACGCACAGCATGCGTGGCGGCTCCAGCTTCGGCTTCTCGGAGGGATGCGTTCGTGGCAGAATGATATGGGCCTGCCTGTGCACCGCCACTGTCCTTCAGACTCAAGTCAGCTTCCTGGGAGAGGGGGGGGGGGGTCCCTCATCACATTGACCATCTATCTATTCGTATCTGTCTGTATGACGAAGGTGCTTTCATCTGATGAGTTGACTGCTGTTCCCCATCTGTCCCATCTTCATCGTACCGCCAACGTTACAGTTGAAGAGGATATCCATCAGCCCATTTTCTTGCGGGGAGGGGGGTGTAAGGTTACCTAGGCTGCCGGCTTTTGCCCCTTCCCAACATGGTCTCCCCTGGAAAAGCAAATGATCTAGACAGTTTACGAAACTCCCTGCATATTCGAGAGACGACCAACACGGCCGAGTGGGAACGTGTTGAATAGATACACGCATTGGAGCATTCCTATCCAAAGTAAGCGGCCGACCCCCCCTGACGGCATGACAGCATGGCATAACTTTATGCAAAGCGAGAAAAGTGCGCCCGTACTGAAGCAGCGCCGGTGTAAGCTCCTCCGCCACATGAACAGGTGGCGGGCGAACGAACAGTCAAACGCGCGCTGGCAGAGTCTGCCGGAACCATGGCCCTTCTTGCCGCCCTCTGAAGGAGTCAACCATTGATTCCTATGTTGCTATTGCCAGTCCCGAACCTCGAATAGCCGGCAACGCATATACTCACTCCCGTGGAAGATCCTCCCGCGGATTAACGCTATGACTCGAAGGGGACAACGGGTTGATCGCCATGATGAATCCTACTTCCCCGCATGGTGTACAGACTTGGCCTTGCACGCCTCGGTTCACACGATGCTAAGCCTCTGTGAAAATTTCATAAGGCGGGAGGACCACCACGACCCAAACTCGATACCTTGCTCTGTCTGGGCAATTCGCGTATGATTCCCCACCGTAGCCGAGACAATGACACCGCTCGCTTCCTGACTACGCGGGCAATGACATGGGAGCGCTAAGATTGTTGGCACATTAATGATGTGTTGGGCCACCGAGTCTCGGCACGATGTAACCGCGATTGGACGAACCGCCGCAAAAATGCGACAGCCCCTTCCAGAGTGGAATGGATGCTCAAATCAACTTGGCTGAGAGTCCAAAAGATGATACGTCTCGTCCCACCAACGACCGGCAATGACAACGTTTGAGCAAAAGAACAAAGAAAATAAATAAAAAAAACTCCAGATCTGTGGTGGATTGAGACTCCAGAGTAGGCCAACGGTTATCGAAACGAAACAAATAAATCTCCGAGTCCCATCCATTAGTGGGATTTGTCGAAGAAGATCCGGCAGACTCGGATTTGCAGTGTATAGAGGATTACTCAACAAGGCTGGAAGTCACCACCACATCGCTTGCAGAATCGATCAATGGGGGCGATGGCCGCGCTGGGGATCATTGATGATGGTGGGTATGCCGTGCGGATGGCCTGTAGGCGAAGCATCATGTCAAGGTGCATGGATATGGGGTCTGGGGGATGCACGCCGCGAGGGAGGCGATTCCCTGCGATGCAATAGTTTCCAGGCATTCTGTCTTGGAAGTCGAACAAAGAAACCTGGGAAGGTCAAGGGGTGTTTGGCAATATTGGGTGCGGTGTTTAACGCCTGTCCAGGATGGCCTGGGTAACTGCGGACATGACATTGGCAGGATTGTCTGAACAGGGCATCCGCGCATCAGTCAGCCGGGGAGGGGAGACAACTGGTGGAGATCCACGTCCCGCCCGACGTGCCGCTGTCAAAGCAAGGATAGTCCCTGAGAATGGTCGTGACTTATTGAACAACTTTAGCCTCCGAGGTCAAGTTGCCTTTGTTCTTGGTGAGAGGGATGGGGAAACTCGGGAACAGTGCCAAAAAGGCGTGAGCAATTTCGAGGCGGGTTGCAAGGCCGGTCGCGAGATTGATGTAGTTGACAGTTGTTGTGGGCATACACGATCGAACATGATGCATGTGCAGTATGCACGCACGCTTGACACCGGTCGACCGAGTCCGGGGTTGCAGCAGCGGCCGCACTAAGTAGCTTGTAAGATGGCCGTCTCGACGCCAGGTTGTATCCAATGGTATTGGTCAAGGACACCAAAGGTATGTTCATCTTGTGGTGAAAGATAACCAGCCTTATTAGAGAGACGACGAGAATCATTCGCTCTGTCGAAGGGGGGGGGGGGGGGGCGCTGGAGAAAGTCGGGGCCCTCTGTGAGTGGTGTGCACAACATCATCTGCTTCGCCGTATGCATTCCGCATTGAGTGCATGTCTGGTTTGACCATTCGTCTGGACGTCCTGGCGTACCGTCGCCATCTGTCCAAGCGATAATATATCGAGCCAATGGGCTCGGACACAATCCACCATTGGATATCGACCTCTGCTGAGTGGTGCCCTTGCTGTATAGTTCGTTCTCGAGTCCTCAAAGGCCTCCGACAGACAGCGCTATAAGCTCTGCTGGAGAAATTGTCATCCGCATCGTGAGGCAACGAGTTGGCGACGGATCGACTCGGGAGACCAAAATAGCCAAAACGACCATGGGCACTTATGCATGAAACATGGGGCACGCATAAGCACAATAGCGACAGGGGGGGCCTCAGGAGTCTCGAACAGCGTAGTGGCTTGGGTTCGGAGATTCGACCCCATTGGCAACTGTGTCGGTAAGTGAGCAGCACCTTTTCTTGTAGGCGAGCGCTTGAACGGGAGACTTGGAACCCATCCAGCAGCCTTTGCGCGAGCTCGCGGTCTCTCCTGGGTCTCTGCCTGTCTCTCACTCTCTCTGTTTGGTCTCCTCCAAACTGATGAGCTCCGGTAGACAATTTCGCACGACCCAGCTCTCATTTCCCCGTCCCTCCTGTCAGGCGGCTCGTAACATTGAAGCCTGCCGACGGTCGAAAGGTCATCATCTCAGTCTAGGGCGAGGGCTCTAGAAACGGTAGAACGTCCGGTACTGCCCCAGGCTATCCATCCGTTGCGGCCGGAGGATTTGCCGGCAAGGTTGGACCGACCACCATGTACGAATATCCAGCGTTGGCTAGCCGTAAGCGACGTTCTGACGTGACATTGGGGGTCGCATTGCTGCTCATCGTGTTGATGGCGGATGACAGGCTCCAGGATGTCGTCAGCGGACCCTGTGACAGGCGCCCGATGTCCCTGATTGACAGGGCGAGCTGGCCCTTCTGTAGCGGATGGTCTACGACTCGTGAGATGGGTCCCCCAGTGGCCGGACGTCGAATCGCCTAGGCGAAACCTTAGAAACGAGATTGAGTTTGCCAGGAAGCCTCCTCGTCTTGCGCAACGAATCACAGGCTTGCGTCGCATACGATGTACAGCATCATCCGCTGGCTAGGCGCGCTGGCATTTTTCTCTCGCTACTGAGTAACGGTCACTCAGCTATCGTTACAGACCGAGTCAGGAAAGGGAATCCCCATGAGTCAAAGTCGTCTAAATAAAGTTGAGCCCATTGGTTCCTGCAGACGCTCGGTTGACTTCGGACACAATTCGGCTGCTGGTACGGTTTTTTCTTCTTCTTTTTTTCCCCTTTCTTTCTTTTTTCTTTCTTGCCGTTTGAAGCTGTACGGGAATTTGAAGACAATAAAGGGTTGGGGGTATATCGAGAAATCGAAGTTGCCGACAGCTCGATCCACGTCCCTAGAGTTTCTGCGAGGCAAGAAATCTAAGATGTTGGCGCGAAGCACGGTCTACGCCCTTCCCGCTGTCGCACGCCAAGTTGACGCCATGGGACCGATTGTGAGTGATGGCTGGCTTGAAATGAGACTGTGGGTCAGGGATGCGCGGACAACACGCCGAAGCAAGTCTTGTGAGCAGGCCATCGGCGGCTGAAATGCCTGTATTCATCCCTACCTGCCGCCCGGGTAAAGGGTCTTTTGAAAGACCCAGGCCGGGGTTTGCGGTACATGAATGCGAGTGCCGGCCAATAAAAGCGATATCCGGCCCAAACGCCACAGCTGTCAACCACGCATGAAGAATGGTCCGGTATTAGCGAGTCGAAAACGGGGGTAGACGCCACAATCCCGCTCGCCTCTGGAGTCTCGGGTTAGCCTCACAACCAACAGTACATGTTTGGGTAGTCGAAGGCGCATTCATCCTTGGATGGCAGGGTGCTGCCGTTATCCGTAAGACGTTGATAGCTAAGAGCCGTCTGGCTGCCTGACACAAACAAGACTCGAGGGGCCCGACGGCGGCAGACACTGCGCCTGTCGACGGAGGCGTAATAGTAAGGATCGTTGTGCCTGTGACGTATCCATACGCCTGATGCGTCTCGAAAGTGAGCCGAACAACCCAATCGGCTATCTAACTTTGGGGTCGAGACAGCAGTCAAGCCGATTCCCATGTGAAAGACGTGGGTGGGTACGACACGTCCTCGTGGAAGGTAATGGGACCATGAGCGGCGGCAAAGACAACGGTTCGCTAAAGGTCTTGCGACAAGTGTCTTTCCTTCTCGTGGGATGACACTGAAACGACCATCTGAAGGGCTAGACTCGTAGAGCCCTGGATCGAGGACAGGCGAGACGTTGGCGCGGCCGCTTTGCTCTGATTTCAGGCTTGGTGGTGGAGCGAAGACAAAGATTTAGGCCCGAGTGCACAACGCCAACATGGTGTCATACCTACAGGGACGCTATCTGCCGCCGTTGCATCCGTCTCACGTCATGATGAAGAGGGTTCGTAGGGTGCCACCCTTCCAAGGCAGTTTTCAACAGAAAGGTCTTGGGTTGAAAGAAGCCTAATGGAATATTCCGGCGGCTGAGGATACGAAGTGCTCGGCCGAGCAGCTTTGCCGACGCGTTTACTGTCGCTGATTTGTTGCAAGAACTTTTCTTGGGTAAGGCCCGCGATCCTGCAGGGGGGGAGGTTTCATGATATTCCAGAAGCTTGCCAACAAAGCCTTCGTCGTCAAAGTGTCGTCGCATAGGCAGGCCAGTGAAAATCTGGGGGATGATGCCATCCCGTCGGCTGTGGAGGAAGACGTGCAGGGGGTTACTGGAAAAGAGAAACAGCGGTGCGTAGCTGCTCAACTTCTAAAAGGCTCACTCAGGATGAATTCCAGGCGAAGGGGAAACATTGGCCTACATCGCACTTGGTTTGGAGGCCGCGATGGCCTTGTCATGCAGTCAGAAGCATGGCAGCGGACGCAGTGCAGCGCCTCCTCCTCGGACTTTGGTGCGGCGCAATCCTGGCCTGTTTTTGTTGTTTTTTTTCTTCGTTTTTTTCTTCCTTTCTTTTTGAGGGGGGAGGAGAAGAGGGTGGGTAGGTGAATAGACAGGGTCTTTGGGTGGGTAGAAACACAGGACGGATCTCCGAGGCCGCACAGCCTTGCGGCTCCCGTTTGAAGGGGTGCATGTCGGATTCGAGTGGATGCTGGCTTGTCAAAAACCTTCTTTGGCGAGCAGTGAGGTCCTGGTTGACCACTTTCGTCTCCTTCAGTCGATATTGGATAGCCACTACGGGCATCTATTGGTTCTTCGACGCGCCTTCGTGCCATGGAGGCTGCGGCCCCGCAGCGCCGGCATGCACCACATCGTTTGGCCATCAGGAACAATTGTGTACCTATGTAACTTGCGTGAATAGGCAAGGGGGGTTCCACAACGGCGGCAGAAGATACCGAAACGAGCAGGTCTTGGTGGACGGTAGGAACGAAGAATAAAATGACGACGACGAGAGACTCGGTGCCCCCACGCAGAGGCATAATAGTCGAGGAAATCCAGAGCGCGTGCTCCGCCATGAGCACGGGGGCGACTCCCGAAGGGAACAGGTCGGATATTGCCGGGAAGCTCACCCAACATCAGTGTCTTTCTGGATCAGCCACGATTGGCAATCGAGCGTTGGGTTCTGATGGTCTCAAAGGGTGTTAGTCAGCAGGCATTATGGTGGAGGCGTATCATCCGGGAGGGAACCAGGCCCAGAGGGCGAACGACTGACCTGCTCTAACACAGTCGGACAAGCGGAAACGCCCGGGAGGAAGAGGACGAAGAGGAGGAGGAGGAGGAGGACCGGCAGCAGGTTAGAGACGGAGGACGGTGCAGTGCTGGGAGGCCTGGAGCGGGGCATACGATGATACAATGCCGTTGTACATCTTTGAAGGTGCGAATGAATGAGTGGGATATTGTTCCCTGATGGTAAATCTCGTTATATGGAGAGAGAGAGAGAGAGAGAGAGAGAGCAAGCGAGCGTCATAGTGTGTACAGTACACCATTAAGCAGGTAGGCACTTGCGCGGGCAGGAAGGACCGACTTGATGCTAGCCGAATAGGAGAGTGAACCGGCTACGGTAGGTAGGTAGATAGATACACTCCTACACGAGGAAGGTACATTCCTTCCATCGCCGGTACACAAACAGCTGCCGTACCTGTCTGTCTGTCCACTAGTCCAGTACGAGGTGGGGGCTCACGAGCATATAGGTACGTACCTTATCTTGACTCGGCCGAAACAGGCCCCCAACATCGGGGCTTCCTTCCTCGCCAACCATGTCGTCCTTTCTGTATGGGGTGTATTAAGGCATTCAAGGCAGGTAACTTTGGAAAGCAATGGAAGGCGAACAAAGCGTCCGGCAGTTGTGGCAGGACGATGGTCGGCAGAGCAGCAGGCACCATTTGCCGAAAATCGACGGAGGAGGAAGGAGGAAAGGAGCCCATGCCAATCAATACTGAGTCAACGACACTCCATCTCCAACAGTTGGTCGCGAGCAGCGCGGGCTGCCACTGGGAAATGAAAAAAAAAAAAAAAAAAAAAGCAAAGAATGGAGCTGTTTCTCGTTTTGGACGGACGGGAGACGATGGGACCTGCTGCTGCTACTGCTGCTGCTGCTGCTGCCGCTGCCGGTTGTAAGCGATGTTGCAGACTTTGAAAATTTGCGGGCGACTGCTCTGACCGTTTGTTTGTCGCTACGCATTGTAACATGACCCGCGAAAAAGGAGCCCAGGTCGTTCGTTCGTCGGAGCTCAGGGAACCAGAATAGAGAACAGAGCAGGAGCAAAGCGCGAGAACGGAACAGACCACAAACCCCGTAATTACATCCGCGAGTAGGCATCTCGTCCGTCCCATCTCCATAAGACACTTTCCGAGTTGTGACGGCGGCTTGCCTTGGCGGCCCTGGAACAGTGCAAGAAACATCATGGAGAAAAAGCAAGGTCATCTCTCTCTCTCTCTCTCTCTCTCTCCCTCTCCCTGTCGTTGTCGTCGTCGCCAACTGGGCTGTTGGGGCGGATCCCTTTTGCCACAGATGGATACGTACCGCTGTAAGGCAAAAGTGGTTAACACCCCGGTCTCTTGCAGACCCAACCTACCTACAGTACCTTACGAATATCTGGGTACTTACCAAGGCAGGTAAGTAGTGGACGCACTAGTGCAAACCACACCTCGAGGATGATGGCTGACAGTTGCCCGCTTAGCCATCTTCGGAACCTCGAGACCCTCGAAGATAGCGCTGGGAAACCGTTTTCTGCCATGACCCAGACACTACTAGACTAGTCTAGTCTGATCTCTGTGCGTGCTAGTACACATATTGGCCTTCAGGGCATCGAATCGCAGCCAGGGAGGATCCTTGGGACCGCGGTAACTAAACAGGAAGCACAGACGATGGCCAGATCGACGATACTGTCTGTTTGTCGGTCTGTCTGGCTGGCTGGCTGGCTGTCTGTTCCCTCCGTCTCTGCAAGCAAACGACTTCACCTTACCGCGCTGGGTAGTTACCAGCCTACCACTCGGTATGGGAAAATAAGCTATCTCACGGCGCTTGACCGGCGTGTCTCCAAATTGCAGCCCCGGGGTGGGGACCGCTCGGAGTTGGCCGAGGCAAAGCGCGTCGTGCTGTTTACATGCGCGTAATTTGTCGCCAGGCCGCCCCCCTCGGCAGATCTTTTTGTATGCCGCAAGAGGCAGTCAGGCCGGCAGGAGCCAACCGTCCTCTCCCTCTTTGGAGTAAACCGACGCGTCATTCCAAGGCGATTCCAACGGCCGTCCAAGCTTGTGTCTCAGAAGCTTCCATTCATGCCTGGGTGCCTTCCTTCCTTCACTTCTTCTCTGCGCCCCGTACAGACGCGAAAGTGGGGACATCGCCTTCCGGACCGGGCACGGCACTGGGGACGAGGCCATTGTGGCAAGGGTCAGGGATTTCGAGAACATTGATCCCTGTCAATGTGGACGGGTGTGTGTGTGTGGCTGATGGCATTGCCTGTCTCTGGTCGCTTGTTTACCTGTCAGTGAACAGGGGTGGGGGGGGGGAGGGGGTGGTACGATGTATACTAGGTCGGAAGGAGAGGAAAGGGAGGGGCGAGCGACAGAGGGGGGAGGGGCGGGATTACACTACGTAGGTAGGTAGGTAGCACGGAGGTAGCTTATAAGCAGTGCAGTGAATGTACGATGGATGTATACCATATCATTATGCTATATCGTTATGGAAGTGGATGATGTCGGGGAGAGAGGTGATGAGCAGTCAGGGCCAGGCATGAAAGACGTAGGGAAGGGGGAGCCAATCAACCCAAATATGAATGACCGAGGCTGGTCCATCGCTTCTCCAAAGAAGGCCAAAGCACAGAGACTCGCAGCACCATCAGTCGGGTTGATGGTCGAAAACGGAAAGATGTGAGTCTCTTGGTATGTCGATTGCACCGGGGAGAATGTCATAAAACCGGGTTGCGTTACCTGCCGTTACTTGAGTACGTTTGGCGCATGTCAGAATGGCCGAATCGAATACCGGATAGAGATAGCTGCTATCGCATGGGCAAGGCCCGAACTGAGGGTCGGCGGGGGACCATGAAACTGTGGACAGGCATGAAGGGGGGTGAAAAAAGAAAAGAAAAAATAACAGAAGAAGAAGAAGCAGAGGCAACGAAAATGTGAGGTTATACAATGGGTGGGGTCAGGGTTGGATCCAATGCTGCCAGATGCAACAATTCCTAATGCCAAATGGCATAATAGTAGATGGCATTAATGGGCTTTAACGTGTAGTATAGCTAGCTTACTCTGCACAAGGCAAGGAAAAAAAAAGCCCAAGCAGGGTAGCTATGCAGTCTAGCTCGCCCCGGTGACAGGGGTGCTTCTTTACTTCCCCCCCCCCCTCAGATGATGCAAGGCGAATCACCAGCAACGCAGAGAGAGACGATGTTTGTATGCAGGCCCTGCCACCTGGAAGCCTGTGGAGGCCTACCTTACGCCCCCCCCTCACACACCAAATCTTTCTCTCACTCTCTGCTGCCCCTTCGCTGCCCCGTCTGCCTTGGCTCATCTTAGCTCGATTTCAGACGGGCAGAACAGGGCAACGACGTTAGAGAGACGAGAGACAAGACGCCATGACCTGCGACTGTGCGTGCATGTACCTTTGCACAGCATACCTAGTAAGCGTGTCGGTACCTTTTCGACACCACCACCGCAGAAGGACGGACCGCCATCTTTCCCAATGGAGAGCCATTCCCCTTCTCTCTCTTCCCTCGTCCACTCTCTTTCCCCGTTCTCTGTCGTGAGTCCTTGCCGATTTTCGAGCTGTTGCCATGGCGGCCCGTCCTTATTTCATCGGATCTGCCTGCTTCGAGGAACGGCACGAGAAAGGTAGATAATATCCGTACCTGTGTGCATATCGCGTCCAGCGGGGGGGCGGAGGACAAACGTACCGTGGGAGCGACGATACGTACTGCCTACCTTACCTCCTTCCTCACAAAACCCTTAGTACCTCGTCCTCACGTACCTACCTACCTTAGGCACCTAGGTACTTAGGTAACTATATACTTAGGTACCTACTCCCCCTCTATTTCGTGCGCTACTTTCCCCGATGTATCATGTAGCCCCCACTCCAGATGCAGCCACAGTTCCCGTTGCCATCGAATCGACTGCCCAGTGCTGACTGAAAGGGAAAGAAGTACCTACAATAGACAGACAGGTGTACCGGTACCTTACTTGTCTCTGACCGTTGCCTATCTCCACTCATGCCTTCGGTATGTACAGATATCCCCTTTCCCATTTCTTTTTCGCGGCAAGCACCCGGCTCGATCCATCCGAACGCGCTCTTTCCCGAATTATCCACTTTGCTATGTTCGGCAGGGCGGGCCTTACTTGTTTCAAGGTACCTGCCCCTCACGTCGTCTCTTCCTTAATTGGCATTATAGCACAATCGGGTCGACATACATAGTACAGTACCTGGCTGGCGTGCTGTCGGTCAGGAACGACCCAACGTAGCGTAGCTGTAACGTGATATCAGATGAACAAACGACTCTCTCCCGCATACTGCATACTCACTCTTTTTCCTTGTAGCAGGTAGTGTACTCCCCATTCTTCTCCTACTCCTCCTCCTCCACCATCACCATCACCACCCTCACGGTTTGAAGCCGGCATCCACTTCATTCCGTCCTCTACCGATCCGCATTTTCTCCATTCTCTTTATCATCTCTCTTACTCACTCTCTATCTCTTTTTTCCCCCTTTCAATCACGCTTTGTGCATTATATACCAAGGGTACCCCCTGCGCCACATATCGCAATAATTTCGCTTTTTCGATTTGCCGTCCCTGGCATAACCTTACACAGACAGTCTCCACCTCGAACAACCTACTCGATGCCTACACAATGGCGAAGGGGCTTCGAGTGCTCCGGTCAGAGGCTCTATCTCCCTCCATCTGAGCACGAACTACTACGCACGGCATCAACCTTGGGTCTTATCAGCCGGCGGCGTGCCGGTCGTTTGGGCTCGTCCGCTTCTTATCCATCGTCGTCTGTTCCTACCATCGATACCGTCCAATGCATGAATGCACGGAGCGTTTGAGAGTCCGCTCATTGATTAACCACTCTCTTGGGACGAATTTCCTCCGTACAAGTCCCTTCATATAGTTAGGACGGTAAGTACTCTGCAAACCAAAAGCGGCAAGCGGCTAGCGAACCCGGACGAACTGCTTCCCGACCTACCAAACACTTTCGGTCGTCGGCTCTGCGTCGAGCAACGACAAAAGGGGACGGACGGGCGGACGTCTAGACCACCCACCACCACCATCAGCGTCAATCACTCGGTGTTGTACGTCCCTGTCCCGCCTGCCCGCGTCTATCTTCACCACACCGCGCGCGCGCGCCCCGGTCCTTCCAACTTGGCTTCGTTGACCGCCGCCCCTAACCCACGTCACTTTCACTGGTCGGTCGCTTCTTGCCGAGCGTTGCCAACTGAGCACCCCCAAACAGGACCAGCCAGGGATGACGGCTCCGCCAGAAGACTCGGACCTCTGACAGCACAGCACAGACCAGAGCAACACAGGGATTTACCCTTCTCCGTTCTTTCTCTTGTTACTCCGTACTTTGTACCTACCACGATGTACCTGTGCCGCCCCACCGGCAGAGACTCCCCTCCGGGGCGCGGGCCTGGGCCGCACCCACTCGAATATTTGGCATATTGTATCCTGATGCATCAAAACATCCTCTCCAAGCCCAGCACAACCCATGGCAAATCGAACCATCAACGGCTTGTTGTCTTCCCCGAGAGTATCCCCCCCTCATTTTGCCTTGGCGCACCCGAACCTCGTCCATAACACAGTCATGGCCGTCTCTTCTCGGTATACACCTTCCGGCATAGATACATGGGCCTGTGGTGCATCCTCATGGCCAATTTTATCGCGGTCAAATTCCCCGATACCTAATCTGAGGCCCCCCTCGAAGGAGTTCGTGGGCTCGGCACCACCACCTTATCCTACCTTGCCACGCTCCCTGCCCCGATGATGTATCTGTACACTACCTGGGCCCCTCTTCTCCTCTCTCTTTCTCTCTCTCTCTCTCTCTCTCTCCCTCTCTCTCTCTGTCTCTCAGTGGCAGGCATCTTGGTCCACTATCGTAGCAGGATACATTGACAAAGTACTCCAGGTTCTCGACTCTTTGCTTTACTCCGGCCACCCCCGGCCCCATAACATTCAGAGCTTCCTGCCCTTTCTCTTGTTAGCACCCTCCTCCCCCTTCCCCTCGAAGTATCGAGTTCGCTTCCATCTCCTCCAAGTGTCCCCATTCTTCACCGCACGCCCCCTCATGCCACTGAACCCCTGAGCCGTCTCTTTCCCCTTAAGGTACTCGGCGCGCGCCTTTTGAATTTGGACGACAGCTCGAGTGCCAACATCAGCCGAGAGCTCACCATATATCAACATCGTCACTTTATCAACAAACGTCCCCCCCCCATCCGTCATCCGCCCTTCACCTCGACCACTTCATGCCGACCTTGCTCTTGGCCCATCCGCCACCCTACGCCCACACGATCCTCTCGGCCCCGTCACTTCTGAACAAGAGCCATCCCAGTGACGCATACAGACCCCGATACTCTCCACGCATACCTCGCTGTGCTCCCACTGCGAGACCCAAGTCCCATTCCTCGAGGCTTTAGATTCTACCACACGCGTTGGTGTCGGTGCTCAGGTACCGCTGTAAGCCTGGGTCGAGAGGTACTGGCCACTCATCCCACAGGTAGGATGACCCTGCCCTGCCTATACACACGCCGGTACCAGTAACATGGTGTGCGTGTGGGTACACTTGGTATGCACAGGAAATGGCCATCGTTGCTGACCACTCAGGGATTAGGAAGACTCGCTCGCACCCAGATATACTGACAGGCGCTGCCACTGCCGTTGCCTCCCGTCCTCCTTGCTCTCTTTCTCTCTCTCTCTCCCTCTGCCCCTCCATACAGGAACAGCTGCCCGATTCGCCTCCCCTGTTGCTGTCTTGCGTCCCACTCGGAAAGATCTACGCCTGGCACTTCCGGTTTCCATCTCGTGGCAGGGGTCCTACTGTCAACCACTTCCTCGCATTAAATCTCCTCCTCCCACCAGTCACACTTCCTTCATCACCTCAAGTTGTCGTCTGACAAGACATTTTCGATCTACTGCATCCGGCCATCGACACCTTGACGGACTTTGTCATCCATACACTTCACGTTGATGCCGCACTATAATTCTTTTCTTTTCTTTGGCACACAAGCCATCTATTGACTATCGCCCGTGCTGCCTAGCCCAGCCCCTTGGTCCCCTTGCGGTCTTTACATCTCGACAATCATCAAACGTCACGGAACAGCCGACTGGTCACCTTTACGGACATCACATTGTTCGAGCCCTTTCTGGTATTTGAAAAAAAAAAATACTCTTCGTCAGTTCTAGGTGGAGGAACCTAGCTGCCCCAGCAAGCCAACCGCACGCAGTCTTGACGCCTCGGATTCTTTGGTCGTCCAACAAGACAATAAACTTAATAACACACTGTTTCTCCGATACCTGGGCTCGCTACTTTTTCTTCCCAACCTCAGCCAAGCAGCTATATATGCTGGGCCTCTAATAGAATTCCCTTTCCACGGTCTTTCGCTTCTCGGCAAACCTTTCAGCACGCCAGTTTCTTACAAGGCCCAATTGGCACATCCATCAGCACCCACCAGTTTGTTACAAGACCCAATACATCAATGTCTTACTCTCACAATCATCTCGGGGGCTCGCTCCCGACGCAACAGCGGTACGTGTCTCGGACAGAAGAACGCCGCCCACCGTCACGACTGATACTAACGGGCGACAGTTTCCCAACGAGCCACAGTGGCATCTCTCTGACCGTCGTTCAAGGGCCAACCAACGCAAAGGTGGCCACCGGAAAAGAAAAGGGTCCGTATCTTGCCAGCTCGGGAGTTGCTTCGTAGGCTAATATCCGTCAACAGACCGCAAACCGATCGATCCGCCTCCCATTGTCAGGCTCAATGTTGAACCAAGGAACTTTGACCGCAACTTTTATGGCAATCCCGACAACTGTCTCTTTAGTGAGTAGTCTGTTCTCGTCAACATATTGTCGCATTCGCGCTGACTTTGGTCCAGATCCCTTCTGGATTATGTACGTCTACCTGATCAACGCCGACCGAGACAGCAAGCAAGATCCCGAGGTGGCCAGAAAAGCACTAGTTGGCACGACTTGTTCCTCCTTACACAAGTTCAAGGACCCCAATAGTCATGATGCCGGCTACTTTGTGTTTGGGGATCTCTCGGTCAAGTACGAAGGGTGCTTCAAGTTGCAGTTTGTCCTGTACGAGATGCGAAGAACGGAAGTTGTTATGTGCACGACTGCTACTTCGTCAGCTTTTCAGGTGCACACTCAAAGAACGTTTCCAGGAATGGCCGAGTCAACCTACCTGACCCGCCATCTCAGTGACCAAGGATGTCGGCTGCGTCTTAGAAAAGATTCCCGCCAGGCCACAAACCGGAAGCGCCAACTCACGTTCAGCCTAGAGGCGGAGCGTGCCCGTACGACCGGCCCATCGCCCAAGCGGCATCGCGGAGATGGCTCTGGCGACGCGCTTCATGACGGGATCCAGACTCACACAGGTTTGCAGACCAGCTCGGCAGGCAGCGGCGGATACGTGGGAGGATTCGCTCAGCACCAGTACCAGAGCCCGTACCAGAGCTCCAGGCAGCTCAGCAGCAGCAGACAAATGAGCAGAAACAGACCGGCTCCCCCGGCCATGGCCGTGACGCCCAACTACACGACGGCCCCGCTCCTCTCGAGCTATACGACAGCGCCCATCGCACCAAACTTCACGACGGCTTCTATGGGGTCGACCCTGCCAGCGACGTCCATGGGGACACAGTCAATGGGTCAATGGCCAGCCACACCGTCGTCAGGCCTGTCAGCCGCTGCTTCGTTGCCCTCTGCTTCGCCCACTCAGAGCCCCCCTGATATGGTTCACCCCAACTCTTATTACCGCCTCGACTCCTCTCTTATTTTTACTGGGGATACTTCGACGTACGAGGGTGAAGACGCACTGCCGGACGAAATCTTTACAAGAGACTACCCGAAGGATAGTTTCTGGGCCATGACGGAAGAGCGGAGAAGGGCCGGCCACGGAACGGGCAATATTGGCGCCTAGGGAGGCACAATGCCGAGACCAGGTTTTCGACAAGCATCATATCAAAGGCGGTTTCGAGCAGACTAATGAAGGCTTTTTTTCTCTTTTCCCTTCTTCTCTTGTTTATCTTTTTTTACTCTTTTTCCGGCGGCATTCGCTTGAGTGTACAAGAATCAAAGTGGGCGAGTTTGCGGTGGCATCGGACAGGGCGGGCATACCCTCTGATTAGTGTTTCTTGAGCCAGAAAAAAAAAAACGGCGTTGGTGGTTTCAAAGCTTCGGCAAAGGATATATACCCTTGGGGTCTTTTCACTGGAGAATACACGGCAGCACACCGGCGCAGTGGGAGCATGGAGGCAAGCGCGAGGTTGAGACACCTGGTATCGTTCTGGTATCGTTTTGATAGCCAACATTGCCAACGGTGTTGGTTATTCTTTTTTTTTTTTTTTGTGAGAAAAGATACATAAAAGAAATTACCCTATGTCATATTGGGAAGAAGGCATGGGCCCCTTAATCTGCACGTGAAGTGATATCAAATGGGCCGAAGGGCATCTAGTGTAACTGAAACCTGTGGCTTAGAGCGCAGCATACAGAAATGGATGGAGGGATGGATGTAGTCACGGCCGCGGGCAACGGCTTTTCTCTCCGTCTCTCTCTCTCTCTCTCTCTCTCTCTCTCTCTCTCTCTCTCAGTCTCTCAGTCTTGCTTGACTCGATGATTTCTGTACGGTGAGGGCCCCTGCGGGACTGCAACCGAGTGCTTTTCGACCCTGACTGCGGTCAGTGTCTTGTTGTCCCTACGCAGGCTGATGCTACTCGGATCAAGATGAACGGCGTAGGCGAGGATAGGCGAGGGTAGCAGAAAGATGGGGATGGATACAAGGGCTGCGGGATGTGAGCGGAGGGTGTCTAGGGAGAGGAGAAGAGTCATGGGGGCGTAATACAAAGGGGGGGCGTGGAAGCTTGCTTGCTTGCTAGAAAGGGGTGGTCTTGTCCAGGTGTCAAGGATGGGTTGTTGTATGCGGTCCGGCGCGGTGGAATCGAACCCTCGCCAGGTTCCCAGCCGGCGATGTGGAGGAGATAGAGAGAGAGAGAGATTTAGTTGGGCAGTAACGGTAAGAAGAACATCAAACCAGAAAGGGAAGAAAACCGGTATTATGGCTGGGGTGATCGGCCCAAACCCCCGGGACCTTGGTTTTTTTTTTTTTTTTCTTTTCTTTTTTTCTTCTTTTTTTTTATCGTCTTTTTTTCCCTTCCCATCTCGTGTCCCCATATCTCTCACTCACTAACCATACCGGTATTCTACCCCCCCTTGCTTTTTCTAAGATTTTTCTCGCATCCTTTGATGGGACTTGTTGTTCCCAGGGATCCCGTCATCTAGGAAGGCTCTCGGGTCTGACAGCGTACCATAATTTGCGCAGCTGAAGGGCAATCAATACGAATGAGTACGCCTGTTGCCTAACCCCTACCCTGGCCAGGGTAGCACGGCCAAATCAAATCACGACTTGTGGTTTGCTGGATGGTTTTTTGAGGGGGGGGGAAACGTGGCTGGCAAAAAGAGAGAAAAAAGAAAGAAAAAAAAAAGGGTCAGGCATTGCGCGTACGCGTGTGATGCTTTTTGATATTACACATTACACATACCTGCAACGAGAGGTCCTCTCCCAAATACGACAGCTATGGCTGCATATGGAGGCTCGGGCTGCGCCAACATTGAAATCGGAATGGAATTCGTTGTCCCCCCCCCCCCCCCACCCTCCACTCGACGTGGGGCCGGGGGGGGGAGTATTCACTCCTCACATGCTCACATTACATTGTTCAGATAGTCCGCCATTACAAACTCTCACCCACCTGGTATGCATCTCCGCCCCCTCACCCCCTTCTCTCTTGGCAGTGCCACCGACGACCACGATGGCCCAGTTGTCGTGATATGCTGGTGCGGATCCATCCGGAAACGTCTACGTACGTATTCAGGGTCCCCCCTCCCCGTTCTCTCAACGTAGATGATGGCACATAGTGGAACCAAGAAATACGCAAAAGATGAAGATGCCTCCTATCCCTGTGTTCCTCTCCCCCCCCCCCCCCCGGTTCCCCGACCAAGACCACGTCCGTCAGGGCAGTCCGCAAACCTGATTATCGTCCACCGGACAGCTGCCCTGCCCAGCCCACCGCGATATCCTCAAATGCTGGGGGCCGCCGCCGCAGACCACTCAACTCCACGCTCGCCAAACCACCACACGGCCCCTGCTCCCCCTTGCCTGACTCTTCCCCTTCCTTCACCGAATGCACCCAGAAAGCCTTGCGGGATATTCTGAGCGTCTGAGTCGTCTTTGACATGATAATTAGGAGCCCCCCCCCCCCCCCCCCCCCCCCTTCCCCCTGATGCCTTGATGGAAGGTTCCATGGTTTCTAGTAGAGACTAATGGAAAATGTCCCCCGGCCCATTCCCTCTTCCGACTCCCATCCATGCATCCCATGAGGGCCTCAATACTTCATGGTCTTCCCCAGGACGAGTACCTGGCCAACGGGTCAGTTTATGGGGTCGCCAACCCCCCCCTTCCCCCCCCTTGCGCGGTCGTTTGTCGTTCGATTTTGTTATTTCTTTCCATGCAATATTCCCAACCTGACGGGGTGAATGCAACGTCGGTTCCGGTTCCGCCTCGTTTAAGCCTTCTCCCTCCCTTCCTCTTCCGGAAACCCACCCTCCCTATTTCTTTTCTGTCAAGGCAAGACGACCCTAAGGCAACACGGGGCAGCAGAAGGTTTGGCGGAAGTCTGGTCGAGCCAACCCCGTGTGCCGAGATGAACTGGTCGCATCTCATCCCATACGCGAACGGGCGGCTCCGTCAGCGGCCCTGCGGGGCGGAAGGGGGCAGAGAACGTTGGCACGCGAGGAATATCCTGCCTCGCTCGCACTTTGCATGAGCGACTTTCCCCGGCGCCTTGATGTTGAAAGCTTGTATCTTACGGTTCCGGGGGCGGCTCCGCGGTGGCGGTGCTTACCACGCCTGGGGTTTTTTTTTTTTTTTTTTTTTTTTCCATCTCCCCCAAAATCATGGCGGCCGCGAGAATTTGGGGTTTTCTTTACGTCTTACTGTTACTCATCCATCTAATCTAGTCTTTAGTTTTGACTTTCCCCTTTGATTGGGCGCCATCGGCCCGAACTAGGCTACGCACGTTACTGGCATGCTTACCCCCCCCCCCTTGATGCGAGACCAAAGTCTTCATGAGACGAGGTGGTTTCCTCAACCAAGAATGTGGATGCAGCCGGCGTTCGCGTAACACATGATTCCCAGGCCGGGGAGAGACTTTACGAAGACATCGGTACGCTCGCCGGTATGTACGGGTAGTAACGGTGGGACGGCTCTTGGAGAGGGGGGGGGGGGTGTATATGGTGGTGGCACAACGTTCTCCTCGTGTGGCACAGAAGGGGTCCGCGGAAGACGCGCGGAATGGAATTAGAGTTTATAACGGCGGTGTCGGGCAGCTAGCCGGCGAGCGAGCGCTCATTCTCTTGGCTCTGGGGATTAAAATTAAGGTGCGGTTTGACAGCTTGACAGGCCGCGGGGTCCTTGTTAATGGGGGAAAAAAAAAAAGAAAAAAAAAAAGCACTGCGTCAAGAACCTGGCATGGTACGAGTCACTCACTCACCAAACTCACTTACACCCTCATATATATTATACGTGTACACTTTCTACGCACACCTGCTACTTCACATCGTGCACCCAGTCGGCCTTGATTCCTCATTCCAGCCTCATGATCTTCATCAGCACTCTTGCCCATTTTGATAAATTTCATTCCATTCTCGCATGCCTCCTTTCTCCTCGACTCAACTCTCAGCGCCTCGTAACCCGTCATCTCGTGTGCGTTCACGTGGCCTCACCCCTTACTGCCTCTGCCCTCTATTTGTCACCTCTTCCGTCTCAGCCCCCCCCCCCCCCCCCCGCGTTGCAGCCTCTTCAACCCCAATTCTTCAACGGCTCCCTTCCGGCTCCGCGCCGGCGGGAGTTGGGAGTTGGGAGGAGGGGGGGGGGGGGCACTCCGACGATCAGGCAGTCCTGCCGCGGCCTCGTCTAAGCCCTCCCCCCCCAGGCCCGGTAGGTTCCAGATCTTTCATGCGGCTTTGAGATGTTCCGACTCGGACTCTGGATCAAATCTCTCCTCAAACCCCCCTAACCCCACCGGTTATCGTCCCCCTTTTAACCCGGACCGGCACTCGGTCCATGCGCGCGCCTCGTTTTGGGCATCGCAGCCCTGCTGAGGATCACGGCGATCACGCAGGACCCTGGCGGAACATCCAAATGCCGGGTTTCTCCCTTTCAGAAGCCAAGGGCATGTCGACCTCGGAAGAGGCCCAGAACACACTAACGGGTTGATTACTTGCCCAACCCAAGCCCCCCCCCCTTCCCTCTCCCTCTTCCCCTCTTCATCCGATGTGTTGTCGTCCCTACGGCACGTCGCCTTCATCGCCGTCTGATCTCCCGCGAACGGATGGACCTTGAGCGCTCATGACGTGCGTTCTGTTTGCCGACGCTTTGATCGTTTCCGCGACGATCACACGCGCATGTCCGGCGGGGGTGGGCTTAGGCACGCTAGTTCGAGACCAACTCTGCCGCCCGTGTGCCGTGTCATTCTTGCGCGGAGCGTGAAGGAATTGGCTCTCCCGTGTCCCGATGGCCGAGTTTGCGTCGTTGCCGCCCTCTACCCACCAGCAATCCGCCGGCTGCATTGAGATATACATGCTGTAGACGGCTAGCATCGCAATCCCATCTAAGCCACACTCATGCCCATGCGTGTTGAATAATAATCATGTTGAATCTGATCGGGGAGTGTAACCTGTGGCGGACGGAGGAATGAGACGGTTTGGACATTGACCAAGACAACAAGACGACATGTCTCTCGTCAATCAACCATGAAATTCCATTGAACATGCCCACCAAATTCATTCATGTGCGAATCAAGCTACAAACCGCCATCGACCATGTTTTTGTTGGCTTGTCAGGTAATGCGACGGCCGACTTTGATGCTTACCCATGACGTCTTTCTCTTTCGACATATGGCAAGACAGCGTCCCTTTCCGAACCAAGATTCGCCTGGGATTGGGAATCTTCCGCAGACTCGCACTATGACAGACGGTATCGACATATGCCCGCTTCGTATCCAGGCACGATAGGAGACAATAAGATCGGCCGGATCGAAATGTGATACTCGCACGCTCGGGCCTAATCCCATCATGCTTGATATCTCAGGGGAAGCCGATTCGATATGGTTTCCTAAAAGCGACTCGAGCTGGGACGCCGATCCAGCGATCCAAGATCCAATGTTCCCGACGAGGCACTGTCCGCAAGAAACGTCCGAAGATGCCGAGATGGAGATGCTACCCTGCCCAGTAGCAGGCAGCGCAGGGCCGCGTTTGGCGCGCCACAACGCCCGCCGTCCTCTAGCCCGCTGCGGAAATGTAGTCCGTGTCGGCCCAGCTCGCTGGCTCCCACAGCCTCAGCGGCAGCGGAGCGGCGCCAGGGCCCTGTCGGACGATCAGACTAGCAGAGGCCATCTGACGCAAGCATGGTGCGGGCTATGGCCGGTTGTCTAAGACGCGTCCATACCTCGGCTGGGTTGGGTATGACGCTCTCGAGACTGGCTGTGTTTATCAGGGCATTGACGATCCTCCTGTCGGGTGAAGCTTGTCCCGGGCTCCAGCATGTATTATCTCCCCAGGGAGGAGGAGGGAGAGAGGAATCTCACTGCCAGCAGTGTATGAATCTCTCCTGTCGGTGATTCGGTGGTGCGTCAGGGAGGCACACGTCTTAGAGAGCATACGGCTCGCAGGCGGCACTCGCCCGGCGCACGCGACTTTGTACGGAAGTACGCCAACTTCTCGATGTGGCTTCAGGTTATTGCGAAGTGCTGCCGGCGGATCCGGTGCCGGGTCCATCCGGAACGGATCTTCGGTCCTACCTTGCGGGCGCGCTGGCGGCAATTGAGGGAATACACAGACGCACACAAAAGACGCTTGAGTGTCTTCGTAACCATCACACAATGGGCAGCCGTTAGACGGTGTCTGCTATTTTTTTGACACTCTCCACGGACATACTGACCGCTGAATGCATTGTTAATGGTGCGTTACGCACATCCCCAATAGGCCTTCTGCGATGCCTATTCCAACCATGAGGGGGGAAGGGGGGCGAGCGATGCGTGCATTTTCGCCGTAACGGAACACTTTGTCGTTCTCCGATCACCCGTGAAGAGAGCCTGGGTGTATCCTGATCTCGTCCCGTCTTCCGTCACCCAGACACAGGATAACGCTTAGTAGCCGTATCTTGACCAGATCTGGCGGTACTGATATTTCTGACTGCGCGGCAAAAGAAGGACGGGGGGGACTCACGGTCATGTTTACAATGTTGGGCGCACTATGTGCGCCTGACAGCTCACCCTCCCCCCCACGCCGCCGAAACAGCGAGTCTCTTCCCGTGGTTCCCATGACTTGAGCTGCGGTCAGTCGTCTCTGGTCTTTGACACACAGGCTACCTTGGAGCCCGAATATTCCCAAGACGCTGACTTGAGCCTGCATCGTCAGTGGGATCTCGTCGCAGCCACGAGGTCAAATTGGGCTCAGTCAGAGAACCCGATCCACCTTTTGTTCGTTAGCTCGGCGCGCCGGCAACCCCCCCCCCCCCCCCCCCCCCCCCTGGCCGCGTCTCCCAGGCTATCGCACCCTCGCGTCATGTATGCTTTCTTTTTCCTTTCCTCCTACCCTAGGCCGGCACCCAGCGCGATCGCAGCTGTCCGAGTTGCCTTGAATGATCGACCTGTCGCCATCTTCCGATGCACGTTCTGGCATGGGCCTTTGCCGGCTCCCCGGTGAGATCCCAACACACCCAGGTGATGTGGCGCAAGTACCGGTACGAGCCCAGCCCACCGACGGGACAAGTATCGAATACTTCGTGCCGGGGGGGGGCAGAGAGCGCAGAGAGAATCGCGGCCGCCGCCAGCAGATGCGCCACAGGGGCCCGACGCCTCTCAACCGCTCATCCGCCCATACCGTGCAGCCGACGGGCGGCTACATTACCTCTTCTCGGGCTTGCTCTGCTTTAGCGAGACGCAGAAACAAGCATACATGTAAGCTCATCCTTTTGTCTCACAATTCACACATACAAGCCGATGGCCCTCCAGACCGGGCCCCCCCCTCGGCAGCCAACGACAGGTAAGCAGGGACGTCATGATGCTACCACCTCCAAGCAACGTTCCCATGAGGACCTGATTCACCGTAGAGGATAATGTACACCTGGAGTGGCTGCATGGAGCTTTAGAGCCGCCAGATTCGCCGTTGTACCACGAGACGACGTGGTCACCAAGCGAACCCCCAACTGGTCAAACCAGGTAATTGACAATTAACAGCCGGCGTGGAGAGCAGCCCAAACCGGCCTAGGACCGGCGCAGACCCCCCCATACGGGCTGCCAAAACCACAGATCTCTCTCTCTCAGTGTACCCCGGTCCCCCGGCGCTCCGGGTTCCGTAATGAGACCATTTTCGAGCTGCCTTGCTGTTCCCGTTTCCCATCCTCTCTTCACCGCAACTGCGCTACCCTCTCTGTCACATCGGCCAGCCCTGCATAATGTTTTCTTTTGGCGGTGGATAGGATCGCAGTCTGGGCTCCTCGCCGGACACCGCCCCCCTCTCCCCTCCCACTCGCATGCCCACTTCCCATTTACCCCGAGCCAGAGTTACGCCGTCCTTTGCGCGCCTGTGTGGAAGCGAAGCTCGGTGAGAGGCTGTGACTGGGGGGTGGGGGTAGGGGGGGGGGGGGGGGGGGGGCGCACTGGTGGCTTGGAGGGGTGCTCTCGTCTGAGTCGCGACTCCATAGCTTGAAACAATGCCTTTGAAGACGGCAGATACCCAGCAGGCACTACAGCGCGTCGGGCGTGTCTCTGCCTCGAGTCCCACACATGCAAGATGACAGGGGGAGGTTTCTTCGAGGCGCCACATAACACATGGAGGGGGGCTCGTTCGATAATATTGGAAACCTCCCCCGCAGTCCGTGGGAAGCCGGCCCAAACAAAAAAGGGCACCTTGCGATCAGGCTTGGAGATATACACGTGCAAAAATAGTATGGCCGCAGTGCGGCGCAGTGCGGCGGAACGGAGGACGGCTCATTTCGGTGCTACTCGCGGCGCCGCCGGGCCAATCACCGGCACGCATCGCGCGGGATATTTGTCAAAAATCCCATCTTCTCCAGGCCACTCGCTCGAACCAGGCGATGGAGAACAACAGGCCGGTTTCACTTCTATTTCGTCTCATTTCTCTTAGCCCCCCTCCCCCGGGGGGCACAGTTTGCCTGCCGCCCCGTCACATCCGCCTCGTGTGGGCGCGCAAGCAACGAGTAGGACGTCAATATGCTAGCCTAGAACTCGCGCCGCATATATGATATCACAAGGGGGGGGGGGGGAGGGAGCCGGGACGTCAGACCCTCCGTTCCCTGTGCGGATAGTACCTCAATTGGTATTTGATATCCTCGCCTGGCGGGCCGGCTCCTACTGGGCACGCTTTTTTAGTCGCGAGAGATGAGTGTAACCCCTCCCCCCCCTCTCTTCCAAATGTGACCGATTCCGTCAAATCAATAACTCCAGATGATTTGGCATGCACGCTACTCTGCCAGTTAACATCCGTCTGATGCTGGATTCGTCTTGTCAATGTTGGGGCTCGGACTACCTGCCACAGCTAATGCAAGATCGCTTTCGCAATCATTGAGCATGGAGGGGCGGTCTCGACCCGCGCATGGCCAGGTCCAGCCGGACCTTTCAAACTGCCATGCTGTATGTGATGGTCGGTTTAGAGTAGTGCAGGCCCTTCGCCCCCCCCTAGCTGCCTGCTGCTACCAATTCGGTGCGGTGCCTTCATGCAGTATCTCAGTTTGCATTCAGGCAAGAATCGACTTCCCGTCGTCCGCATCGCCTGTCCATGGGCGTTGGCGATCAGCAGGTACAAGATTGCGTCAATGCCAGAGTCCCAATCGGTTATGCCGGTTGTTTCGTCACTCGAGGCTGATCTGTCAGTGACAGGTGCCACAATCGATCGGCGCTCTGCCGGTGGCTTTTTAATTTCGAACATGGAGAGTTGCTCGAGTAAGCGGCTTAGCTCCAGTCCGTCGCCAATGGGAACCCTTACATGGCTGGCTGATGATCGCCAAATGGGATATGTGTCAAGCCTCACCAAACCACCGCCCAATGAGGCAGAAGCGTGATTGAAACAAATACCTTTCGGCAGTTGTGAATTATAATCCCATCATCGTAGTCATGAAGCCAAGTTCGTACGACGTTCAACTCCATCTTCAAAGCGCAAACTCGGCAGTTCACAACCACCAGGCCCACGATTCATTCCATAATGTGTCCCCGTGTATTACACGATTCGCGTACGAAAATAGCATTTATCACTTGGACTTGGATAGTGGTTGTAGGCTCACCGTATTCTGGTTCACTAACCTCCTGAAACAATGCTTCGAGTGTTGTGAAAGATGCTTTCCGGACCCCGCACGGTCTCGAACCCTTCCAGAGCAGGAATATTGGCTCTCCAGTACAAGCACTGCGCGTCTCTGTGGATACGCACGAGAAGTCCTGGGCGCGCTGTTCAACAGCGTCTCTTGGATGTCACCGAGGAGATCTTTAACCGCCTTTGAAGTGTTGGCCGAGCAAGACTGGTAACGCATGACCTTGTCTCAGAGAGTAAATGCCGTGGTAGTGGCGGACACCGCCGAGAAGGCGCCACCGACCGCTTGGAACTTGATAGATCATGCATTGGCGGCCTTACGCTGTTGCTCGAACTCCTTGAACACGGCAGCAACATCCGGCTTGGACAACAGGGCATTACGGTTGAATTCAATGCTCTTGGACTTGATTCTGCCTGCCATGTTTAGACTGCGAAGGTACTTTCTCGTGGCGGAAAGCCGAGAAACCTGTCCCGAGTCCCAAGACTCGTGAGTCACCCATGGAAGACGTCGGCCATATCTTCTAGATCGCACTGCACAAAAGCTTGGTTGAAGTGAAGTACAGCCGGTGATGTCTGATAAGTTTCATCACGAACTAGGTCATAATACGAAGTTTGGAGCCAGCGCCTCTTATGATCTTTAGCTTTTAGTCAGCATAGCTATAAGCCCATCGGGCTCTCGGGATCACATACGAAAAAAAACATTCGGATTCTCGTTGTTGTTGGCCCGGAGGATGACTCTATTGGCTTTGATAACTTTAATCTCGGCGTTATCGAGTTGTTACAATGCCTTCACAGCACCGCATAGCCTTACAAGATTATTCCAGCTTCAAAAAATCCAATTAATAGGCCCTACTGAGCCTAGACTACTGTGTAAATACGTATTTCTATAGCTTAGACTAGGTAGTCTTGACTCTTACATATATATATATATATATATCTAAGCTGTTTTCTTATAGATGTTCCTACCTGTAATGTGACTCTGCAGCACTGTTATAGTACTCTTCCTGGAGAAATTTTGCCCTGAGCTACCCTGTTTATTTAGGGAACAAAACAAGATACATTTCTGCTACTCCAAAGACGTTACAGAGAAGAATTACCCTCGATGTTGATACCAGGCCGCATGCAACGAGGGGTGGGGCGTTGATGAATTTCAGCAGACCAAGAACCATCAGACCATCCAAGCAAAGATCATACTATGATTACTGCCCGGGTGGTTAGCTGAAAGTGACTATCGTTGGTTGTGAACAGACTCACGAAAAGTTGTGATTCCCAGCTTTGACCTGATCTTTGACATATTAGTGCTTCGAACACACTTGATGATAATCGCAACCTCACCTGCGGTTTCGTGGCGCGCGGTGGCAATTGGAATAGAGATTTCGTTGAGGTTGAACGGACGTATCCATGAACTTGACTTCATGCCATTGTGTTCAGTAGGGAACTACACGCAGTCTAACCTACCGGCACAGAAATCGTCCAGCAATCTCTCGATCATGGACGTGACCGGCTTGACAGTAGGTTCAGGGGTAAGGAAATATTGGGCCGCAAGTCCTCCAGGAATGGTACCAGCAGCTGTGCTCTTGGAATTTTGTCTTTTTACTTGGATTTCCGCAGTTCTTGTCACATTTACATTAAGTGGACATCATGTTGAAGTGTAATCGAATGAGTTACTGAGTTCAAGATTTGTATGTTAATAATATTGATGAATACGGTTCAGCAGCCATCTACAATACAAGGTATGATACCCTCAGCAATACAGAAACTGACCATAAATATATTTTTCCTGCATCCCCATGATTTCTTACTCATTTAGAAGCATGTAATAAAACTGGCGAGAGTAATAGTCCGGAGTGGAGGACGTCTCCCGGAAACGGCTTGAATTTGACGATCGGTCTCATTCCAAGTGTCAAGGTGCTGATTTCTTGCTAAACTGGCCCGAACTTCTGGGAATTGACCGCAAATAATTTTTCGCCGGTTTATAAACAACGATGTGTACCGTAACTCCGTCATTCAACGAGAAATCTAGTCGATTGGATTCCCGGTGATGCTTGTAACGCTTCCCGAGACACATTGCACCTACGTGTAGCTTAGCACAGCTCTGTGCGGACCTTTTGCACCTTCCTGCTGGCTTGGAAAGGGGGTTGGAGTTAGCTCCCAGCTTTGGATATGCAAAACTGCGTCTGATGTTTCACTTGCCCTTTGTTACACGCTGAAGTTGTCTCAGGCACTTTTATTGCTCACCAACACTTCCATCGTCAACCTCACACATCCCGCTAGCTCCCGGCGATTATTAAAACACCAGCGTTCACGGTTTTAACTGCCACTAAACAAAGACATGGCTTAAGGATTGTGTGTTACACTCCCAACAGGCGGTTCTATTCATCGACTGAAGGCACAGTTGTCACACGGCGAGAGACGTTGACATTGGTGTCACAAGTCTACCACTTAGCAGAGGAAGTGCTTCTGAGGAGCGTACGTCATACTGGACGTTTGATCACGACCAAAGACGAATAGATGAGAGGATTCGGATTCCCTGATGAGCATAGCCTTGAAAGGTTCTCAGTTATATCAAGGCTTAGTGACAACTCCAAAAAATCTGCACATCATCATATTTACATTATCTCGCCGTGGTACTTCCAATCATGTCCCTTCCGGTCCTGGACCCTCGTAGTAACCCTGCATTGGCGGCTTCTGGGTCGCTTCGCTTCGTGCCTAAATCTAGGAACCCCGGGTCTAACCCGCCTTTGAACCGTACCCACATCCGTCCCGACTCCCGTTGGATGCGATTAAGCTCCGGCGCCGTGCGTCTGCTCTTCCCGAAGAACGTCATATTCCTTGCCCACCGTTCACTGTCTTTTGATCCACCACCGCCGATACCTGTCGTTCCGCCCGCACCGGCGGCGCCCGATCCCGCTCCCAAGACCGGTGGACCTGGGTCTGTGCTGTAGTTCAGGCCGAAGAACAGTAGCGGAAGGACGCTGCCTTTCCAGACGGGTTGTTCGGGGTCGTAGTAGTTGATAAGGATGACCCAGGCGAGCAGAGCCGCGCAGATGACCACCAAAACGGTAGGCAGAACGATGTATTTTTGGTCAAAATAGGTGCACGTGGTACTGGCCAAGACATCACCCAAGACCACGGCGCCCCGGGAGGTGAGGGAGTCAGCCGATTGCGGAACGTCCGGGCCGAGTCCCGTCATGCGGAACTTGTTGGTTACGGCCCACGCGAAGCTGTCGATGGCCTCCGTCACGCTCGACACCGTCGCGTTCATGTCAGCCCATAGCGGCGTGAGCCACCAGGAGCCGAAGCAGTTGAGATGGCCACTCTGCATGGAGTCGTATCTGCAGGATGCGCTCAGTAGTTCCTGACTGAGAAAGTTGGCCATGGCCCGAAAGAATATCCCGTCCATTTTGTAAAGGCACGCATTGGGCAGGCTTGCGACTTTGCCGCCGCTATCCGGCAAGCTGATATTAGTCCATGTGCGGCCCGGAACGTGTTCGGCTTTGCTCTGGTTGCTGACATCGTACCAGGTGCCGTCATCAAGCACACACGGGCTCTGTATGGCCGTGTAGTTGCCGACGCCCGAGAAGCGGTTTCCGCCACCCAAACTCTGCTCGGCATCATTGAATACCGCCGGGGTGGTGCGAATGAGCTTCTCTCTTAGCACGTTGCCATCGTACGAGCCATTGAACTCTTTCAAGCACGGGTACAAGATGCATGATGCCGCTATATAGTCTCCGAGCCCGTCGTAATAGCTGTTGTTGCCCTGCGACAGCCGGTGCGGACAGTGCAGCTTGGGTGTCCCGGTCGAGCTGTCCGAAGTGCAAGGCGCTTTCGAGACCATGAGCATGCTGAAATTAGCCATCGATACGAAAGCCCCCGCAGAGAACTCTTCGGTGAATAGCTCAGTGTACGCGGTTAGGTTGCTGTAGCCTATCCACATGTAGTTACCCCCCAGGATGTTGATGTGTGAATCTTGGTCTGGCAACGTCAGATTTCCTCCGCTGTCGGGCGGGCTGACGAATTTCGTCGTGTCGAGGCAACTGCTGCACATGCCGATGCTCGAATGGGTAATGCCCGTGCCCCAGTCGGGCCAGGTGCAGTTCCCGCTGACGCAGCCGACTTTGACCTGGTTATCCTGGCTGCCCGGGTCGGTTATGCCTTTGATCATGGCGCTCTTCATGTCCACCTCCGGTTGGTACATGCCGGCGGCGACCCGGTAGTACGCTGACGACCCGGGCACGTAGTGGGCGGCAGGCATGGTGGCGCGCGCGTGATCCCACAGCATGGAGCAGGGGGACGTGCGGACTGCCTGTTGCGTGACGGGGCCAACGGCCAGACTGGCGATGGTAACCAATGCGGCGGCGATGGCGAGGAGGCCGGCGGACGTGAAGCCTAGGTTCCATACCAACATGCCCAGGAGATGTATGGATCCGAGAACAGACCGACTCGCCCCATCGAAATCCTGGAGCTGCTGCAGAGGGCGGCTTTTCTCGGCGAACCAAGTCCACTTGATCTGACCGATGATCTCAGCAACGGCGGCAACGATGGCGGCCCGTAAGAAGGTCGAGAGGAGCGCGATGGCGGAGTTGAGGTTGATCTCGAACGGCCACTCCGGCATGTAGTGGCCATCGTAATACGCAAGGAGCGCGATGATGGCAGCCAGGAGACAGAACGCCATGAAGACCGTGAGGATCTCGAGGCCCCAGTAGCTGAGAATGCAGCGGAGGCGAGCTCGGCCCGGTTCCGGCGTCTCCTGTATGGGAGGCTGATCCTGGTATGAAAGGTCCTCCTGCGGCGGCTGTGGCGGGGGTGGAGGCTGTTTGTCATCGTCGGCATCGTGAAACGGCCACCGGACGGTCGACTCTGTGGGTTGCGTTGGATCCTTGGACGCAATGTCCTGCTGATACTGTCTTAAGTTAGGTGACATGGGCTGGTCGTCAGGCTCCCAGCTTCTTCGTGACTGAGACGCTACCATCTTTTTCTATCACACATTGGCTCAAAGGCGTTGTTGTTGATGTGCGTTGGTCGTTGGTCAGACATCAAAGTCACGAGTTACGACGTGGAAAGCGCATCCAGCACCAAACAAGAAAAGACGAGTTGGAGACTACTCTTATTCGCGTCGGAAGGGTTCGCGCCCCTATTAAAGGTTAAGAAGCCAATTCAAGGCCAGAGTTATGATCGAAGACTGATCCCAAACAACCGAAATTAGATGTAGATCACTCCTGGATAGCGGGTGGGCTCGGTCGAAAACACCACCTACGATGATAATCCGAAAAGAAGGCTCCATCCTTTCATCTCCAAGAGTATCCATAAAGAGAGACAGAGAGGTGGGCAGGGCCTTGAGAGGAAATATATTCCATTACAAGGACAACGGGATCGCAACCTGTCTTGCCAGATGCCTATAGAGGCTCGACTCCCTATGCCATGATTAGTTCTTATGCGAAGCAGAAACATACACGTGTACTAGTAGTCTTGTTAGCGCCTTGCGCTAGGGAATTACGGCCCCACGATCAGCGGAGTTGATCGACGGCATGCATCATCATACGTCCACCAGCACGGCTGTTGTCGATTGATGGTTCAGGAGGCACACGCCGATATCACAAACTGGGAATGACTGAGCATGCAGCGGCATTTCAGAAGAACATTTCTTCATGTAAGTTGCGGGATTCAAAGATTCTACCCCTGAAACCGTCATATCATACACGAGACACCAAAGGCGTCTTCCAGTACCCGGGAAAGTAAGTGGGCACCTTCGTGGCGATCCACCTAACAATTGCCGCGTTTGTCTCCTCCGGCTTCTCCAGGGCAACCCAGTGTCCTGCCTCGATGCTCACTTCGGTGAGCTTCTCACACAGCTCCCGCATGGGTTCATTCAGCCTGGAATTCTTCGTGTCGCAGACGGTGTCCCACTGAGCCCCGATGAACAGGACAGGGAAGCGGAGCCGACGCCCGTTGGGTGCCTTCGCGTCGTAGGCCTTATTAGCCTCGAAGTTGCGGTAATAATCGTTGGGGCCCTCGAAGCCGTTCCGTTCGAACTCGGCCACCATGCGGTCAAAGGCAGGCTTGTCATCCTTGAGCAGGGTCTTCTCGAACGGCACGTCTGGTGCACCGGGGGCGTTGCCAAACCACCCGCCGTCTTTCCGAATTGCGCTGGTAAAGGCGAGCTTGCCATACTCCCCCGGATCGCCGGGCCGATACAACGATTTGATGGTGTTGGGCACGTTGTAATGCAGCTGCGCAGCGCTGGCTTCGGGCTGCTCATTGTGGAAGATTTGGTAGTCCCACTGCGCGTAGGGGAACTCGGCCTCGGGATACAGCTCGCGGTCGGAGAGGCCGACAAGAGTCTCCGGGTCGAGCACGTTGTACGGCACGGCCATGCAGCACACGGCGATGCACTTGTCCGGGTGGTGAGAGGCGAAGCCCCAGACAAGGCCAGCGCCCCAGTCATGACCGATCCAGATGGCCTTATCGCGGCCAAGGTGGGCCAGGAGCGCTAGCAAATCCGACACATGGTGCTCCAGGGCGTAGGCCTCGGGCCCTTGCGGCACGCTGGATCGTCCGTAACCGCGGGTGTCCGGCGCAATGACCCGGAAGCCCAGAGATGCGAGGGCCAGGAGTTGAGGTTTCCATGTCTCGCCGTTTGCAGGCCAGCCGTGAACAAAGATCACAAGTGGTCCCTGGGAAGGACCGGCGGACCAGTAGAAGGTGGTCTTGTCGCCGCTGTGGGCGAATTGGTTCTCGTTGAGGATCGGCGGAGCCATCGTAGAGAGTGGAGTCTACTTCTGAGCCCAAGACTGAGCTGGGTTACGATACGGTTGGCAGGCTGGAAGAAACTGAGGCCGAAGTTTCTCTCAGTTGGCGAGTCGATGTGTGAATTTATATTCAACCGGACGACAGACTGACGCAACTGCCTCCGAGGAGGGCGGGGTTACATTTCTTGGCTATGAGTAATCAGCACTTGCTGACGCTGTGTCACATTGGCAAGATGAACCAATATAAACCCGCCGATCTAATGTCCTTGGGGAGGGTTCGGGTCCGTGGCGGTTTTGCTAACAGCTGAGGGCCAAGTTTGAATCCGCACATTTGTAATCTTTCCAGAAGTGGTATAGAGGAGCCTGTCAAAAGACCTTGCAGGGAATGCCAAGACGCTAGAAGCACCTCATGCTGCTGTAGCACTCCTATGCTCCAGACATATCTAGTAAGAGCTCAACAGGAGTGTATTCTTAAGTACTGAGGCTAGGATACACCCCTTTTGGTCTTAGCATTTTCTGCAAGGTCTTTTGACGGACTCCTCTGTATTCATTTCCCAAATCGGAGTTTTATTGACTAAGCAAACTTCTCGACATTTGAGAAAGCGTAACGATTCGGGCACAACATGTCTCTCCGAGCTGCAGGGGCCCGTCTTCTGTAACAATATTGATGGTGGTCTGCATTTAGGCTGCTTCGTAATTCGGTTTATTACTCGCAGGCCATAACCTGCGAGCCCTACGCTCTCCTGGTGCCCGGCAGGTGTGCTATCTATCAACGACAACAATAGGTGAACTTCGTTTAAAGCACATACTTGAACAACGGGGACCTGTCTCCCATGTCGAACAACTCCTGCTCGGTATACTTGGCTTTCGCCTCATCGGCTATCTTGGCCTTGCGTGCGTTCGCCGACTTGTAACTCCACTCGAGCAGTAGAGCAACAATTAGTCCACTGCCACCGAACGCCAAGCTGAGACCGAACCCGGTGGGATACTTGGGCTTCTCGGATTCCAGATACATGAAACTCCCCACAATGCCACCGACGTTGCCGACGCAGTTCATCAGGGCGATTCCGATGGCCCTCCGGGAGGCCGGGGCGATGTTGTTCGCGTTCCAGGAGGCGGCGGCCGCCTGGATGGGGTAGATACCGACGACGGCGAGAACCACAGCGAAGTAGGCCACGCCCTTCTTGGCCTTGAGGTCCCCGTCGAGCGAGAGGATGATAGAGTACGCAACCGCGACGATTCCAAGAGGAGCAACCAGGAACGGCATTCGCCAAAAGAACCGATCGGACACCTTGGCGAATGAGACGGCCGATATCGCAGCAGCGACGTACGGCGGTGCCGAGAGGAGCTGGGCCTCAGTCGTGGCAAACCCCATGGCCTTGGTGATGGTCGGAAGTGTGAACTTGACGCCATAAGACAGAGCCGACTGGCACAACAAGAAGTAGGCCTGCACGTAAATCCTCCAGTTGGTGAATATCATCTTGAGGTCTTTCCAGTTCACACGGCCACCGGCACCGCTCTCTTCGCGGGATCCGCCTCCCTGCTTGATGAAGATGGAGAGCTCCAGGTATCGGATCTCTTCGGGTTCAAGCCACTTAGTCGAAAGCGACGGGGTATCGATGAGCAGGAAGAAACAGACTACGCCGATGACAACTGTTGCCACCCCCTCTACGATTAGCAAATAACGCCACCCCTCAAGACCACCAATACCATCCATCTTGGTGATGGCCGCGGCGAGGAGACCAGAGAAGGCACCGGACAAGGCGCTCGCGCAGTAAAAGTACGAGATGCGAGTCGAGAGATCCTTGGGCTCGTACCAGAAGGAGGTGAGATAGATGGCACCGGGAAAGAAACCAGCCCTGGGGGGTTTGGATGTAAGCGGGTGGGTCATAGGAGGAACTCGTAATGGCAGCGAGGGAGAAGCAGGGGGTTTGTTGTGAAAGAAACTTACTCGAATATTCCGAGGAGCACACGGGTGACCATCAGTCCTGCATAGTTCTTCACAAGCCCTGTGCAGGTCATGACAATGCCCCATCCAAGAGTAAGAATACCAAGGTAGGTGGATGGGCGCTTGAATTTCTTCAGCAAGATGTTACTGGGGACCTCGAACAGAACGTATGGAATGAAGACTGTGCCGCCGGTATGTCAGACCCGTTCTTTTGAGATTCTATGAGTGGCGCGGGAGAAAGGGTTTGGGGTCTGCTGATGTACTCACAGATAGACAGGACGGTGTTATACTGCACACCCGTCATGCCCAAGTCTTCGACCATCCCCTCAATCTTGGCATTGCCAATGTTGGCGCGGTCAATGTGACAGATCAAGTAAAGAACGGAAAGCATCGGAATCAAGCGAATGTCAACCTAACATGTGGATTAGACATCAAGCCACATTCGACGCAGTTCAAACGGCCATACCTTGTGGAAGACCTTCTTTCTCTTCTCCGCCGGATAGTTCGTGTAGAAGTCGGCGTCCTCGGTGCTCAAACCAAACACACGAATGCCATTGACGTCAATGGCTTCGGGCGCCTTTTCAAGATGGACATGCGAAGACATGCGTCCCTGGCCGATGATGTCGGCCTCGTTCTTGTCCATAGAGCGCCTTGAGATAGTCATTGTGGCGTAGCGTGTTTATTTCGCCCACGACAACGGCCGAAAGGGGAGGAAGAGAGCAGGAAACCCTTTGCACTGGGGATGAGGCGAGGGGGAGGAAGAGGAGGAGAGGCTCTTGACTCCGAGGTCTCAATGACTCCTTTCGAAACGTCGACGAACAAGGAACCTGCCCAAGATATATTTCGACCTCACAACACGCGCCGAGGGCGCGGTTGGTCTCATTGGATGACCCTGGCCCCTGGAACCCTAGACAACCCCAGGTCCGGGCCGTGGAGTGCGGGGAAGTGGACTGTTTGCTAGTCGGATACGAGGACTGACACGGGATGATGGTCATGCCATCATTATCCGTTAGGGTTATCCGTGAATTCCATCGCGCTCGTTTTCGCCGTTACATTGCAAGAAGAGTGTCGAGCCATATAACCAGCAGGGGCTCGTAGTGACGGATGGAAGAGGCTCACGGAGCAGAATCCAATTTGGCACATTTCCCACAAGTCGCCTCTTCAAAAGAAACGTCTAATGGCCGCGAGGGGATGAAGGACATGTCCGAAAGTTGTAAACCCGTCGTTTCTGTTCTCGATATCGCTCAACTTACATATTTGGTGCGTACTTAAAGAGGATCGCTGGAGTGGGCCACAGCAAAACCATATATAGGTCTACTAGATACATGTGCTTTGGACTACGTGTTTACAGGGAAATCAGTTCAATCATCAAAAATCGACAATAACTTGTTTTCCTCCATTGGCAGTGTTTCGAAATCATCTGCGTGCTTGGTTTGATATTATTCGGTGAAAGCGGGAGGAGGGAACAATTCTAGTTCCTCGCTCTCCCGATCTATCTCTCCTCCTCACCACATCAAATGAGGCAAGCATTTCACAGCCGATCTCTTCCTTTACATAACTGCAACGGATAAGACGGAAATATTAACCCGCTAGATGCGTGGGATTACCCCGCAAACAGGGGGACTTGGCGACGCCGGTAAATTCCTTGTCAAACGGCACGTCGACTAGCCGAGCTTGGCCTCCATCGGCCATTAAATTGCAAGTCTCCTTGAGGCCTGGGCAATGGTCAACATCACCTTCGAGTCCATTCAGCGGTGGGGAGTGATTGAAGTAGGAAGTTGAGAGTCGGAGGGCGAGCTTACTAACGGAAACGTAGATCACTGACATTGCTGATTCTTACGGAGTTCAAGTACGTTGGATGCGGCGTACGGATACTGTATAGCATAGACCGCCACTGGTTTATATCTGAGTCGTAGACCCTGCGTCTTGTTTCGCTTTGCTAGCGCTGAAGATAATCAATTTCTCCATAACCTCCAAGGTTTGCACAGGTTCATTGAGTGATGGCTCGCTGAGCGTTGTCCCAAGGCATGAGCTTGAGTACCAGGTTCCATCCGTCCTCCGCCCAGTTTACCAAGCGCCAATATACATAATTCCTAGAAGATACCTTTACGACTATTCTATCTCAAACTTATGCATCGATTTCCTCCTCAATGTTGCGGAGATCACATTGTGCCTCGACATTTACTAAACCGGTACTGGCTGTGTTTCCCAGGTCACAACATGCATCAGTTTGGGCATTGTGGCTGGAATGCAACCCAGACCGAGCTTAGAACCACTTGCCAATCGCTGCAGAGCATGTGCGCTTTGTGGAGAGCGCTAAATCCGTTAGTCAAACACGGCGTGATGTGATGCAGCGCCGGGCTTCAGTGGGACTGCAATGTGGGAGAAGTGGTCAAGAAACATAGGCTTCTACGAAAGACTGAATATGTGTAGATCGCCGGGAGAGGTTGGGTCCGAAGTCCAAGTGCATTGTCTTGAGTCATCGGAAGACCGGTAGTATTGGCAAGCCAAGGATGAGAGGAATGAACTTCATGTTGTCGCGCGGGTGATTATTGGATGCCACACTCGACTCCCTCCTGCGGGCCAACTTTCAGTGCAACTACTCAATGCAAATTCGACAGTGTGCATATCCCCTGTTGGAATAGTCGAGGCCAATATCGAGCGTGCTGAACACAACTATGAGACGGTTTGATCGATTTCTCCCACCCCAGCCACTGCCAAGTCTGCCAACCTTACATGACAATGATGGGCTATACGGCCTGGACCTGCCATCCGAGAGGGGCCTGCCACGGAATCTGTACGAGTAGCGAATCCCGCCGCGGAATGAATCTGTGGCGAATCCCGCGTGTAGGGCTGTGTGGCAGGGATGATAGATGCATGCGCGCCGAGGATTGTTATACCGGAACTGGCAACTGTCTGGATGGTATGTTTGAAAGCCCACAAAATCGCTGGTGCATCGAGATATGATGTTGTTGAATGTAATTCGATTTCTATCCATCTATCTCACGGCCTGAACCGTGGCTTGACAAATTCTCCAAGACGAAGACCTTCTACTCGCCTACTCGCTCCTGTTTCATTGATCTTACTCATCGCCCACCGCCTTTTCGGCAGTCGAGCGACAATGCATCTTATCTTGGCAGGGGGCTCAAGGACTTTCTCTCACCAGACAGCAGCTCAACAAACCAGTGATACATCTTTATCGGGCTGATCTATCCCTTAACCTCCCGCTTATGGCTCACCCCGTATTTAAAGCTATGGGATAGAGGACCGTGCTCTTGCATGAATTTCCACATCAGACCATCAGCTACCTATTTTAGGTCTGATTAATTTCCCCCTCATAACTCCCCAATGAGTTCAACGAGCCAGGGAGACGAAAGGCGTTAGCGTAAACCTTGCCAGCGTTAGGTATATACGGAGTATGCTGCCATCTTCTACGCTAGTCGAGAAGCCCACGGCGAACCCGGCGGACTCCGCAATTACATCATTGCCCGAAGAGACAAAACAACCGGCCTCCCCGGCCTATGAGAGAAAAACTCAACGTCCAGCCGTCTCAACCCTCTTAACGCACGGAATGCTCGACCGAACCACGGCGCGACACAATCAGATAATCACACCAATCGCTCGGGGGGCCGATGAAACTTTAAACAGCAATGTCATCCGAGGAACAGAGGCCAGACCCGGACGCTGATGACCGGTACGAGGAGTCTCCGGAACCTCAGCCGGAGAGCGTCCCGGCACGGTCCGCCACAGCCGCCAGCCATGCATCGAAGAAGCCGGCGCCGAGGCAAACGCTTGCGAATAGACTGGGCCTCGACGTGCCGACCGTCATCATGATGTTCAAGGGCTCACTGCCGCCCATCATCGGCATCGCCATCTACCAGTCAACACCCGTCGCGCAGTATTTCACCACGCTAGGCTACCTTGTGGCAATCATCTCGGTGCTCGCCTTTGCCATCCTTCCGAGAGGGAAGTATGTGCAGAATCTTGTCCTCAATGTTTTCGGAATCCTCATCGGCGCCGCCATCTCCATGCTGGCGCTGTGGTCCGGTGTTCAGGCGAGGCGCAACACAGCCTCGGCCGAGGAGTTGGCCTCTGGTTTACCGGTCTACAACTCGAGTCAATCGGCGGTCTGTGGCGTCTGGCTCTTCTTCAACATCTGGATATCCAACACGCTGCGAGCCAAGTACCCAGCGACGAACCTTCCCGTCATGATCTATTCCATCTTCATGAATGTCGCCTGCACGTTTGGCCCCCTGATGGTGACGACCGCCTCGGCTGAGTCGTTCGTTAAACGTCTCCTAGTCGCCATGCTCTCCGCCATGGGTATCGCCACAGGCGTATCCCTTCTTGTCTTTCCTGTCTCAAGCCGACAGGTCGTGAGTGGCGAGTTCAAGGGGGCGATTGGGCTCGTTCGCCAGTCGATGCGACTGCAGTTGAAATATCTTCAGACGCTGTCGGGTCCCGACATGCTGGAGCGGCACCAGACGAAGAGCAGCAACGTGTTCAAGAAGAACAAGAATAAAGGTCCGGAGCTAACCAATGAGGCCAAGGCGGCGGGCGAGCTCAAGGCCACGACCTTGGCAATCGCAGCTCTCTTCGGGAAGATGCACGGCGACATCTTGTTCGCCAAGCGGGATATCGCCTACGGGAAGCTGGACTCCAAGGACATTGGCGAAATCTACAACCGTCTGCGGAGCATCATGATTCCTCTGAACGGGATTAGCACCATCGTCGATATCTTCCGCCGCGCGTCCGAGGAACACGGATGGGGTGCCGATGCCGGCACGGGAGGCGACTCCGAGGTCGAGAGGAGCCGGGAGAAGAAGGTCTGGAACGACATCATGGAGCAGCTGTGCGAGCCGTTCGAGGTTCTCGTCGAAGCAATGGACCAGGGGCTCGACCACGCCTCTATCGTCCTCGAACTTGTGCCGAGGCCGAAGAAGACCAAGACCGCCGACGTCGAAAACGAAGCCGGGGCGAAGGCCAGCGCGAAGCCGGGAGACGCCGGCTTCTCAGAGCTGCTCGCCAAGAGGGTGCAGGACTTCAACGACAAGAAGGGTGTGATGCTCAAGGCCTGGTTGCGAGAGAGACGGCATGTGACGGAGCAGGAGCTCCAGGATCTGAACCTGAAAAGGCTGGAGACGAGGATGCGGGAGCGCGACCAGACCCAGCTTTATGTGATGCTGTACATGGAGAAGCTGATGCTTGCCCTCGGCGAGGCGGTGCAGGATCTCGTCATTTTCGCCGACTCCAAGGTTGCCGACGGCACAATGGCCCGGAAGCGCCTCATCATCCCCTCGCAGAAACGACTCAAGAAGTGGTTCAAGGGCATCGGCAGCACCGAAGACGCGTCGCCGGAACAGACACCCGACATCGCCGAGATGGGAGCCAACGTCGTGTACGCAGGCGACGGGTACAACAAGAAGAAAGACCCCGAGCATCTCCCGGCCCGCACCGCGTGGGAGCGCGTCGGCAATTACTTGAGGCGGTTTTCGGGCTTCGTGGGATCGGGTGAGTCGTTGTTCGGTTTCCGCGTGAGTGTCGCCACCATGACGATCGGCATCACGGCTTTCCTCCGAAGCACGCAGACATTCTTCAACGAACAGCGGCTGGTCTGGGCGATGATCATGATCGCCATCGGGATGACCATCACGGCGGGCCAGTCCATCTTCGGCTTCGTGTGTCGTGTCGGCGGAACATGCGTGGCCGTCATCTTCTCTTACATCATATGGTACATCGTCGTCGGGCGCACTGCCGGCGTCATCGTCTTCCTCTGGCTCTTCATTTTCGTGGAACAGTACTTTGTTCTGAAGTACCCTCGCTTCATGCCCGTCTGGCTCATCACCATCATCACTCAGGTCCTCATCGTCGGCTATGAGCTGCAGGTCCAGAAGATCGGTGAAGCGGCGGCCTCCGCGACCGGACAACCGTACTATCCCACCTACCTCCTAGCACCCTACCGTCTTGCCTGCGTAGCCGCTGGCTGCGCCGTCGCTTTTTTCTGGACCATCTTCCCCGCGCCTATGACGGACCGGAGATGGCTCCGACGCGACCTAAGCGCCTCGCTGTACCTTCTTGCCAACTACTTCAGCGTGGTAACCGAAACGATCAAGGCCAAGATGGAAGATACCCACGGCGACATCAAGAAACCCGGCACGCCCGCCCACAAAATGGAGAAGGAGAGACGCCGGATCTTGGGCAAGCTTCTGTTGCTGCTCCCTAGTCTGGACAGCCACGCTCAATGGCAGAAATGGGAACCAGATATCGGTGGCAAGTTCCCGCGGGCAACCTACGAAGACATCATCAGACGCTCGACCAGTATCATGCGATACCTCACGCTTATTGCCTACACCATCACGTGGAAGCCTCGTGACCAACCTTCGAGCCCTTCGTCGGAGAGCGACCGACAGTGGATTCGTGCGTTGAATCAGGTCATTGCCAGCATCGAGCCAACGCAACATACCATTCTGTCCACCCTCACCCTCTTGTCCAACTCCCTGCTTTCTGGCCAGTCTCTTCCGCCATTCATGCACCTCCCGCGCCCCAACGAGCTCACCCGGAAATTGCTGCACCTCCGCGGGCCGACACCGGATCAAGCCGTTCAACGGCGGGGCAGCGAACTCGAGCACAGACTGGTCACCGTACACACCAGGACCGGGGCCGAGGTTCGGCCGTCGGGGCGGAAACCCAGCGTCGTCGAGTCCTCAGAAAGCGGCACTTCGCTCGCGGCGGACACGTCCGAGCTGGCGGAGATGATGAGCTCGCTCGGAAGCGGAAGCATCCTGGACGTGAGAAATGTGGAACAGCAAGGATACACCGAGTTTGCCGTGTTGCAGGTCTGCAGCTCGCTCGTGTGTGATGACTTGGAAGGCTTAGTGCGCTCCATTAGTAGCTTGGTCGGTGTTGTGGACTTCAGCTTCAGGATTAATCCAAGCGAGAACACGCTGACGAGTAGCGAAGAAGACGATGTGGGAGACAAAGGCAAAAGAGATTGATACCCAGAGAGAGCACAGCCTTTGTAGACGGAACAATGCACGAGTCTAATGGATGAATACTGATTGGGAGCTGCTACTCAACGGGACATAATGGTTATTCGAGTAAAAAGCCTAGATAATGAGCAAAATGCCAGGGCCGCGCTACACTGAAGCCGGCCCTGATGACTGAGACTTGATCATGACCTTCAAACAAAGCGGTTTGCTATGTTTATTCCTGTCGTCCGATTAAGATAATAGCACCGCAGACTTTTACATTCACTCCAAGGCATTGTCGTATACTAGCTGAAAGGGCGAAAAGAATTCTTAGGACTAGACTCCTGTTATAACAACTAAGCAACTAACTAACTCAGATACTTCACAGAGAAAAATATAAAAACAAATGATCTGTCAATCTCCCTCAGGATTAATCCGCAGGGCTGGACGAGCCACTGTGGCTGGCCATTCTGTGGCTCCCGCCCTTGTAGGAACGCGTCGTCGTAACGGTCTTGCTTGCAGAACGCTGGCTCATCTCGTGCATTTGGGCGCTCATCCTCTCCTCGAGCCTCTCCAACTCACGGCACTTCTCCTCGAATTGGGCAATAGCCTGGTCACGCTCGCGGTCCGCCGAGTTGCGCGCCGTGATGGCCTGCTCCTTCTGCTCCCTCGCCTCGCGGAGCATGGTGCGCATGGCCGAGATCTCGAACTCGAAGCTGGAGCTGCCCTCCTCGATCTCAGTGATGCTCTCGTACACGTCCTCGTACTTCTGCTCCCAGTCGTGGCACTTCTCCTTGAGGGTGCCGCACTGGCCGTTGAGGCTGTCGACCTCGATCTTGAGGTTAGCCACGATGGACTGGTGGGTGTGGATCTCCATCTCCAGCTTCTCGACCTGGCCCTTGGCAAGGCCGTAGTCCAGCTCGAGGCGCTCGATGCGCTCGGTCTTAGTATGGACCTCCTCCTGCGTCTTCTTGAGCAGGGACTCGGTGTGGCTGAGAGACTCCTGGACCAAGAGCAGCTGGCGGTGGTTGTCGTCGGCACGGCCGCTGGCGCGCTCACCCTCCTCTTGGAGGCGCTTCTTCTCAATGACGAGGACACGCAGCTCTTCGGACTTCTTGGAGATGGTCTCGCGCATCTCGGTTTGGATCATCTCAATGCGAGAGATCTCCTCGCGGACCGAGATAATCTCTCGCTCTGAGTGCTCCCACTTGAGCTTCCACTTGCCACAACGGTCCTCGGCGTCCTCGCACCGGCCGTGCTCCTCCTCAATCTCGCGTTTGAGTCTCTCAATGCATTGCTCGAATTCCTCCTTTTCGGTCCTGACGCGTGTGATAGTTTCATGGAGCTCCTTAACCTCATACTTCCTCTTCTCGTAGAGCTCCTCGAGTTCCTTGTACTTGCGCTTGATCTCGTCGTGTCTGTGCTCGACCTTGCGGAGAGAATCTTCAAGCTCACCCGCCTTGTGGAGTAAGTCGTGCTTCTCCTTCTTGAGGGCCATGTTGCTCTGCCTGTACTGCACCAGCTCCTTGTTGGTGGATTCGAAGTGGCTGTTGACTTCCTCATGGCGAGACTGCAGGTCGGTGTACTTGAGATCAAGGGCCTCGCGCTCCCCGCGCAACTTGCCGTACTTGTCATCAAGATCAGCGCGGGCAGCCTCTGTGGCGACCAGAGTCAAGCGCATCTGTTCCGATTTCTTTTTTAGCTCCTCGTGCTCCTTACGGATGTACGTAAGACTGTCCTTGGACTCGGCAATCTCATGACGGAGGGCCTTGCACTCGGTGTCGCGCTCAGCCAACTTCAACTTGAAGTCCGACGCACTGTTTACCGCAGCGGTAAGCTCGAAGCGGACCTTCAAGAGATCCTGCTTGCGCTCCTCTTGGTCGTTGTTGTGGTGGTGGTGCTCCTTCTCTTTCTGCTCAATGATTTCCGTTAACTCTTCGTACCGCTCGCACATGCGGTCCATCTCAGCATAGGCTGCCTCACGCTCGGCGATGATCTTGGTCCAGACTTCTCTCATAGAGAGACTTCGTCTCGACATGCTGGCCATGAGTTCCGTGAGAGCGAAGAACTCGCCCTCGGCTTGGGACGTGAGCTCCTTCGAAACCTCGGAGCGGTAGGCAGAGGAAAACCCGCCGGCGCTCCATGATGTACGGCTCACACGACGCCGGGTAGTGTATGCACTTCTGACAGAGCCGGTGGGACTGCCACCGCGCGGCGAGTGATGGTGGTTCAGTTCCGAGGAGCGAGGTAGACGACGCTGGCGATTGCGGCCATTGATGCTGAGACTAGACATCCCATCGACCAACATGTCTGAGTCTCCAGAGATGTCCGGTGACTCGCCATCGATGCGGTTGTCCAGGTGCTTGTGAGGTTGCTCAGCTGGCTGGCTCTGAGTGGTTGCCATTTTGACGGGATGTCCAAAGTGAGTGGAAAGGGATAGGTTGAGATACTGGTATGTGGTCTGGGCCATGAATTTATGGTCAGAGTGTTATATAAGAATTAACTGATGTGCTTGTATGATAGGGAGAAGGGATGACAGGAGTAGTTGCATTGCGTTCTTAATGACATTCCAGACTACTCAATGCACCGTGGCTTCCTGAGATCAACTACCGTGCGTACAAGATCATTCACAATATCAAAAGAGATCAGATCTGCGCAACAATGTTTTTGAGACAAAGCTGTAGAGTAGCTGGTTTTCCAAAGCATCCCGTTCTAGGATCTAAATGCGCCCCATTCCGTACTCTTACTCTGCCAATATAGAGATCATCACGGCTCGGAACGTCGATGTAGCCGCGATCACAGACAATGCAAAGCCTTCTGATCTACAAAACTAGCAGAAACCCCCTGGCTGAGGGAGTCTCGGCGCTGCCGGCACCTGAGAGCAACTCTGTGCTTGCATGCCTAATGTCGCAGCTCAGACAGCCACCAGCTCGCGAAAAAACTATCCGTTATCTCGAAGGGTACCAAGAAACACTTGATTGGTGATTAGAAGGTAATGCCGAATGCTTAAGGGCATCTTGGCAAGGACTCTCCATGCTTCTCAGAGAGCAACTTGAGACATGCTCCAAGTGGAATGGTTAGTGTGGAATAAAAGTGTGACATAAGCAACTTGGTCAACGCCTTAGCATAAGATGATATCACTATCTTGAAGGCGCAATTGGTTACAATACTTCTCGCGCTAGGTTCATATCGAGGACTAGGTCGTTAGAAATTATGGGTAGCTCCTCTCCATGGAAGGTTTGACACATATATTATCCGTTGGATACCCAACTACCAGGTAGGCGGAACGGCACGAAATCACATTAGTGAAGTTATCCAGTGTATCGGATAAAGAGGCTTCACTAGTCGCGTCCCTAGAGTTCCAACTGTGACTTAGCTGCATTCAGCTGTCAGGCTTAGGAGCCTGTATGAGACCGTATGAGACATCTTGACTAGACCAAGCGGGGTATTACATACGAGGAGAGGTATTTGACTCATCTCTCCTTTCCACACGCGCAGCAAGAAGAACATACGTGGAGTGAATCGCGCCCAAAACCTGCAATTCTATTCAATTCCGACTGTGCATATTCCATCTAACGCCATCGTTACATAGTTGATGGAGTATTGGGGGGCAATAACTCAAGATACGGGGGTTTTGGATGCAGCGGCTCAACAGACGCGGTTTGATCAAATGCCCTAAGCGCTGGCCGTTAGCTGCAGAGCAGTCCCGCGCCGGTGTAGCATAAGACACAAAGCAAAAGAAAGAAAGAAAAAAAATTCTTATCAATCATTCGCCATTGCTGAATAGAAACCCAGTGAAACATCGGCTCGAGAGAAAGCCTCTCATTGGCCCAGGTCCGCAGCTGAAGACCCAAGGCCCGGAAGTGAATTGCTTCTTTTTGCTCGACGGTCCAGAGATATCGGGTTTTCAGCCTCGAAGCCAAACTTTCTAGGTTTAGGCTCCACCTTTTACCGGAGTTGTTGCCAGGACTGCTCTCTCCCACAAGTGCAAAGGACGCACAGTACGCTTGGTGTTTTCAGCGCTGCAGGTCTTCACAACCCTCAAGCCACGCGAGTAAAAGGACACATTTTTCATGGGACTGTCTTTTTCAGCCTTCCCAGTTCATCGAAATCCAGTTGCAAAGTCACCTGTTCGGGCGTCTCCGGTGCGTGCTGGCCATCGGCCCCTGGAGCGAATCAGCGCGGACTCGCAGTCATATCCATGCCAGAATCGGCGATGCCGAAGAGGACTGCGGTGAGGTAGACATCTCAACTCCACTAAAGACTTGCGTCTTCGGGAAACGGGGAACAAATCAGAGTAGTTTTCTGAGCTCAATGTAGTCGGCTTGTGACGAGAGCGGAAGCAGTATAGGAGTGTGTGATGAACCGCAGCGTCCTGACATTTATGAAGAGAAGTAGTTGATTTTCCTAAGTCTAAGTACGAGAGAAAACTCGCCTAGAAATACTCTTCCTAATGTGGGTCTTATCGGTTGGAGGCGCCACTCCGTGGCGTCTCTGACTGGAACTAGCCACACGAAGCTGTCCCAGCTTCACGACAGAGTGCTAGTGACAAGGCGATGGAAAGGTACTGTTGTCTCTGTGTGACGGTGAATGGATTTCTTGTTTTTGTGTCCATCTATCTTCGATGGTTACTTGAAAAGAGTCATTAAGTTTCTGTTTGGATCTTTACCAAGCTAGTGGGGGTCACGAAACAAGAATACGTTTTGGTCTTCTTGACAGGTGCGACTTATAGAATCAGGTATAAGCCTGTTGCTTGGAGGTAAAGCCTTATGTACAGACAGAATACCTTGACTAACTTTTGATAACTTATGTTTATGAAGTAGTTATAAATGCAAAATTGTGCACCTCAAGGTCGTTAACCTTAATGGCAGTACTAGTCCGCAGGATCCAAATGAGCCCCTGCTGCGATTTATTGATCCGTTTCGGGTTGACAACACAATTTAAACATAAGACATCTTGAAGCTCGGCGCGAGCCTCATAAAAGGTCCAACTTTCAGAATGCTACTCGCGATGCCATACTATGGCGAAGTGTTCCAGGTTCTGAAAGGAACAAGATCTTAAGCGAATCCTCCGTATAAATAGGCGTTTGGTGGTTTGCTTCGAGCCTCTCAAAATGCGATTTCTGTCTCAGTCAGAGACGCGTGATTTCTATTCTCACACTGCCGTTACATAATCTCTAGTGACAGAGGACCAACGCATCGCCCATGAGAGCCATTATTCATGTAATTAACGTTTCTATAGCTGCGACCATAGTCTTTTTCCCCACTGCTGCCGTATTCTGCTTCCATTTTATTCTCCCGACTCTGGTAAAAGAGATATCGAGAGCAAACGAACGATTGACACCAACAACATTACGAGGACCCAATTGACACTCGTCGATGATGCCATCGCCATTTCGACAATTGAGAGAACAGCTGGATTAAAAGATAGAGTGGTTCTGGCGAATTATTCACTCAGTTTACCAAGCATGAAGAGTCTGATGTCGAATCGGAATCAAACCCGTGATTCTTATCTCTAGTGTACTGCTGTGACCGTGCGTTCATACGATCGTACCTGTGGCTCAGTTGAGGGCCAATAGAAGGGACAACCCGGAGGGGGAAATTATCATATTCTTACGGTTTCTTGTTGTCTCCTGTCGTCTCAGGCCAGGTCCCAGTGAACATCCAGAGATGAGGAGGAGGATGACGTACGCTGCCGCAACGTTAAAAATAAGCGTGTGAGTTTCGACCAAGGCCGATTGGCCAATGGCTGGACGATGATGAAAAGCCCACAAGAAACGCGATGATCGGGCGACCTCTCCTACAACACCCTATAACCGCAGCATGGCATGGCAGCCGAGGGAGGGATGGGACGGTTGAGATCCAGGCGAGCTGGCATTCCGCCTAGCATAGAAAGCTGTGAGCGTCTCGCACCGCCCAGAAGCACTTGCAATGGCTCACTCACGGCCCGAGCGACGCCAAGAGGTCTCGCGCCCCGATGATCGACGGTCAGACAGACTGGTCTGCCACCGGCCCATCACGGGCTTAGGCGAATCCCCAAGCGGTCTTTACGAACGTGGCTGCGGGTAATGACATCAATGTCTCCCTTGCCGCAGTCTCGCAAGGTTTGCGGGTGCGCATTCGGTTGTCCTCCCTCGCATTGCGCGGTCAAATGTGGCCGCCGTCCCTTGAATCTTGATGGATGATCCTCCCCCGTCCGAAGCCTTGGAAAGGGAGATCTGCACCCATGGCAGCCAATCGGTTTGGGACATTGCGGTCACGTCAACCGGGACGCCGCGGCGGCAAGGGGTGATGTGATGTGTTTTTATGTCTTTACACCAACGACTTACTTGCGTACGCCTCCATTCTGCTCCGTGTTCACGCAAACAAGGTTGACAAGCACTCCGAGGCTGATCCAACCACACTTTAACGGCTTATAGCTGCGGTTCTCGTCGTATCAACACTTACGGGGTCGATTAGTCCATGATCTGATAATGATAACAAGAACAAGCACTCAGCGTGAAGAAGTCGCCATGCCAGACCTGCCCACGGTAACGCTCGACACGACGCTCGCCGACCTCTACCGGCGCGCGTGTCCCAAGAGCGCCGACAAGCGCATCGCCCAGGTGCTCTGCGGCATCAACTCGTGCGCCGAGCTCAGCGCACACGTCCCCCGTAACGCCAAGTATCTCTACCAAGACACCCCCTTCAATACCGTGCCGCCGGACGAGTCCTGCAGAAGCCCCAAGGACAAGGAGCGGCGGCGGCGGCAGCAGCGGCAGCAGCAGCAGCTCGCCGTCAAGTACCTCTCGCTCATCCCCCAGCGCGACGCCTTCATCAGCGGCGACACCGCCGTCGTGCTCTTCCACATCAACGAGACGGACAAGCAGAAGGCGCACGACAGGCGCGAGGCCGAGAGGACCATCTCCGTGCTCGCCGAGGCGCAGCGGCCCGACCTGGTCTTCTGCGTCGGCCCGTCAGCGATACCCGTCGAGGAGGCGGGCATCGACGCGATCGCGTACAAGCTCATGCTCGACGGCCTCGAGGGCTACGACAACCTCATCGTCCCGCCCGACACGCACTGGTTCCTCAACTCCAAGGCCGCGCTCGCGCGCTCCGGCCTCCCCACGCCCAAGGCCAAGATCATCGAGGTCGACGGCCTCGCGGACGAGGCCCGGCTGTGCTGCGCGCCGTGCGCCGGCGGCGACGCCGCCGAGTTCGTCATCCCGCCCACGTGCGCGGGGTCGCGGGGGAAATGGTTCGAGGCGCAGCGGGAGAGGATCCTCGCCGCGCTCGCCTCGCACCCGCTGCCGTTCGTGCTCAAGAACCAGCAGAGCTTCGGCGGCGCGGGCACGTACGTGGTCGTCACAGAAGAGGAGCGCGGCAGGCTGGTCGCCGACCTCCGCGGGGGCCTCCTGCGGAGGCTGCTCTCCTCGGTGACGGAGGCCAACGCGCACCTCCGGCCGGCGGCCCTGGTGCTCTCGGACCTCGTGGAGGACCCCGTCGGAGACTACGGCCTGACCTTCTTCGTCACGGACGACGGCGGCGACCCCATCTTCCTCGCGGCCTCGGAGCAGTTGACGGACGACGCCAAGGCCTGGATCGGGAGCACCATCAACTACGGGCGCCAGGATGAGCTGAAGAGGAAGTTCGGCCCGCTGGTCAAGAAGATCGCCGCCTGGTTGCGAAGCCACAACTACGTGGGGCCTGCGGGGGCCGACGTCCTCGAGACCGCGCCCTTGGAAGACGCGAAGCCGGAGACAAACGGCCAGACGACCAACGGACAGAAGACGAACGGTCAACGGACGAACGGCCACGCCGACCCCGGAGAAGACTTCTCCCATTTCCACGTAGTCGACCTCAACATCAGGACCTCGGGCTCCCTCTGCCTGCCCCTCCTCCGCCGCCACTTCACCAGCCGCGGGCTGATGAGCGGGTCCTCCTTCTCCATCAGCTGCAGCCAGGGCCGCGACGACTTCATCGCCTCGTTTCGCGACGACTTTGCCGCCGGCCGCATGTGTATCATCAGCTGGTACGAAGACCCCGACACGGGCGTCAGCCTCGCCGACGTGGCGGTCGGGGCTGAGGACGAACGCGGGCTGAGGAGGGCGATGCAGCGGGTAAGGGACGCCACCGAGGAAGTCATTTTCTGAGCAGGCAAGAGTTAGAGCAAGCATATACCCCCGGGAATAGATCTCTATTATACCATAAACCCGTGTTGTTCAGATGTCATTTGCGGCCGAGAATGTGAAACGGGGGTTATTACTCTGCGACTATAGTCCAGTCCACAGGAGCCTCCCTACGTCGATTCGGATCGCACCGGAGTTCAACTTGTATGCCGTAGTTCCAACATGGTTCACACCTCGTCAGCCGAGGATACCACATCACCACTCACTTGTCAGTCAACATGCCAGGGACACGGGTTCCAGAACGCCGATTCATCATGTCAAAGGCCGCCGCCAGTAGGCATGTATGGCACACGGGCATATTCATGGCATATGATTCACTGGGCCAAAAAAATACATAGCTCCGAAAAGCCTGACCGTACCCTAGAACCAAACCTCGGCAGGCTTCGCAAAGGTAGAAACCCTCCTCGCCGTGCCGCTTGAAGCATCCAGGGCTTGGTACGTACGCCAACTCCGAAACCCCCCCCAACCGCCCCGACAACCACACTGTACCGACCCTTTTGCTCTCCGTACAAATAAAAGAAAAACAAGTACCAGCAGGTATAGTATACAACGGTTGTGCTTCATTAGTAAAGAGAAACCCCCTCTCGCGCTGTCGCGAGTCGAGGGTCGCCCTTGCCGCCCAAGACGCTCATGACTCGATCTCCATTGCCCCATCACTCTCCAGGTTAAGGTCAAGCACGCGGGCGTACTGGATCGTAAGTCGTTGAAGCTCGCGGAATTTGCCTGTCGAGTCGTGTTAGCAAGGTGTATTCGCAGGACGCTCTGGGGGGGGGGGGGGGGGTAAAGAAAATCAAAACCTTACCAAGAATCATCACGACGCCCTTCAAGAGCTCCTTACGATCCCAGCCGCAGATTACTTCCTCCTGGCTGAACCATCCCCGGCCACCCTCGCTCCACTTGTCATCCTTGTCCTTGAGGATGCCACCAAGCAGGCTGTTGAGCAGCTCCTCGACCTTACCACGATGACCCTCAGCGCCAAGCCGCTTGGCGTACATGAACAGGTAGAGACGGAACTCGTCCCTCGCGTCCAGATGCAGGGCAGCAGCGATGCGGTTTTCGAGATGGGCAATGCTGACGGTGGACTCAAAGCCCTCGAAGCCGTCCTTGGACAGCAGTAGCTTGACGATGCGCTGCAGGGTGTAAGCTCGGCCCTTAAGCAAGAACTCATTGGTCGTGTGGCGCTCGAGGTAGGGAATGATGCCGGCGGAAACGTTGGCCGTGTTCTCGTCCTTTGGCTTCGCCGGGGTGACGGGCCCCACGGCAGTCGACTGCAAGGCGCTGATGGAGGAATCGTTGCTGTTCCAGTACTGGGACCCGACCGCCCACCAGGCTTCGCTGACGCGCTGCCACGAAAACATGTCGCGGGTGTAGTAGTACCCGTCTCCGTTCGTCAGGGTCACCACGATGTGTCCCGTCGAGTTAAGCTGTGCTGATGTGACGCCGGGGCCCGGAGTAGTGGCGTTGAGGTTTAGTGTCGTCGTCGCTAGTTCGAGAACGGGACCCAGGGACACTGGGGGGTGCAGTGCGGCCTGTTTTTGGAGGTCCCATACGTGACACAGGCCGACCGCGTTGATGCACAAGAGGTAGCTATTCCGGCACTCCAGTATGACGGGTTGGGATTCCATAATGATTGGATTCATCAGCCGTCGACCGGCGGGGGTCCATGTATAAATGCTTCCGTCTTCGCAAGCTGCCGCCCAAAATTGCTTGTTTCCTGTGACGAGTATGACGGCCCTTGGCAGATAGTCTTGCCAGAGTAGCGTTCCTCGTTTGGTAGCCGAGATTGACGAAGGGTCCCTGATCTGCACGGGGTTCCGGGCTTCGAGGATAATGTTCTCCGGCACCTTGGAGGCTTCGTCTGTGCTGCTTTCAGGGAGCAGCACTCCGCGTTCCAGCGGGCGGACGATGTGAGATCTGACCTTTGGCACAGCGAGGCGGATCTGTGCAAAGGCGATGGATGGGTTGAGGACCGCAGGCCGGAGATACTCGGGCGTCGGGACCATGCCATGGGAAGCGGGCACGACCGAGGCTGGTTCGACCCCGTCGACACCATTGAGGACGACCGGAGTCGGGTCGGTCGCCAGCCGCTTCGAACCGCGGTCCTCCTCCTCATCACCCTCAACAACCGGAAGCTTGCGCTTGTTGCCGAGCAACATGGCAGCGACGCCGCCCTTGGGCAGTCCCTCGAACGGCCGCTCGAGATCCAGTATCGTCTGCGGGGCGTCATTCTGCGCCGCCTTGGCTGTTGATGTGGCTCCGACTAGCTGCGTTTGGGGCAGAGAGGACTGGCCGGTACCGGACGATGACACCAGCAGCGGTGCGACGCGTTTCCTCCCATCCTTACCGACAGTCACTCGAGACTTGAGCTCCTTGACTCGCTCTGCGGACTTGTCACCGTTCTCCTCCGCCGGCCTGTCTTTTTCCTTGTCCTTTTCGGGCTCGGCGTTGCCGTTCAAGGTCTTGGGAGTGGAGGTACCCGTTCCATTGCCAACGGTCTTTGTTCCATTAGTAGAAGGTGCGGGCCCCTTGGAAGAAGCCGCATCGCCCATGAGCGCGCCCATCCTGGACTCGGCAGCACGGGATTCACCAGCTTTGCTTTGATTCTCCAGGTTGAGACCTTCAATGTCCTCGGCAATGCCCATGCCCTTGCGTGACGCACCGTACTTCTGCAGTGCCTTGTCGTTCTCGTCCGCGTTGGCGACCCAGCCCAGCTCTCCGTGGTCAAACTTAATGCCCAGAACGGAGCCGTCTAGACTGGCTGCGAAAATGGTGGTCCCGTCGGGCGACCAGGCCAAGTCGGAAATGGACTTGCTGGCAACGTCTTGGAGAATGACGACGGGGCGCGACGTGTTGGTGTTCCAAATACTCAGAGTCTTGTCTTGGCCGGCGGAGGCAATGACGGTGACGAGCGCGTTGTTTGCAGGTTTGTCCGCCGGATTCTCGGTATGGAACAGTCGCGGGGAAAACATGCAGACCTCGGTGGGTCCCTCGTGGCCGATCAGGTTGATTTCGCTATCCCAGCGTGTGCGCTCGATGATGGCAACGGAGCTCACCGGGCCGTTGACGGCGTTGGGCGCAGCGATGTGATTGCCGTCGGGAGACCAGGAACACCTCCGGAAGTACGTCGTCAACGGTGAACTCTTAAAGGGGGCGCTGATAGTCGTCTCCAGAACAAAGTTGTTCACCATGTCGTGTTGTGTGGCGTTCGGGGCGGGGGGCGTGAATCGGAAGATCTTGATGGTTCGGTCGTCGCTTGCGGTGGCGAAGAACTTGTTGGCAGGGTCAAAAGTAATGCCCTTGACGTGACTAGAGTGGACGGTGATGGTCTTGAGCTTCTCGAAGCTGTGTCCTGACCAGACGACGATCTTGGAGTCGAGGCCCACGGAGACCAGTATTGAGGAGTCGTAGGACCAGGCAAGGTCTTGGACGTCGTTCTCGTGTCCGACAAGGCGCTTGTAGGTCTTCCAGTTCTCGATTGGCGGAGGTTCGGCGCCGAGTCCTATCGCAATGGGTTAGCAACTGGGCAGGTGGAGCGTGAGGGGTGCTGGCAGGGGCGCATTCACCGAAAGAAGCTACGGGAGGGCTCTTGTCGAGGTGGTAGACGCAGATGAGCTTATCGTCGGCGCCCGAGGCAAGGTATCGGCTGTTTGGAGAGAAGCGAACAGAGTGGATGGTGCCTAGATGATGGCTCATGTGGCAGAGCTGCCTCGGCTTGCCGTCTGCGTCGCCATTGACGTCGCCGTAGATGGCCTCAGTAGACCAAACGCGCACGTGGCCATCGCCGCCGGCGGTCGCGAGCCTCTTGCCGTCCGAGGACACATGACAGCTATAGACTTCGAAATCCTTTTGCTCGCCGCTATGGCTCAGCCATGTTGGCTTGATGACGCGCATCGCGGATGGCCTGGGGTCATTTAGACCGGGTCGGCGGCCGGAGGGGGGGTTAAAGGAAGGGAGGATCCGTCTCGATGGCGTTTGCTCTTGGAACACTTGGTGATGGGGGGTTTGGCCGTGGCCGGTTGATGCGAATCGAAGGGCAGCTAGCTGTTGGGATAGTTTTCTGAGGCGACGGAGGAAATTGGGGGTTTGATTGAAATCCCAAGAAAACGCGTTTTGCGGAGCCCGGACGCCTTTGCAATGCGCGTCCCAGAAGCTTCAGGTACTGTTTGCGCTAAACCAGCGGCCAATTGGCACTTACAGCAACCCGCCTGGCCTGTCCAGGTCAGGTCGTCCGCCCAAGCTGCCGCACGGACACATCGGTGCTGGCGCCGGAGTCGGAACGATGATCATCCGAGTCTTATCGTCTGATAAGATACTTGCTTGCGTAATCAATCATCGGTGCTTGGAGCCCCATACTTCCGGCCCGGATCCCGGCGCCGTTGGTAGACAGCCGGTTCAATTCGTTGAAAATCAGACGCAATTGGCGTACGTGGTGGTTAGGAGCCAATGCAAGTCTGGCAGAAACCTAAGGTATCGCGCTATCAACTAGACTAATGCAGTGATCGGTATATTGTCCACGTAAATACAGTTTCTACCATCTGATACTAATCAGCCACTAAACCTAACCCTAGGTAAGCAGGTATCTGGGGTAGACCAATTCATCATCGCTCTACGGAGTACTTAGCCAAGATTTCCACGACCGATGCTGACATGGAGTAAGCTAACCGCCGCACTGTCCACGCCCAGTGAGTGCATCAGCAATAACGTTATGTAGATAGTACACCACAAAGTGCAAACATGCATTACAAATCTCGTCGAGAGCCTGCCCTTACTAAATAACATCCATTTCATCAGAGACAATCTATATAAACAACAAGTGCCGACATCATGATCCTTAGATGTCCGAGTCAAGCACCTCGAAGCCAACTAATATTTTACCGCGCCATCTTTCCACCAAACCAATTCATCTTATTCCAAGCACAATGCCCAGCTCCACCAAGAAGACTCTTGTCGTCCTGGGCGCCACCGGAAGCCAAGGAGGTTCTGTCGCCCGGGCTTTTCTCAACGATCCAGCTCTCGCGTCTGAGTGGCATGTTCGGGGCTTTACTCGCAACACCTCCTCCGTTCCCGCCATCGAGCTATCAAGGCTGGGTGCCGAGATGGTCTCTGGGTCCGTCGACTCGGTTGCAGAGCTCAAGGCAGCTTTCAACGCCGCCACCGCCATCTTCGCAGTCACCGACTTTTGGACCGCCTTCGGAACTGAAGAAGTCGCCAACAGAGTCCGAGACGAAGGTGTCGACCATGGCGTTGCCACGCGGGAGCTCGAGGAACTCTGGGGCCGGAACATTGCCCAGGCAGCGGCAGAGACACAAAGCCTCGAGCGCTTTATCTTCAGCAGCCTGCCGCCTGTATTGGAACTCAGCCAAGGAAAGCTGAGGCACGTCCATCACTTGGACAGCAAGACCAACATCGTCAGGAAAATCCGGCAAGAGCACCCTGCACTTTGGGCAAAGACTTCGCAGATCATAGTCGGGTGCTACAGCTCCAACATGTTGCCCGGATCGTTCTTCGGACCCAAGCTCAACCAAGAAACTGGGAACGCCGAGTTTGAAGGGCCCAACGATGTCGACACGCCCATCCCGCTCATTGACCCCACCGTCAGCACCGGCCCCTTTGTCAAGACACTGCTTCTCGATGAGCCCGTCGGGACTGTTTTGGCGGCCTACGATGAGTTGAAGTCTTTCCGTGACATCATCAAAGTGCTTAACGAGTCAACACGGCACCGCTTCGTCTACGTGCAAAGGTCTGTTGACGAGCTGGCGGCCGCCTCGCCGTTGGGGCGCGAATCACCCGAAAGCTGGTTGTGGATTGCCGAGTACGGCCTCTTTGGTGAAAAGGTGGCTGGGTGGAAGGACTCTATCAAGTTGCCAACTGATCTTAGCGTCAAGGTGAAAACCCCTTCTGTCGAAAAATGGCTGAAGCAACGAGACTGGAGCGTGTCCTCGGCCGTATAACATAGCTCTTGTGCTAGTACGACCAACTATAGCGTAGTTGATAGCCTCCCCAGCTCCACTCTCAATTTCTACGGAACCTACCTGTACTAAATTCCCCATTCAAGTGGTCAACATGAGCATGCAAGTATCGGTTTACCCCAGACCGAATCAATTACTGAGCATCGGGTGAGCGGCACGGACCCTAGTAGTTAGGCTAACTCTAAACATTGAATCATCGAGAGCATGCTCTACTCTATTTGAGTCCTTTATTATTCCATCTTTGTTCCAACCCAGGTCCCGTCTTGGTCACGGAATGAAAGGTCCGGAATCATTCAGTCCCGCCCCAGAGGCATTTGTAAGAAAATCGGACAGGTATATCCGCTGTCTCAGTTTGAGTAGTTCAAAAGAGTGAGCCATGGATGTACTGCCGGAAGTACCCCTGAGAGTGAGAGAAAACGATGGCTTGAGCTTTCAATCGTCCGATGTTTAATGACCTCTGCTGATCTCCTTTTCTACAGCTGCTTAAGGGAGAGGTGGATCGGAGGTCCACAGGGAACAAATGGTCCGCTTCAATGCGGGGGTTTCCGAAAGGAGACACGGGAAAGACATCCTCACCCGGCTTGAAATGCCCCTCGACTCCTCGTGTCCGCCCAGGGCTGGGGTTGGGGGCTGCAGTGCCGTTGGTAGATGCGCTTGACTAGCGCACGACATCCATGTCGCAACCATCGCTCACGTGGCCCTGTTGCTTGTTGAATGCTACCGTGTAACTTGGCCCAGATACGTTAGTATACAGTAGCATATGCCAATTAGCTGAGAGGGCGGAGCACGTATGAGTCGGCGGGCACGGCGGAAACCCGTGGCTTTCTGTCTTCCAGCCAACCACGGCTGCGTTCCTGGCCATGCGCGATAACATCCACAAGTTCCGCTTTGAGGACCAGCGATCGACAATGCGCTTGGCGATACTGTTACCGCTTACCATGAGGACCTGTCATTTCGCTTGGTGTCGCGCGGCAATATAAGCCATAATTACAGCACAGTAACTATAGATCTACTTTTATATAGCAGACGCCTTATTCTATTTATTATAGTTATAAGCCCAGCCGGTACGACCGACCTACTGCTATACTAGAATTGTTGAGTGTATTATAAATTGTTATAAATAAATTAAAAAACACATCTGTAGGCTTAATCCCTATTAAATACCCTTAGTTTGAGTTGCGTGTAGATCCTTAAGGGGGCCCTAACTACCGAGACTTTAGCAAGATGTACCTAGGTATAAGGTTAATGAAAGAGTCAGTTGACGTACCCTGTAGAGGGTAGATCTAGGGGGCTGTGTTGCGTGGTAATATAAGCTATAATTACAGTACAGTAATTATGGATCTACTTTTATGCGGCAGACGCCTTATTCTATTTATCACACTTGGCCATTGACTGCTGTTGGTTGCATCGCAACAAATCTGCCCGCCTTACCAACCGAACGTTTATTTTCGGCTCTGCGGACTGGTATAACACGATGAGGTTTCCGCAAAGGAAACGGTGCTTGGGAGACGCTCTTCAGGCCCAATCATCCCAGTCTCGCCTCGCAACCCGTCACCCGCACTCTCACCGAAGCGCCCTCCGCCCACCCAGGTAGTCCCAAGATGCAGCTCCTTCTCGTCCTCGTCTCCCTGTTCGCCCTCGTGGCCCAGGCCGTCTCCCCGAAGCCCGTGGCCCCGGCCGTCCCCCCGAAGCCCGTGGCCCCGGCCGTCCCCGCGGAGCGCCTCCAGAAGCGCTCCATCACCTGCGGAAGCACCACTTACAGCGCCGCCCAGGTCAACGCCGCCTCCAACGCCGCCTGCAACCACGTCAGGGCCGGCACCGTCACCCGCAGGACTCCCTATCCCCACCGCTACGACAACAACGAGGGCTTCAACTTCCAAGTTCCCGGTCCGTATTACGAGTTCCCCCTCAAGGCCAGCGGCATCTACCACGGACGTGAGTACCCGAGCGACCCTGCGCTACCCTGGCGGTGGCGTGTCGTGCCAACGCACGTCCCGCAGGCGTCAGGTGGTGAAATCGCGACTGACTGTGCTTCCAGGCAACCCCGGTCCCGACCGTGTTATCATCAACGCTTCTTGCGAACAGGCCGGCCAGGTCACCCACCAGGGATCCACCGGCAGCGGTTTTGTCGGATGTTCCGGTACCTCGTAAGGGGTGGGATCGGCGACGGCGATGATACTGGGAAGGCTTGGGGAAACTGTACATAGATGATGAAAATTGGATGACAGTAATATTTACGAACAATCGGTCCGATTTCCTTCCGAGGTGGTACGGGATTCCCGCCCTGGGAACACAGCTATAGACAGCTTCTTGCTTCTACACCAACGGAACTTCGGCTAATATGTCAACCTTGGGAATAGTTACATTTTTTTCTTTGTTTCTTTGTTTCTTTGTTTCTTTATTTAATTTTTTAATTTTTTTTTTCCTTGCTTTGCAACACGAAGTCAGGGCAAAGCCAGTAATACAAGCAAAACTCCGGAAGTTCTACTTCTGTATCTGCTGCCTCTTGACATCCAGATTGTAGAAGTGACGGATTGCGAAAACAGTCACCGCTGCCGCGGCTCCAGAGCCTGCTGTGATGTAATCACCAGTGACAATATGGCTGGAGATTGGCCGGGAACGTAAAAATTGGGACCCAAGCGGTGAAGATGTATTACGCAAACGCATTCATCTGAGAGCCAAATGCAAGTCAGCTTTCTATGCGTAAAAAGAACAAAGAAGAGGGTCTTTGAAGTACTGACCAAGGCGGACACGTAAGCCCAGCACAGGTTCCAGAGAGTGCGGCCAGGTCTATTGTCGTGATGCTATGTAAGTCACAATTGCTACACTGTATTAATTATGGATCCACTTTTGGCGCACCGCCAATTGGCATCACAAGCGCAACGGCCTCCTGGACCTCACACCCATGCGCCCCTCCATCGCCAGGGTCTTTATCAGATCTCAACACCTTCTCCAGTGCCGCTTCACGCAAAGTGCCACCGACCCCCAGATAGACAACCCCGCTATCCGGCGCAAAGTCCACGAGACTACAATCACAACCGGCGGCCTTCTACAACGCCGCCCCCTGGCAATCAGCAGCAACCCATGTGAAAATCATCGGCGAATGTCGGGAAGAGGGTGGTTGTCGTCATCCATATCAGTCAAGGCGGTCGACTGGGATCGGCCGGTCAACTGAGATGACTGGGATCGGCCCACCGCAGAGCTTTGGGTATCGCCAGCTGTCTCGGGGACACTCTGACTAGACTGCGCAGCAGCGCTGGATCCATCCCGAGCATGCTCTTCGGATCGGCGTAGCTCCTCTATCTGGGCATCGTGGAGATCAGTCATGGTTTTTACACTAGCACTATAGATATACATTAGTTGTTAGTCTTGAATACTCCAAAGACTGGCATTAGAGGTGGGGGGGGGAGAACAGAGAGAACAGAGAACAGAGAGAACAGAGAACAGAGAGAAGAGAGAACTCACATATACTCTGCCACTCGTCAATCGATGGCGCTCCGGTCGCTACGAGCTTTGCGTAAGGCGCTCTGGGCTGCGTCAAGCATCTTCTCAACGTTGGCTCGCTGGTCAGGAGTGTGCTCGAACTTCTCAAGGACCTCGGAGTAGAGCCGAACTGCCTCTCTGGCGTGGTGAACAAAGTCGTGGGGAGATGTAGGAAGGAGCAAATACGTGCAAGCTTGATGGAGTGGGCTCAGCCGTGGCTCCACGATGAGCTTCTGTGCCGTTCCATCCACCTCATCGTGCTTGCCCTGCCCGTGGATTCTCTAGATCTCCAGGCATCGCCACTCAAACGCAGCTGTGGCACGTCAGCGAATCTGAAATACACAAGGTGTTGTCTTCTTTCCTGCCGCTGAGATTGTCGAGTTCGGTCGGGGAGTACTGTTGTCTCAATATTACGAGACGTAAGTAACTAGTACTATAGGAACCGTGTAGGAATAAGCTACCAGGACCGTGGCTATTAGGTCTATTTAGTACTAGTTCCGCAACTAATAGGCTAAAGGATTATAATTATAATACTAGTAATTATTTGGCATGATTCAGCGGTACTAGTGTCCAGGCTTCTTAAATACTTGGGCCAGTTTCTAGGCTTCTTACAATGGCCTAGGACTAGTTTCTAAGCTTCTTAAAATGGCCTTGGGACTAGTTTCTAGGTCTATCCCATGCAATATCACCTAGGTCCTGGCCATTTGAAAGGCCATGATACTGGTCTATAACGTTAGATATTCTCTTCTTACCAGTCCTAGCTGTTTGGATTCCTTATATTATTACTTTAAATCTTAGTTTTTTCTATAGCTTATGCAGTAAAACAAGATAACCTCTATAGTGGTTTGTTCTTAGACTATTGTTGTGGCTGTCTATATCTAATATGTGCTGCCATGCTCTCCTCAAACGAGTAGAAAAGACCAGTAGCCTGGGTTAACGCGTGTCTGCTGCGCATCTGAATGCTGACAGGGACTCCCTGACTAAATAGCATCTGGTTTCTGGTGACTAGTAACTAACAGGCGCGTGGTTTCTGTTGACTGGTAACTAGAGGAGTAAGATTTTTCAATACTGGTTAAGTATATAACCGATGGCCCTCTGGACTGGTACTGTAGTAAGATGCTGCTAGATTGGAACAGTAAGACTGGTTACTAATTATGTAACATTTTGTGCTACTATTCACCAGACTAAACCCTCCATTAGGGCACCGGTAAGTGTACCGCCACCCAACGATGGGGACCAATCGCACCTATTTAATTGTATGAGAATATGTGAATATATATCAAACTATAGTCTACTTGTTAGAATTGGACTTAATCTTACCGAATTGGACGGGCTGGTCCAGGTCTATATAATGTTTTTAGTATTCCTAACTATTCTGTTATACGTATAGTTATATATAGACGTACTATAGCTAACATCGTTAAGCTTGTCTGCAATACTAACTAAGGCGTTGCCTAAAAGCTTAAGCTGACGTAGGCGAATGCCACATATTATTATAAGAAAGTCTGCCTCTGCATGAGAAATCTTAAGCTTCATCCCACCCCCCCTTCAAAAGCCGCAGTATTGACAAGATTCTTCGTACGGCTTTTCTTGCTTGCGACTTCCACTGCATCGAGTAACTCATAGTATAGCATTAAGGGACCAGTGCAGCCATAATATGATATCATCCTATGTGCGGCTTGATCTCTCTGAGTCCTTGTTAATTTACACCTTCTTGGTGTACTACTGTTATAGTGTCGGTGGCCACGTGGGCCATACAGGCAAAGTGCCATTGGCCGCGTAGGACTCAGTGGGATAATACACTGAATAATGTGTTAGTACTACTATTAAAACACTGGCAGTATTTGCTAGATATAACTTCCTACTTGAATAGAGACACTTATTTGTACTAACTACTTGTGATACATACATACATACATACATACATACATATATGTATATATATATATATATATATATACTGACTCCTTATGTTGCTTACACTGGCCCTTATTGCGTGATTCTATTCTCTAGTATTTATCCCTGACAGTCAGGGAGAAAGAGCCTGCATGCTGCGAATCCCTACTGTTCTACAAGAAGAAGCTAATGACATCACTGGGCTAGAGAAGAAAAAATTAGAAGAACAACTTATACAGAGTATGTCGATTGCCTGGATACCCGGAGAAATGGAGCAATACAGAACATGAATATGTCGATGCAAACTTGAGAGTCAGAGAGCTCCCAAAAGTCGTCTGACGTGAACAGCATAGCTAATTGTAAATACACTTGCCTTGAATCATTATACTAGGTCAGCTGTCCATCACTGTTGCTCGTTTGATAGTAGTAAAGGGAACCCTGGCTATATTACAGAATCACCTATTCGCCTTAGCTACGGTTGAGTGCCGTGGGTGAAGGCTCATACTGGAGCGGAGTCTAGGTGCGCTGGCCAGCCAGTGTATTGGCCTTCAAACAGTTTCCCATTTCCATTAGCCGTTGTTTTTCCTTCATCGCGACCGGAGATGTTCATTGATCTTCCACAGGGGGAAAAATATATAGTAAAATACACGCCATTGGTATCGTTGTACGCAAAAGACACAAACTCGTGTATGGCCGGGGGCTTATCTAGGTCGACATAGGGGCTGAGTGTCCAAGAGTATTAGCGGCACGGAAATAAATGATATATGACCATGATGATAAAAACTTACAAGGCGTCACGCAGGAAGTCAAAGTAGGAATCTGCCTCACGTTGCCACCCCAGCTTTCTGAATATCTCAACAGTGCACTCAGCAATCTCGCGGTCAGACTTGCCAAACTGCCACTGGCTCAAGTACAGTTTGACATTGGGAACCGTTTGACCTGGAGCCACCTCAAAACTGGGGGTCAACACGCCGCGGGTCGAGCTCGCATCATTTTTGGGCTTGTGATAGTCATCAGGAAGGGGGTCTCCTCTATGACAACGCATGAGATCCCAGATGGAGTGTAAGATTTCAAGCCCTTTCATACGCTCTTCGTTGACAACCTGGCCTCCTAGGGTGTAGATGTTCTTGACAGTTTCCCAGGAGTTGGCTTCAGAGACAATGCCATATGGCTGAAGGTGGAGGGTGTCAGCAAGAAACGATTCTGGTGTCCGTGGACCATCAGAGTGGAACGACTTGGAAAAATGGCATACCTTGACTCGTGTAGTTGGCAGGTTTGGGTCGGCAGCGTCCAAGCCTATGATGATGAGTTCCAGTTGTTCTGCGTTGAGCTTCATGACATATCGCTCCAGTATGTCCATGGCCTCAGTGAAGTCGTAGCCATCTTTGGCCAATGCCCTAATGCTACTGATGACGATTTCGTTGCCGGTTCTTCCCGTGGCCAGTTTCTTGGCTTGAGGGTTGTGATAGAGCTTCAGCTTCTTTATGGGGCCGACGAGGTCCCAAGCGATGGCAATATTGGGTATAAGCGTGTGCAGATGGAGCGGCACCACAGCCTTGACTTTGGCGACTTCCTGCGGGTCATGGACGAACAACGATTTCGCCAAGGCATCAAATAAGGTCAGGTCTGGCTCATGAGACGTTTCGATGGCGGTTCGAAGCTCATCGACGAAGGCTTGGCTATTGAAGACGTCATGTGGTCGCGTCATACCGCTGCGGACTGTAGGCTTCGTCTTGGAGCACCAGTTGATGCTGATGTGGCACGGGCTCGAATCATGAGTGAAAATCGGGTCTGGATTTCCCTCTGAGGGTCGCGGGCCGAATATGGGCGTTACTTGGGTAGCATACCAGGCTTTGTGGCTTTCTTGTTCCTCTAGCGTGTATCTCCCGGCGTACGCCAACATGGAAGACAGTGCGGGCTCAACAAACCGCCACCAATACTGCTGATCGGGGTTCAGGTTGTAACTGCCGCTTGAAATCCCCCCCATGATGTGATGATTCTGCGTCGCTGGAAAAGAGTTGTGGGCGGACCGGATAGGGATGCACGTATTACGGATTGTGCTTACTGTTTTTATGTTAAATAATATGTTGGCTTGGACCCCAAGCAAAGGCTGACTATAATCTATGACGTTCAAAGTTAGCTTTCGTTAGTTTCTCTCGAGTCATGATCTCCTATCTATCTAAATGACGCAGCCGGCCCAGAGGCGTGTGCACAACACAACCATGATTGTTGTAATCGGCGGGAAGTTACATATTCCGGTTTACATTTCAACTTACCCTCTCGGCCTACGCCGTTGTTGCGATAAAACATGCGATGTATGTTGCGGTAAACTCAAAAGGTATAGAGTTTAGCTTCTCGTACCGTCCAGAGCAGAAACAACGCATGCACCCATGAATCGTAACATTTAGGCTACTAGCTAGAACCCAAGGAACCATCTGACGAGGTACCATGCCACCTAATCATTGAAAGTTAGTTCAAAAGATTCATTTCAGTACGGATGAGGACGGAAAAATGAAGTAAAACTGTGTCCGAAGTATATACCGCGGTTTTTATTAGTCGCACCGAGATACTCTTTTAATCGCCAGCTTCCTTTATGCCAACTGAAGACAGGAACGTCGACTGCTGAGTAGAACTTGGAATGGCATCCGTTTTTCATCACTTCACTTTGCCGATCTGGCTCTTGGTCATCATTGGTGCGGCACTCTTGCATGCTGCCCTAGCTCCGCGCTCCGCGAACCCGCTGTCAAAATATCCGCTTGTCTCCCGGCGGCGGTGGTACGATGTCTTGGGATTCTGGGAGCGGGCTGAGTTCTTGCTCATGGGGGCTAGAAAACCTCTGGTCGCCGCAAAAGAGTATGAGCTTGGACAAGCATTCCGCATCAGGGACCCATGGGGCGAAATACTTGTTTTGCCGGCCGAGGACGCGCAATACCTCAAGAGTCACACTAGCTTTGCTTTTGAACTTTTCTTTAACGGAGTACAAATTCCCTTTTCCCAGTCACATTATGTCTGTTTGTTGACTCACTTGCGACTAGAGAACGCACGCGTCACTGAATGATGGTTTGGCTGGGTTCCTGGAGCTTGCGAAGCTACCAAATATTGTCAGCCAAGGCGTGAAGAACAACTTGACGCAGGTGTCTAGTGAGTAAAGATGTCATGGTAACAAAAGGCTTATATAACATCGCCTGACTCTTTCATGTCACCAAAGATGATATACTTAACGCCCTGTCCGAAGAAACGACATCTGCCATAGACGACATTATCCCGGTTTCCGTCGGTTAGTTGTTGTGCCCCAGGGCCGCATTACAGGCGCGCGTGCATCTCATGCTAAATAACCAAACTATTAGATCGCTGGGAGGAAATCCCTGTGTCGGATGCAGTTGTGAAAATCGTGCACAGGGTGTCAAGCCGGACATTTATCGGAGACGACGGACCCAGAAACGCGGAATGGCTGGACCTCGCCCAGAACTATACGCCCGACGTATCGTTTGCCGGTTTCATCTTAGACCTCATGCCGCCACAGCTGCGTCCGCTGGTACAGTGGTTCATCCCCGCCATCTACCGGTCCCGCAAGCAGATCAGGGCGGCGCGCCGTCTCGTGGCCTCGATGATGGACGAGAGGCGGCGGCGGCACGAGGTCCAGCCGGCAGCCTCTGCAGTAAACCCAAAAGAGAGGGTAGTTGTGGCCAGCAATGACGCCATCGGGTGGTTCGATCGGGCTGCTGACGGGGACGTGAAGCTCTATGACGCCGCCGCGGCGCAGCTAGCCCTCACGTTCGTGGCCGACCACACCTCCGCTAACTTTATCATGATGGTCCTGCTGGACCTGGCGCGTCACCCCGAAGTGGCGAAGGAGGTGCGTCGCGAAATCGAGCAAGAAGTGAACCAGATTGGCTGGATGGGGTGGGAAAAGGGCAACTTACACCGGATGAAGCTGTTGGACAGCGTAATCAAGGAGAGCATGCGTCTTAGGCCCATATTCTTTGGTACGTCACTCAAGTGTTACATTTCTAGTTCTTAAAAACCTATCAAGGGCAGTAACAACTGCTCGATCTATAATGATGGTGGTCATTTTCTGACAACAGAGACAGCTGCAATGTTGGGGGGTGTTACAGAGGCGATGAGCCTCAAAGATGGTACCGTCCTTCCAGTCGGCACTAGAATTGCGGTGGCTGGGGACGGGAACCGCGACCCAGCTGTATATGATCGACCGGACGAGTGGGACGCATATCGTTTCTACAAGATGAGGCAGACAGGCGATAGGGAGGATATGGCCCAGCTAGCCTGTGCTACTGTTGAGCATGCAGGCTTTGGCGTCGGGAAGCATTCGTGCCCTGGAAGGTTCTACGCGGCGGATGTGATGAAGATTGTCCTGTGCCATCTTCTAATGAAGTACGACTGGAAGACCCTCGAGGGCGGTCCCGAGACGGTGATTATGGGATGGACTCAGATGATTCACCCAGAGGCTAAGATTCTTGTGCGACGACGTGGGTAGACAAGGTATACATATTGCATCGGAAGTTCCTCCTATGGAACACGCAGCTGATTGTGTTACAGTCGACGGCCGGTCGACGTCGCACGTAGTTCTCAAATTAAAACTTTTCCCGCGTGAGCGTCTACTATTGAAGAGCTATTTAGCGTATGCTAACACAGGCTTCCGCACCTCCATGTTTGATTTAACTGTCACATTCTTGCAGTTTCCTTAACATTCGAGGCTCCGCATTTATTTATTCATTCTCTAATCTGATGCCACGTGTTTGTGGCAGAGTCATTTTACGGCTAGGAAATGACTAAGGAAAACGGCTTGAACTACTACGTGTGAGAATGGCAGGTCTGACCCGAATATGTACGCTTCTGGGCGATGGGGCAGACCGAAGTGGGCGGAACAATAGTTGTCCCGGTCACTGGGGAGTCCGCCAGCTACACGAAGGCATCGCGACAGTGTTCTTGTTCCTGTAGTCTTGTTGACGCTCGCTCAGACATCAATACTAATCTCCTCGGCGCGCTTGCGGATCTTAATCCGGACCTCTCGGTCGTGGCCCAGAAAGAAGCCCATCGGGACGTATGGCTTAGGGTTGAGTTCTTGGTCCAACTCGATGTCGTATTTAAGCATCAGGTGGCAGAGGGCCATCTTGACAAGGTCGGTTGCGAAAAAGCGGCCTGGGCACACGTGGAGGCCGTACCCAAAGCCAAGCGAATTGATGCCCGCGCTAACCATGGGCGCCTGGTGTTTCTGTTTATCTGAGGCCCGCATTCTCACCCAGCGGAAAGGGTCGAAGTCACCTGGACGCTCGTAGATGGACGGGTCGAGGCGTGTCGTGTTGGCTACTACAGTGTGTGCGTGTTTTGGGATCAGGGTGCCATCCGAAAGGTACACGTCCGACGTGGCAACGCGGTGCATCGTGACTATTGTTTTACGGGTTAGGTGTCGTGACCACTTTGCCGGTGAAGTGTATGGGGACATATAAATGAACTCAGGACTCACTAAATTCGAGCGGCTTGAGACGCTGCGTCTCCTTCATGACCCCGTCCATCAGCTGCAATTTGTGGAGGCACGGCTTGGACCACCCCTCGGGGCCGACCGCGTCGACCATCTCGCGGCGCAGCGGCGGCACTATGTCCGGGTGGAGGAGGATGTTAATCAGGGTCTGCGTAAGAAGGTCGGTGGAGCTATGGAGACCGACAACGGATGTCTGGAGCTGGAACATGGCCGGATCGTAGTCTTTTACGCTAGGACCGGGAGAGTCCTGGAACTGCTCGGCGCCCCATTCGATGGCGTCTTCGTAACACGGCATCGGGCGGCCGGTCGAAGCCGCGTCCAGCCTCTCGCGGCGGCGCTTATCAACCACAGCCGTGACCAGGGCGCGGGCTGTGGCGAGCTCGGTTCGCATGGCGCGGCATTCCGGCAGCGCGAGGTGCGCCAGGTAACGGAGGGGGGCTGGGAACAGCCGCAGCTTGTTGGCGGCCACGGGGGCGTGGATGGTATACTGGATCGTGTTGCGGAGCCATGTCTCGTTACGGCACAGATCTTGGCCCGATGTGACGCGCGCGGCCATGCGAGATGTTATCTCCAGCGTCAACTCCTCAAGGCCGAGATGCTGCCAATCTAGCACGAGCAAGCGCCGTTCTTAGAGCGGTTCGAGTTTGGCTAGGCTAATATCATCGGGGGGTCACATAATTCATACCTGGAGAACGGCCGATTTTCATCTCAAGAGTGCGAGCGGCCTCATCACAGAGGGGTATCGTTGTCTTGGCTGGGCTGCGATTAGCGATACTCTTTGACAGGTCGGCGCGAGGCTCGACATACCGATGAGCTTGGTCAGATGTGTCTTGGCCACGGCGGCGAGCCGATCGGTGATGTCCCCCCCAAAGGGCCTGAATGCGGGCAGGTGGGCATGGAAATCCTGTTAACATAGCGGCTCGGTTGTTAGCAACGAGGCACGGCAAGACAGAAAGCGTTTCGGTTGCTAGTTTTAACAAACACTCTCACCTGTTCGGCCGACTTTGTGAAGCTTAAGCGGGCGTCGTTGCGGATCTCTTCTGCAAACTTGGCCGGCAGGACCATGACGGGGCCGCCGAGAGTGACAATACTGTAAGGTTTGTCGCCAAATCTCTTGCGCGCGTCGCTCATCAGGTCTTCGGTGCCGGTGACAGACTGCATCTTGCTCCGGGAGTACGTCAGGTCGAACATCTTGGGCGGGTTGATCAAGGGCGGCATGCGTCTGACATGGTTGATGCTGCTCCATGATGTGTAGAATAGCAGCGCAAGCAGAATTGCAGTCGCGGCGTACAACAAGAGGCTGGGGCGGGAGCTCGCCTTGATCCAGTCTGTGGCTGGTGGCAGCATGATAGGCTTCGGTGAGCTCATAACGCCAGGAGTTTTTGACGGAGCCGTGAAGAAGCCTTAACACTGAGTCGTTTAGTCCAGTAATTATGATAGAGATGGTTTTATTGTTGGCTTCAAGAGACTCGTGTGGTTGTTCTACTCAAGTGTGCTCAGCATAACCAGTGATTATACTTTGGGGTGCGTTTCTTCCGCTTCATAGACCAATACCACTAGTAGTGGCGTGGACGAAGCAAGCAACTTTTTTCTGCTCACATGCTCCATGCGTCAGAAAGGTTTGCAGAATGCCACCCTTTGCTTAGTTCCTGAACCCTTACAAAGTAGGTGATCCCTGTTCTCGCGATGGGCGTAAAGCTACTGTACATGTACGAAGTAAGAACTCAGCATCATGAAAATGCACACCCTCAGGCCCTTGGGGATACACCAAGATACACGCATTTTCCCACCCACCACGACTGTTGACCATGATGGCGGCAAAGGGGGCACTAGCCCTGCTACATACGATGTATGATACGACGTCAAAGTCTGTAACCTTCACACCTATTGACTTGGGCCCCTTTTCTACACCTTACTCGCGGTGAGGAGCCCTAACCTCTGTAGATGTCATGAGGCGAGCTGTCATATTACCCCACCACCTGGTAGGCAGACATGAATGATTTAGTCGAAAAAGCGTTCCACCTAAAGTGACTATCAACTCGGCCTGTATCGCGTCGAGGCCCTGATCGGCAACTTGATGGAACTTGGATAACGGAGGTAACCTGGATAAGAAATACATAAAGCTAGGGCTATTTAGGGCTATCTGTTAAGTAAAAGTCTGGTTATATAGATGGGAAATTAGGCCTAAATCGAGTCTCTAGAAGTCACTCTTATCTAGGTACGTGGCTAATGTTGGACAAACTTCTATTACAGAGAACTTAAATCATAATGTACCCCGCGGTTTCTAGGTCTAATGTAGTATATTTAAGTTTAAGCGGTACATCTGGCCATGTAAGTTGCCTTTTATCCGACTTTATCTAGGTTTTGGCCGTTGTCTAAGTTGCCAATGAGGGCCCTAGTCTACCAGAAGACTACCGTAAACACTGGCTAAGTTTGATCGCCTCCACTTTGCAAGCTAACGGTAACGAGTATCGCTGCCACTGACTACGCTAAGCCCTTTATAGAAGACGGTCAACTCACCCATCCACCCATCCACCCACCAAACCCTAACCCTTGCCACCAAACTTGCTGCTGACGTTGACTAACCCCTGCATTTGCCACATCTAGATCCTTGTTTCTGCCAGCAGACTATACCCCTCACAGTAGGCCACGATACTCGTTGCCATTAGCTTATAAAGTGGAGGTAGTTAGATTTAGCTAGTGTTTATTATAGTACTTACTGCTTATATAAGCACATTAAGTTAAACCTTAGCTAGGCAAGATATACTATACTATCCCTATAACTATAACTTTAATTTTTAAAAGTGAATAAGATATATTTTATTACACTTTTATAATATATAACTTTAACTTCTACTTAGTTACTATTATATCTAGGTGTTAAATAGCTTATAGCCACCTTATAAGGACCTTATAATAAAATAGATAGCAGTAGAGTAGTTATTTAGTATTTCCCCCTTAAATAAGGGGCCTAGAAGTCATTCTTATCTAGGTATATAGTAAAATGCGAAGGTTTTGTATAGGCAAACTCTACTAATGAAAAAAAGGGCCCTTTTTAGCCTAGCGCTACATTTATTTAGTTTCTGACTAATATTTCCCCTCACGTTATCCAAGTTGGCGCGTTATCCAACATTCCCACCGTTGCCGATCAGAGCCTAATTAGCATTGAGGCATATTTGTACAGATACATACGCAACCCCACCAATGACGATGTATACAGTCTAAACATAATGCCGAGTTACCGGGTAGTGGATAGGTAATTTCTAAAATAAAGTTTTTGTCGCTTTTGAATGTTGTGGTGAACCGCAGCGTCTTGTTATATGAGAGAAAAGTAGTTATCCTATTAAGAAACTACGTATGAACCGGAGAAGCGGTAGAAATACCTTTTCTACACGGTCCGTGCGGGTGGTACGCCACATCCTGTGGCGGCGCTGCTGGCACTAGCCACACGAAGCTATTCCAGCTTCACGACAAATGTTAATCTGCACAGTAATTCACGGTGACGTTTGTCCTATTACAGGTCCTCTTTCGCGAAGATATCGAGAGCGCTAGCCCTTCAAGGTGTCTATGCATCCGCTGAATTAGTATACTACGGAATCCTTTTTGATCTGGTGGTTGAGACCTTGGTGCTAGGATGAAGACCTAGTCATATACAGGCTATCCTGTCATGTGTAGCAATCTTATTAGTTAGGCTTTCAACCGGCGTATTTATGTCATAAAATGTAGAATTAGAGATAGATTCACAAGCAGAGCCTTCGCTTTGTGGCGCAATTGGTTGTCTTAAGACGCTTGTGGCAAGAGAGCGGAATTACATTAGTACCGCGCCTCCCTATAAATAACTTAAAGCCCCCTCCGCTCGCACTCAAAGGGATAGTGCACCGTAGCGACTTGAGAAGCTCCACGGGAAATGTGCAATTATGAGCCATGCCGTTCATCAGCTCGATCACTAAAAAAACCCAATGCCTTTCCAATGGCCTCGGCTGTCTTACGAGCATATGTCGGCTGCATTACCTCCTGATGGTTGGCGTCCACCGACAAACACAATATGTCGCGGTCGCTCTGGCCGCTGCCATTATTGACGTAGTTCTCCCAACCGTTGGGGCCCAAGTCGGCGGGCGTCTTGTTCAGCAGGCTCCAGAGCAGGTGGCCGAGCTTGGCGTCCTGCATAAAGCCGGGAAACGGCTCAAGAGGAACGCCGTGTTCGGCCGCGCGCCGCATGAGGTCAGGGTGCCGCTGCAGATGTGTTATCATGCCCTTCACGCACCACACGATGGCCGTGGCTACGTTGAAACAGGCCTGTTGCAGCTGCGGCGGCGGCGGCATTGGAGGGCAGTACCTAGCTACGGTGTCTAAGAACCTGACCAGATGGCGGGCCGTGTCCGAGTCTGGGTTCCAGCCGACTGAGGTGAGGGCAAAGGTGTGGTTGGTCAGGTTCTGGATGATGTCGGGCGGCACAGCGCGGTCCGACGATGGCATCTTCAGGTTTTGTTCCGGCAGCGGCAGCGGGCACCGCATGTCGATGATGAGAAGGCCCCGGACCTCGTGGCCGGCCGCAATAAGTTGGCGGGTCATCTCGTAGGCCAGGATGCCGCCTCCGGAGAAGCCGCCAAGCGTGAAGGGGCCATGGGGCTGATGTTGGAGCAGCGCGTCGACCATAAGGCGTGCAATGCTCTCGATGCTCACGTCGGGGGTTAGCTGCAATGGGCACCGGAGGTATGGCGAGTCGATGCCGTACAGGTCGGCTGGGAACCTGTGGGCGAGCAGGTGGACGTAGGAAGACACGGAGCCAAAACCATCGGCCATCAGGTACAACCGGTGCTGGCCGGCTTGTTTGTTTGCGTTTGTACACTTGGACAGTAACGTGACTCTCGCCTGAGGACGAACTTTGTTGCTGCTGTTGTTCTTGTTGCGGTCGTTGTCGTCCTCGTCGTTGGCGATGGCCGCGGTAAATAGTCCAGTAGACTTGACGGTGGCGGCGGCCGTGGCGGCGGCATCAAAAGAGGCGTCTGGCTGCAGAGCCGTGTCTTGTTCAAATTGGTTATCTTCCTCGTCAAGCTCACTGTGAGGAGTGATCAGGACTTCCGAATCGGCTGACGAGCCCGATTTGCAGGCTTCTAGATCATCCCTGTTGCTGTCAACGTCGCCGCTGTCGTTCGACGGGCTAGCCTTATTCCGACCACGCAGCAGGGAGCGCAGGTGACCAATGGTGTGGCACTCAAGCAGGAAGCTCGGGGCGAGGTCGCACCCGGTCGTGGCCTTTACGCTGGACACGATCTCGATGGCCATGATGGAGTCAACGCCGAGATCGACCAAGTCCTGGTCGTCGGCGAGACGTGACAAGTGGCATCCCGTTTCCACGGCAATACTCCGGATGACGGCGTCCGCAACATCCACAGTCTCACCCCTCGTTGCCGGTTCGTCTGCTGCCTGGTTTATGTCTTGTCGACCTGTCACGTACGTCGCGAGGGGCTTCGTGCCCTTTGAAGGAGCCGAGATGACGGCGCGTGGCTTCGCGTCGCGAGTAAGAACATCGTCACCGGGGACGGGGGGGCCCTTGAACGTTCCCAACGCCTGCGCCATGACGGTGGTGCTCAACTCGCGAAAACACATATCGACACATGAGAGGACCATGGTACCGGCGGCGTCAAAAGCAAACACATCACAATACAATGCGTCATACCTCTTCGTGCAGATGCGGGCGTACGTCGTGTAGGCCTTGCCGGGCTCGAGCGCAGCAACTCGCTCAATGCGGCCGATGCTGTGCATGATGCAGATGGTGGAATCGGCGGCGGTAGGCTGGCGAGGACGGCAGTTTGCAAGAAAGCCGGCCAAGTGAACCAAGGCCTCCCCCCAGTATGGCGACGAGACGAAGCGGGTTCCGGGCGCAGTCTCAGCCAGGACGCAGTGCGCGGTGGCGTCCTGGAAGTCCGGGGACACGAAGGCTTCGGTGATGGCCTTGAAGCCCTCATTGTGGTACTCGAACGTGCGGGACAGGAGGGAGTAAAAGAGTGCAGGCTGGAGCCAGTGACCGCGCCCTTCTTTGGCGTTTTGGGTGATGAGGTCCATTCGCGACTTGACGTAGTACGAGTTGCGTTCCCATACAGCTTGGATCGCTGTTGGGTCCTGCCTTGTGACGGTGCATGTGCCGAGCGCAACTTGACGTGCCAGCGATGGGGACCCGGAGGAGGTCTTGAACGAGACCGCGACGGCTTGGGCCGTACCAGTCTTGAGGTCTTGCTGAACCGTTGCGCTGGTGAAGAGTTCCCCGTCCGATCCCACCAGGTTTTCGGTAAGCGGGCGGATGAGAGAAATATCAGCGAGGGCGAGTCCCAAGCCATCCGTGTCGCTCTGCTCCCCGAGCACATGGGAGGCGGCGGCAAGCGCGGCGTCGCAATACACAGAGCCGGGACACACGGGAACTCCCTGCACTCGGTGGCCGTCGATTATCTGCTTCAAAGCCGGGTGGGCAAGCCGCGAACGGAACGTCACCTGGGTGTCCGTCTTGTCGATTATGTTTTGCGCGCAGGTGTAGTGCATTGTCTGTAGCCCAGCCGCGTCTTGTCCGGCCGAGCTTGCTTCTTGCGATGGAGCTGACGTCTTCTCAGTCCACCTGATCCAGTAATCCTGGACATCCCAGGCGTACGTCGGTAGCGTAGACAAGAGCTTGAGGCTTCCCTGACGCGGCCCGTGGAGCCGGAGCCAGTCCAAGTCGATGCCGTTGGCGTACATGTCGGACAGGCAACTACAGACGGACGACCAAGTAGATGCGGTTTTACGATGCTCCATTGTCGACGCAACCACGGTGGACTCTCGCACCGAGGACGGGAGAATGGAACGTACCAGAGATGCACATACGCCTCGGGGGCCCAGCTCGAGCCAGATGGCGTTGTTGCCCTCTCCCAGTGTGGCGTTGGCGGCCTTCACGGCTCCGGAAAAGTTCACAAGACAACGGGTCTGCCGTGCCAGGTAGCTATGGTTGATCGTCTTGCTGGACGTCTTCACCACGGACGCGAGAAGCGTCGAGGCCAGCGGCACCTTGGGCGGCGAGAAGGTCACGGCCGCCGCAAGCCTCTCTAGGTCAGGAACCACGGCGTCCATTTGTGACGAGTGGTACCCGTAGGGGACGGAGAGCCGCCGAGAGCGGATGCCCTCTCGGGCCAACTCCTCGGAAGCGGTGAGGACATCGGCCCTCGTGCCGCTAACAACAACAGCGCTCGGTCCGTTGATACAAGCCACGGTGCACGACGGCAGCAGGCCCCGTCTAGAGGCCAAGAAGGCCTCAACCGCGTCGACAGCGGCCGAGACGGCGAGCATGGCGCAGGCGCCGGGTTCACACACGGCGAGTAGCCGCCGCGCACGGTGGCCTACGAGATGGAGGGCATCGGCGAGCGAAAGGACGCCAGCCACGTGAAGGGCCGCGTACTCACCGAGCGAGTGGCCAATCACCATGGTCGGCTCGACACCGACATGGCGCCAGAAGGCGGCCAGCGCTAGCTCGAGCGTCACCAAGGCGAGGTGGTTCTTTACTATCGTGTCGCCGCCGCTCTCCGTCTCGACACCTTCGCCCTGACGTCCGGCAGCATCCACGATGACGTCAACAAAGGGGGGGAAGCCGTGCTCGGCACAGAGCTGCGCGCAACGGTCGACCATCCCGCGGAAGACGGGGCTGGAATGGTACAATTCCCTGCCCATTCCGACATGCTCGGAGCCCTGTCCTGGAAAGATCCATACGACAGGTCGCGACCTGTGACCCGGCAAGGTGGTGCTGACAGCAGCACCTGGGAGACGCGTATCCGCGTCGTTCGTCAGGTCCAAGTCTGTTTCGAGAGACCCGATAAGGTCTCTAACCGATGAGACGGCGTAGGCGGAGCGGAAAGGGCGGTGGTGGACCCTCCGAGCGGTTGTCGTGTAGGCCACGTCTGCGAGCCGCGCCGCCGGGTTCGCCTTGAGCCAGCTGACCAGCCGGCGCTTGTTCTCGCGGTGCGATGCCTGCGTCCGCGCGCTGACAGCCACCACATAGTGGTCGGCGGAGGGGCCCTCGGAGGATGCGGTGGCTTGTGGGACAAGACCAGCCGGGTCTTCAAGCAGTAGGCAAGAGTTGCCGCCGGCCGCGTCGACGTTGTTGAGGAGGATGCGTCTCGGCCTACCCGGTGCTGATGCGAAAATGCGCTCGGCGGACGGGATCGCGATGCCCAGCTCAGCCAGGGGTGGCAACCTCGGGTGCAAAGCGTGAGGCATGCCAACCTGGGGCGGCATGATCTGGTGGCGGAACATGAAGACGCCCTTGATGAGTGAGGCGATGCCCGAAGCGGCCTCGCTGTGGCCAATGTTAGCCTTGACGGCGCCCACCGCAAGCCGATGCGTGTCGTCCTCGACGCCAGGTCTCGCTAGGACATTGGAGACGGCGGTCATCTCGCAGGGGTCGCCAACGGGAGTGCCGGTGCCGTGTGCTTCAACGTACGAGACATCGGCCGGGGCGACGCCAGCGGTGCGGAGCACCCGCCTGAACAGCCGCTCCTGGGCGCCGGCATCGGGTGCTGTGATGGACGCGGCGTTGCCTGACTGGTTCTTGCCCGAGGCCGCAATGACGGCGAGGACATTATCGTTGTGGGCGACGGCATCTTCAAGGCGTTTGAGCACCACGGCACCAACGAACTCGCCGCGGCAGTATCCGTCGGCGTCGTCGCGGAAGGGCTTACAGTTGCCGGTGGCGGACAGCACGCCAGACTTGGAAAGGGCGCACCAGCCGTGCGGGCTTGAAATGACATTTGAGGCACCGGCGACGACCATATCAACCTCACCCGACACCAGGAGGCGGGTTGCCAGGTGCAGGATAGAAGAAGAGGTTGAGCAGGCTGAGTCGACCGACCAGGTCGGGCCCTCCCATCCAAAGTGGTGGGCGACGCGACCTGGTGCAAAGGCTCGCTGGACCGTCTGCAGCGTGTAAGCGTCGCACCCACGCTCGTGATGGCTCGTCATGTAGCCGTCCTCATTGCTCTGGCCGTAGATGACGGCGATGCGGGCCGGGTCAACAGTTCGGGTGGGACCGTCCGAGTACCCGGACATCTCGACAGCCGCGTGGGCGGCCATGAGGAAGAGCCGGCTGCAGGGGTCGAGCAGGGTGGCTTCCCGAGGGGAAAGACGGAAAAATCGGGCATCAAAGTGACCGGGGTCCCGGAGGAAGCACCCATAGTCTGTCGATGACCGGCAGGGTGATGATGATGATGATGACGAAGATGCCGCGTGGGGCGGGAACAGACTGTCGGCGTCGAAACGGTCCTCTGGGATGGTTCGGGCGACGTCCTGGCCCTGCCGGATGAGGTTCCAAAACTGGTCGAGGGAGTCGTTGGCGTGGCTGTCCGGGCCGCGCCCGCCCATTCCCACCACGGCAATGCGGCCCGGCGGCGGCGACGAGTGTGACTCCGGGGGGCCCTCTGCGTCCATGGAATCCGCCGGGGTGACGACACGAAAGACTGTGAGCGGCTGCGTCAAGTTGGCTTCGAGGGTCTTGACAACGTAGGCCTCGTGCGACGTGGCACCCATGACGCCCAAGTCGATACTGGCCTGGCTGTCGCTCAACGTTGAGGCCAGCCGGCCAACGAGTTCCTCGACGTCGACAGGCCTAGAAAACGCGCCTTCGACAACGTCACTCAGCAGACTGCCCCAGGTAGTGTGTCGTTTTCCCAAGTCAGGGAGCCCCCATAGACCAAAATCTTGGCACGGGGTCGCCTCGACGAGAGGGGAGCGCCCGACTATGTAGTCGAGCTCCGCCTGACTGTACTTCCACCCGGGATTGTGCTGCAGGGTGTGAATGGCCAGCGGCGCCTTGCCTACGCCCGTCCGCAGCCTGGGACACTGCTCAAGACACATCTCGAGAACCGAAGGCGGGCCGATGACGGTGCTCCACCTGTCGCCGCGGATGCCGACGCGCGCTATTTTGTATACGGGAACCCCCTCCAATGACGAGTCAGACGGAACACACACACACCCAGGCAGGCAGAGACCAAATGGGCAGCCGAACAGCCTGCGCAGGGAGTGTCGGGGAATCGAAACTCACCATTGTTGCTTGGAACTCGGCTAGGGCGGCGTCGAGTTCGGCGGATGAAATGCCGGTGACAGTCCACCCCCACACGCCGCCTTCCGGAGAAGACTCCTCCACATCACTAGACCGCGTCCACGCGAGCTTACAGTGTCGGCACACGAGCCCAGCCACGACAAGACTTGCATCGTACAAAGAATCAAAGTCCCGGGCAACTGCCAGCGCCGCGGCATTGAACAAGCCGCCGGATATGCCCAGGGCGTCTGGGGGTTCAGAGCGCAGGGACTCCGGATTCTCGCGGACCCATCTGATGATCATTTGGGTCAGCAAAGAACAGTCAGGGAAATCGAGGGAAGAAAATCGAGGAACCGCGTCATCAAACGCACCCGAGAAGAGCCGCCGCTCGCACGACGTAGACCATGACGGCGTCGACAAAGCCGACATGATCATGGCGCCCCCGGTATGCGTCGGCGATTTCGGCAAGGCTGGAAAAGCAGACGCCATTGTCCTGCGTCAGGCTCTCACGCAGCTCGCCATCCATCTGCTGTGCTTCCGCGGAGACAATGGACGCGGTCTCGTCGAGGAACCTCTGCAGCCACTTGGTGGAGGCGGCCTTCAGCATGAGATGGTCGAATGAGTCGGCCCAGGGGTCGGTATAGTCCCCAAACAAGAGGACCCTGCGCTTAGGGACGCTCATGCCAATGGGAATAATATTGCTAGCAGATGATGGTAGTGCAGCCAACACACATGGAAGGATATACTTTCAAAAAGTGTAGCAACTCACGCGGTTGGGCACCTGTAAACATGAAAACAGATCAACGCTGCTAATCGGCGCAACAATCAACGCTTTATATCTTGTTATAGTATCAGAAATAGGTCACTGGGTTCAAGCAAGGCTATCTATTGGTTGCAAATTCATGTGCTTTGTAGTAATTGCACGATCGGTATGATCTATACGAAACGGCTGGTGACCACAGTTCACATTTCGTCTCCGTATGACCATCGCACTTGTACATGGTTGTATTCCGGAATTGAGTTATTATGAAATCTTATATAAATGCCGAGATGCCGTGGCCATCTCAGAACAACCGAGGCCTGCCACTCAACAAAGTTGAAAAGAAAAGAAAAGAAGGCCTACAGGGTTACAGAACAATCCTTACCCTTAACTAAGTACCTGTACTCCCCCGGCCATACTGTGGGAGGATAGGCTGACTATCAACCAGCATCCCCGGGTAGTTAAAGAACAACATTCTGTGACTATATCTAATAAATTAAAGTTCAACGATTCAAAGTTTAGAGGTTCAACGCGTCAAAGTTTAGAGTGCGTGCTCTGGAACTATCGCGTAACAAGTAGCTGACTCGGACTTAGATTCACGCCCGTCGCCGGTTTAGAGACAACGTCGCGATTTAGTTTGGGTTTACAAGGGTTTCCTAATGTAGAGGAATACTTACATCAAAACAGTCAGACAATATCTAGTGTATTCTCAGGGGGTAGAGGAAGGGGAGATTTCTATCCCGTTATGCTCAGTAGCAGCAGGGTGCTGCTACGACCGATTTGTGCAGAGGATCGCGATGTGGGCATTCATCATATCAACGCCACATCTATCTAGATCACCAAACTATGCTTTTCTTGCCCGCAGCCTACATGGCAGATCAATTCAGGTTGGAATTCAGATCCCGTCTTTCTGCCTCCAATACAAACGAGGCTGACTCTCTATCGGTTGGTTCATTCCACACATATCGTGTCACGATAACCTCACGTATTTCCACCTTCTGCAACAGGCGTTCCAGGTACCATATCACGTGCCGCTTCACATTCGCTCCTCTATATATAGGACCTCACTTTCTGCCTTTTTACTTTATAGAAATAAGCTTTTTAGACCTGAATCCTTCTGTGACCTGCTGTGCGCTTTAACGCGTGACATATGGGCAGTATCAACCAAGGACAACCTGGAGCCAGACATGGCTTCTGACGGCTCTAAGGGCGGCCGCGATGAGCCGGTGGCCATCATCGGCATGGCGTGTCGCTTTCCGGGTGAGGCGACGAACCCTTCAAAATTCTGGGAGCTCCTCAAGGACGGCAGAGGTGAGTTGAGAGACCACTTATGTGATAAGTTCTGAAGCCGCGATGGGAAAGCTAATACTGAACGGTTCCCACCAGACGCCTTTTCCGAGGCCGACCGCTTCAACCCTGAGGCGTTTTACCATGCCAACAGCAGCGGGCGACAGAATGTGCTACCGTGCAAGGGGGCGCACTTCTTGCAGGGCAGCCCGTACGCCTTCGACGCCGCCTTCTTCAACATCACTCCCGGCGAGGCGCTGGCGACTGACCCGCGGCAGCGGCTTGCCCTCGAGGTCGCGTACGAGGCGCTCGAGAACTCGGGCCTGCCGCCGCACCGCGTGGCCGGCACGCGAACCGCCTGCTTCATGGGCGCCGCCGCCAACATGGCCGAGTATAAGGACGGCATCGTCCGCGACTTTGGCAACCAGCCCCAGCATCTCATCATGGGCATCTCCGAGGAGCTCATGAGCAACCGTCTCTCGCACTTCTTCGACCTGCACGGGCCTAGCGCCACCGTCGAGACGGCCTGCTCGTCGAGCCTGGTCGCCGTCCACCTCGCATGCCAGAGCCTGCGCGCGGGCGAGTCCAATGTCCGTTCTAGTCCTCCACCGTGTTCCAATTTGCTTTTGTGGACGTTTCTCAAGCCTGAATGTGCAAAACTGACATTGGTCACGCAATTTAGATGGCCATCGCGGGCGGCGTGAACCTGCTGCTATCGCCCGACACGTTTATGCAGCTACAGAACCTTTCGGTGCTCAGCCCAGAGGGCCGCTCGCGGTCCTTTGATGACAACGGACGCGGATACGGCCGTGGAGAGGGGTGCGGCATCGTGGTGCTCAAGCGCCTTTCAACAGCCCTCAGCGACGGAGACCCGATCCGTGCCATCATCCGGGCCACCGGCTGCAATTCGGATGGATGGACAAAGGGCATGGCCCTGCCTTCTGGCGAGTCGCAGATGCAACTCATCAAGGACGTCTACGATACATTTGGTCTCGACTACTCCTTGACCCAATACGTGGAGGCACATGTACGTCTGTTTAAATCCCTATACCCCTTGATCACTCCCCCCTTTTTCTTTTTTCTTCCGTCGAGGCTCTAGTCGCATGTATAGAGGCTTATATTCAACGCCGTAGGGAACTGGGACGAAGGCCGGAGACCCGACAGAGGCCCACGCCATCTATAACACCATCGGCAGGGCTACCAGGAATCAGAAACTGATCATGGGCAGCGTAAAGCCAAATGTGAGCGAACACCCCTTCCATACCCCCCCCCCCCCCCCCCCTTGAAGTTGTCTGACTTAAAATTATTCGAGCTTGAAAAGGGCATGCAACTAAGTTGTTTTGTTGCCAGATCGGTCACCTAGAACCGGCCGCCGGCATCGCCGGGCTGATCAAGGGCGTGTTATCTTTGGAACGCGGCCTCATCCCACCCAACATACACCTGACCAAGATAAACCGCAACATCCCCCTCGACGAATGGAACATGGAGATACCTACCAGGCTGACGGCGTGGCCCGTTGCCCAGTACCGGCGCATGAGCGTCAGCAGCTTTGGTCTGGGCGGCACCAATGCTCACGTCGTCATGGAGGCTCACAATTCCCAGGTCATCAGAGACCACGGCAGCAACGGCAGCAGGAGCGGAATCACCTGTCATCGTAAGAGACTGTTCGTGCTCAGCAGCCAGGACAAGGGCGGCTTCGACCGCATCGGCAACTCGCTCGTCCGACACCTGGACGGCCTTGGGCCGCTCGCCGCTCGCCCTGAATACCTGGCCGACCTGGCCCACACGCTCGCCGTTGCACGGTCGGGGCTCGGATGGGTGAGCAGCTTCGTCGCCGAGAGCTTAGCCGAGGTGCGGGAACGACTGAACCTGGGCGCGGGACAAGACGCCACGCGACGACGGCGCAGCGAGAAGGACAAAGACAACGCGCCGAGGTTGGCCTTTGTCTTCACCGGCCAAGGCGCGCAGTGGGCCGGCATGGGACTCGAGCTGCTCCAGCGACCCGTCTTCGCGGCATCTGTGGCCGCCTCTACGGCCCACCTGGCTCGGCTTGGATGCGAGTGGGATCCGGTTGAGGAAATGCGCAAGTCGGGCGACATGAGCCGGCTTAGCAGTCCGGAAATCAGCCAGGCCGTCTGCACCATCCTCCAGATCGGGCTCGTTGACGAGCTTAGATCGTGGGGGATACGGCCGGCAAAGGTGATTGGTCACTCGAGCGGCGAGATCGCCGCGGCGTATTGTGCGGGCGCCCTGACCCATGCTGACGCTATCGCGGCCGCTTACTTCCGCGGCAAGGCTTCGGCTGCTGTTGTCGCTACGAGCACGTCGACGGGTAGGGGCATGGGCATGATGGCCGTCGGCTGTTCCAGAGAAAAGGCTGAGAAGCTGATCGCAAGCCGTGACGGCAGTATTGGAGTGACGGTGGCGTGCGTGAACTCGCCCGGGAGCATCACGCTCTCGGGCGACGCGGCGGAGCTCGACCAGCTAGCCCGGGTCCTCCAAGAGCAAAACATCTTCCACCGACGGCTCAAGGTAGAGGTCGCGTACCATTCCCCTCTCATGGCGCCCGTCTCTGAGGCATACTTGTCATCCATCGCCGACATACAGCCCCGAGAAGAGACGGACCCTGTAATATCAGGAGGAACAGTCATGATCTCAAGCGTGACGGCCTCCGAAGCGACGCCCGACATGCTCGGCCCGTACTACTGGCTTGCCAACATGCTATCACCGGTTCTCTTCTCGGACGGCATCCGCGAGCTGGTGCGGCCGTCTGACCCGGACGATGCCGAGAAAGACGCCGGTAACACGGTCGACATGATGATTGAGATCGGCCCCCATAGCACGCTTGCCGGACCTGTCGCCCAGACTCTGTCCGACCACGGCCTAGGCGAGGTGGAATACCGGTCGGTGCTGCTTCGGGGCCACGACGCTGTCGAGACGGCCCTGCAGCTCGCCCGAGGCCTCTTCCACGCCGGCGTGGCTCTCGATGTTGCCGCCGTCAACGGCGACAAGGATTTGGGCACCTCGCTCCTTACTGACCTGCCGCCTTACCCGTGGAATCACGACAGGCTTTTCGACGCCACGTCTCGCATCCAGAAGGAGTACCTACACCGCCAGCTCCCGCGCCGGAGCCTTCTTGGGACGCAGATGCCAACCGTACACCAGACGCAGCGTGTCTGGCGCAGCCACGTCCGGCTCGAAGAGGAGCCCTGGCTGCGTGGCCACAAGGTGGGCGTGACGGTCGTGCTGCCCGCTGCGGCCATGCTCAGCATCGCCATTGAGGGCGGGCGCCAAATCGCCGAGGCTGGAAAGACGCTGCACGCCATCCGACTGCGCGACGTGTCCTTCTTCGCCGCGCTGGCGCTGCCCGAGTCGACGGCGACCGAGCTGATACTGACCATACGCCCGCACCTCCTGGGCACCGTGGGCCACGGCACCACGGCCGGCACCTCGTCGTGGTGGGAGTTCCTGATCTCGTCGAGCGTCGGGACGACCAGCCCGCCGCGCGACAACTGCGGCGGCCTGCTCTCTCTCGACTATCGCGAGGACCGAAGCGAGCACGCGAGGCGCGAGGACGAGCACCTCGCGGCCGAGAAGACTGGCGAGTACCGCGCGACGCTCGACGCGTTCCGGTCGGAAACGTACGCGCCGGACGACTTCTATCGGCACCTCGCCGAACTCGGCTTCCAGTACGACGGGCACTTCCGAAGCGTCGAGGACATACACCCGGGCGCGGGCCGCGCAACCTTTGGCGTGCGGCTGTCCAGCCTCGAGGAGACGTTCAGCACGGGACAGCTAGAGGGGGGGGAGGAGGGGCAACAGAGGCCCTTTCTCGTACACGGCGCCGCGCTGGACGCCATCTTCCAAGCCTGGACGGGCAGCACGATGCGCGGCGGCCGCATCGAGGCCGAGAAGCCGTACGCGCCGACGTTCGTGGCCGAGATGGAGGTTTCGGCCGGCTTTCCCGCGCCCAAGGGTCAGCTGCTCCCGGGCGTGTGTGTTTCGAGACGTAGTGGCTTCAACGAGTGGTCCGTCGACGCTAGTCTGTTCGCCGATGACTCGCTAAGCAGCCTGTGTCTCTCGTTCAAGGACTTTCGGCTGAGCGAGCTCGACGCAGCCAGCGCCGGTGCCGGTGCCGGTGCCGGTGCCGGTGCCGTTGCCTCCACGAAATCATCCGGCGTGGCGGCGCTGACGGCGTCCGTGCAGTGGGACGATGCACTCGACTTCATGACGCCCGAGGAGGTGGCGGACGCCATCTCCGATACTGTCGCCGGTGCCACCGCCCCGTCCGCGCGGGAGAGACTGGCGAAGCTTGTTGGTTTGGTGCTCCATGGCATGAACCCCGCAGCTACGGCCGTTGAGCTGGTGCGGCAGGGCGCGGAGCCGCGGTTGCTGGCGGAGATGCCGTTGGCCTCTCGTGTGATGTACGTGGCGGCGGACGGCGAAGGCTGGGAGAGGGCCGACCGGTGGGACGGACAGGTAGTGAGCCTAGCTGGTGCCAGCGGCGTCGAGGACGCATCTCGCCATGAACTGCAATCCGCAGGACTGCTCCTAATACCGTCATGGGCGGCCGAGGTCTTGCCTATGGCCGAGGAGGGGGTTCTAGAGCGCCTGGTCTCTCTGGCTGCTCCCGAAGCGACGGTCGTCTTGGGCGCCGCCCTGCCCAGCATAATACCCGTCCTCGAGGCCAGCGGGTTCAGACCGTCACCCGTCAGCCATAGCAGACACGACGGTCATAACAGCGCCGTCGATCTTGGTCCTCTCGGAAACGGGGCGCCTGTGCTGTACCGTCGCCGGGAATCGATGCCTCGTGAGATGCAAGACGCCACAGGGCACATCGTCGTTGTAGAGCCGGCGGTGGCAACAGAGATGGCCGAGCTCTGCGTTGGCACGCTTCTCAAGGCCCTCGAGCTATACGGCGATGTTGTCCGACATCGTTGGGCGATAGATGGGTCGTCGACGACGGCCGCTGAGACGGTGTTTGCCGGGAGGACGGTAGTGTGCATGCTGGAGCTCGAGCAGCCGTTTCTCGAATCCATGTCGGACTTGGAGCTGCAAACCGTCAAGACCATGATGCTGCAGAGCGCGCGCATGGTGTGGGTTACGCGCGGCGACGACCCCTCGCTGCACATCGTCGATGGCCTGGCGCGATGTGTCCGTAGTGAGAACGCCACCGCCGACGTCCGCGTACTCCACCTCGGGACTGGGCCGGTGGAGAACGCACCGCGTCATATAGCGCGCGTGGTCACGGTCGAATCATCCGCGGACAAGGAGTTCCGCGAGGCCCGTGGTCGGTTGCAGGTTGCCCGGATCGTCGAGGACCGCCGGGGCGATGCCATGGTCGCTGAGCACCTCGCCGACTCGACGCGTGTTGTGGGCCTCGAAGAGGCGGGCTTCCCGCTCAAACTCGCCATCGGCCATCCGGGGCTCCTTGACACGTTCTGCTTCGTGGAGGACAACGGGGGTGGTATGAGGGACCTGCTGGGTGACCTGGACGTCGAGGTTCAGGTCCATGCTGCCAGCCTCAAGTAAGTTGACTCTAACCCTCTTGTTTGCTTTACGCCTCTGTCTGTCCGTGGCGACATTTATGAAGTCGTTGTTAATTCCCATTTCAGCTTCAAGGACATCATGGCGGCTATGGGCATGATAGCCTTACCGGCGTTAGGCTCAGAAGCCGGCGGCATTGTCGTTCGTACTGGCAGCGGTGTTTCGAATCTACAAGTGGGTGACCGCGTGGCACTTCTTTGTCCCGGGGGCACACACAAGACACTTGTCAGAGTAGACTCGAGTCTTGTCACGAGGATCCCTGATTCCTTGACCTTTGAACAGGCTGCCTCGATCCCTGTGGCCTTCATCACGGCCTATCACGCGCTCGTCAATGTTGCCAAGCTGTCCAAGGGCCAGTCCGTCCTCATCCACGCGGCCGCTGGTGGCGTTGGCCAGGCCGCGATCCAGGTGGCTTCGCTCCTTGGACTCGTCGTCTATGCCACGGCCGGCTCGCGTGACAAAATGGCCTTCTTGACGGAGTGCTATGGCGTGCCCCCGTCGCACATCTTCTACTCGCGCGACGCCAGCTTCGCCAAAGCCGTTGCCCGTGTCACGGACAACAGAGGCGTCGACTGTGTTCTCAACTCGCTGTCCGGCGACCTCCTCCACGCTTCGTGGGACTGCGTCGCGCCTTTTGGCGTCTTTGTTGAGCTTGGCCTGCGTGATGTCGTCAACAACACGCGCCTCCACATGAGACCGTTCCACAAGAACATTACATTTTCCTTTTTCGATGTCAAGGACTTGCCTGTGCCTACGCTAGCCAAACTACTCAACACCATCTACGACCTGGTCAGCCACGGCCGTCTAACGCCCGTCTCACCTATTACCGCCTACAGCGTCGATCGCGTCAAGGAAGCCTACCGCACGATGCAGCAGGGTAAGCACCGCGGCAAGATTGTCCTCACCTTTGCCCCCAGTGCCCGAGTGCCCGTCCTGTTCCCGGCCACGGACTCGCTCACTCTGAACCCGAATGTGGCCTATCTCCTCGTCGGAGGCCTGGGCGGCCTGGGACGCAGCCTTGCCCAGCTTTTGGTCTCATGCGGCGCTCGCAACCTCGTCTTTCTCTCTCGCTCGGGGTTGCCCGACGGGTCCTCCGCTGCTAGGGATCACATTGTCAAGCTCGAGAGCATGGGCGCCAAGACGCGCGTGCTTCGCGGCGATGTGGCCGACAGCAAATCGTTTCTCGCCACCATGCGTCGGTACGAGGACGAGGGGCAGCCGCCCATCCGCGGCGTTGTACATCTGGCCGCTGTGCTCCGCGACGCCGTCTTCGAGAACATGACGCACGACGAGTGGACTGCGGCCCTGCGGCCCAAGGTGCAGGGATCGCGGAACCTCGACGACTACTTTGACCGCTCCCGGCCGCTCGACTTCTTCATCCTTTGCGCCTCCGTCGCGGGCATCTGGGGCAACGCCGGGCAGACTGCATACGCGGCGGCCAACACATACCAGGACGCTCTGGCGCACCGCCGCCGCGCTCGGGGGCTGGCCGGCGTCGCGGTCGACCTGGGCATCATCAGGGACGTTGGCATGGCGGCCGAGCAGAGCTTCGGCACGCGCTTCAGTCAGTGGGCTGAGGTCGTCGGCATCCCTGGCGCCGTCTTCCTGGCTCTCATGAAGAGCCTGATCAAGGGGCAACAACAGCAGCAGCAGCAGTCTATAGGCAGTGATACTTATTCGAGCTCCGACCCGGAGTGGCCGCCTCCACAGGTCTGCTCAGGCCTCGGGTCAGCCGAGGCTTGGGAGGCCCACGACATCGCCCCTCCGCCGGCTTACCTCGCCGATCCGCGCTTCGCTGCGCTGGCCGGAGGCAGCGCATCGGGCTTGCAACGGCGGTCTGGTCCGGGGGGAGGCGACGCGAAAGCGTCCTCCTCTTCCTCGTTGGCGTCTCGGCTGGCCGGCGCGTCGACCAGAGATGAAGCCGCCAACGTTGTCGCCGACGCGCTTGTGCACAAGGCGGCTGGTATCCTACAAATCCCACCGTCCGAGGTCGACCCGTCGCGTCCTCTGTACCAGTACGGCGTTGACTCGCTTGTCGCCATCGAAGTACGCAATTGGATCAACGGGGCGATGAAGGCCAACGTAGCCCTGCTCGAAATCATGGGCGGCGAGTCGATCCGCCAGTTCGCTGTTAAAGTTGTTGAAAAGAGCAGCTTGGTGGCAGTCTAGTTGCTTGCTACCAACCAATGCGTTGCTTGGAGGTATAACCCTATAGGAGAGAGGTAATGATTATGTTTTGATCTTCTAGGATCCCACAGGATTGTAAGTAATTGTCACCACCCAGTGGGTTATGGTGGGTTGTGAGCCTGGTAGTGTAAAATATTATTGAGGGATCAGTGTCGGGGGGGGGGGCGAGGATCAGTCTCCTGCTATACACAATGTGTGGCTCAAGGGCACGGCGCTCCTGCAGCGTCTGGCAAGTATAGAAGATATGCGACCTCGCTAGCAAGGTAGCACATCAGTATTAAACATGGCATTTCGAAAGATACTCTCAGGCGCCTCTGGAAGTCTCAGAACACTAAGAGATGCGGATCAGAGTATCTCCCTGTGGATAGAAGACCATCCACGCCAGCACCAACAACTGCCAGGTAAGAATCGCCTGCTAGGTGTTGGTGAATGTGACTAAAAATAAAGAGAAAAAAATATACTTGTAGATGCCCTTCGACTTCGACTAAGTGCATTAGAAGTTACTACTTAACAAAACTTAGATGATCCGCAAATACAATCGGAAGCAATCAAACAACAGCTTATAAATATCTCTAATAGTCTCTCTGGGGTTTCCTACTTAATACACAACCCAAGACTGAGTTGTAACTATGGCGATAACTGGGATCCAGCATCAACGGAGTCCGGAGATGAGCTTGCTGCGTTGTCCAGCCGCACAACAAGCCACACATCGTGAGAGACTGTAAACAATTGGCTCAGAAGATTGATTTTAGTTAGGAGCTTGCGAAGAATAGCCCCTGCACATATCATGCCCAAGTGCCATTCGCAGGCCCAAAGTAACCGACGGACGGCATTTGTAACCAAGGCAAACCCTGGCCGTCCGCAGTGTTCTGCCAAACGGTGTTGCCCCACCAGTTAGGGAACTGTACGTTCGGGCCTAAAGACAGGAGAGTCAGTCACCGAGAGCATTGTTTGAATTGTATAAAGGTTACGCACCATAGGTAACGGCGAAGAAGATGACGATACCGCTGATTGCGAGGCCGGTGTCCAACGCTGCAGCCAGAACGTAGTTGTACTTGGTCCACCAGGCATAGAACTTGCGGTAGATGATTTTGTTGAAGATCAAGTTCACGATGTACCAGGAGGAGTAGTTGATGCCAGTAGCGGGGGGCACGTTGTACGTTCCGACGAAAATGAGCGGCCAGTTGATCTTGCGAACGAGCTCCGACCCTGTCCTCTTGTAGATGAAGTACGTGATGGGCGGCAGGATGAGACCGATCCAGAAGAAATGCAGCAGACCAGAGTAGATGGCGCCGACGGAATACAGACGCGCAGGGCCAACGAGGCCCCAGATGACCGAGGAGGAGAACACGGTGCGGCCGTTGGGGCAAGAGAAACCGTTCGGCTGGTCCTCGGTGCAGATGCCGTCGATGTTTCCCAGCATCCAGAGCGTGACGCCGGTCTGCGTCAGTGCCCCGAGGATCGTGGCAAGACCTTGTGCGAAGAAGAGAGTGATGGGCGGGATCTTCAAGTAGTGCCCGAGTTTCATGTCGGCTGCGAAATATAGGCCCTGGCCGACGACGTCCGTGGATAAAATTTTGAACAGCATGTTCGCGACAGGTTTGCCCTGGAACATGTAACCTCCAATAAACTCGGAGAGGACGTTCAGTTGGTTGGCGTTGACGTTGGTGACACCTTGGATCATGCCGCAAGGGATCATGTACAAGGCCGGAATGACGAAGGCGAGGATAACTCCCCACCATGGCAGTCCAGTGTCATAGCCCTCTGCAGTGCCGACGCTCATGCCGAAAACAACGAGGAGGATGACAGCCCACCACCACCATTTGACAGACTTGTAGGACTTCATCAGTCGTGCATGGATATCGAGCTTGAGCGTACCCCTCATGGCGCGCTTAATCTCATCGAAGTGGAAGAAGTAGACATGCGACAGGACACTGTGACTCGCGTGTAAGTAAACGGGCTAGACTTTTGTCGTGGGCGATGGAGCTAGTCCTTGTCGTGGGCAACAAGGCCAGTCTTCGTCATGGGCGATAATTACCTGGTGATGGACGCAAAGGACAATCCGTAGACGAACGCGAACGTCGCAGGCAGGTACGGAGGCGAGTACGCAGCGTACTTCTGCTGGTCGAACTCGTTGTTGGTCAGGACCTTGGTCACGTTGTACGCCGTGCCGAAGCGGTCGTAGACGTCCGCCGTGCAGAATGGCATGTATGACGTAAACCAGGTGTTCGTGTAGTAGATGGCCGGCGTGACGATCCAGAAAAACACCGCAAACCCAGCAAAGACGTTCAAAGCAGCCCAGTGAGGGCTCAAGAGGGGGTTCGAGTTGTACGCGATCATTGACCAGTCGAAGGTCAGAGGGAAGAGACCCATCCCGCTTACCATTCCAAATACCTTGAAACTGTTAATAGCCTTCTTAAAAATGTATATAGAGGTGTTAGATTACGTACCTGGTTGACCACAAGGTTGTTGGGCGCGATCCAGCAGATCCAGGTGAAGTAGCTCAGGCCCGTCCAGATGAGGCCCGGGAACCAGTACCAAACGAAAGAGCACCCGCCGACAACCATGAAAAATCTGATACGAGTGATGCGCCAGCCATCGGCAACCGCGTTGGCTCTCGAGTGGAGGGTGCTGAGCAGGGCGACGTTGCTGAGCACGCCGGGCCAGATCATGCTAGCAGGCTTGACGAGCCAGGGGATGGCGAGACCGGCGACGGCGTATCCGCTGAGCTGACAGCACAGCACCACCAGAACCGACATGCCGGGCGGCACGGTGAAGCCGTACAGCCTTGCGGCCTGGATCAGGTTCGTCGCGTCGGCGGAGCCGAAACCGAAGGAAACGTTGGACATGATGGTGACGAGGGCGTGCTCCTTGATGTTGAAGTGCCGATCCGGGTTGAAGCGGCTGATTGGTAAAACCTTGGCCATCGCGACGCCGATCGGGAACGCGAGCAGTTCCGCGACGAGAGCCACGATGTGGACTCCCGGGTAGCGCAGCGAAAAGAACTGGTTGACGCCTGCGCCCAGGAAGACGAAGATCTTGTCAGAGTCAGCTGGCGAACATCGACGCTACTCGGACGAAGGAGGTGCGCGCATGCGTACAATACCAAGAAACCAGGCCCGGAACGTGTTGACCGGAAGCGCGGTATCGTCGGTTTCCGGGACAACCGCCCTCACCTGCGGGAAGGGCGAAGTGTCGGCTTCGTAGTCTCCCTCGGCCTCATCTTCGAGGACCCGACCCATGTCGACCTCCAGCTCCGTGAGATGCCCATTTTCAAGCTCGAAATCTTGGCCGTGGGTGTTGCGCGCTGTCTTGATATCGTGCGTCGCGGACTTCTCAGAGTCGACGTCCTCGGGCGGCGGCGTGCGGCTGATGTCGGCTGCCATACTGGTGTTCGAGCGTGGCATTGGCGCGGGAGCAAGCGACAGCTAGAGCAGCCAAGACGGCAGCGCCCGGCGCGGCATGTCGTCGCTGTTATATCTGGCTCGGCGCGGTGGGCGCGTGTGCCTCGGTCTCGTTCTCTATAGATCCGCCCGGGCACCGTTCATTCGAGCTACCCAGGTCTTGATAAGGGTCCGAGTGAACGTTGACAAAGGTTCCTCGAGATAAAGGATCCTTGAATCGTCACGAGCCCCGATTGTGCCCCCTAAAAAACCAATTTCTGTCCGCGAATCACGGCCATGGCCAATCGAGTTCCTCCGCGTTATCTTGGGTTTATCTGGTGCTGCGGGGAACTTATGTCTGCTTCTGGCAGGCAATCAGGGATCACTCCCTTAGGACCGGGTCCGGCACGGCGGTTGATAGACGATTCGGGAAACCCTGCAAGATTTGCCGCAATTCCGAAGGACGCACTTCCCGTACGATAAGAGACAGGCCACTACCTAGCACAGTCACCACGGGTCGTCAGACTTTTATTCTACTTGTGCCCATCAAGCCTAGGGTCGCTTTCTTGATGTCGTCAAGGGTGATATAAGGCGTTAATTGCTGCCCGCAATTAACGGTGTCGTTTGCGACAGATGTGCGTTGGGGTGTTACATGGCTGAACATTGAGTGGTTTTGGTTATGTTGAAATGCCGTGCCGCTCAGCGCTACGTGCCAGCAGCTTGATCAGCGCGCCGTTGTTGAGCAGATGTGGTGAGCCGCAGGGTATGCTGGCCAGAATGCACAGCAGTCGTCCAACCTAGAATCTACATACGAGGCGATGCCGGGTAGAGGTAGGTATCCATACGAAGTGGTCTGTGTGAGTGGCGAGCCATATCTGTGCCCATTACGACTGGTACTAGCCATACGGTGGTGCAGCGGTAGGTTGAAGGCATGACGGCGGTCTTGTTTGGCTGGAAAAATTCGATATCACAGGGGCATTGACCTACGTCGAAGGAGTGACCAATAGTTGGGATATGGTGGTTAATCTCAATCATCATGCCTAAGGAGAAGAAAAAGAAGCTATCGCGGAGGGTGGCGAGATATCCACTAATACCCAAGTGGACCGCGCGCGTGGTGGTGGGTATTCTCGGAGATAAACCCCCAATGGGTGATAATTACATGCCTGGCATGGCGACAGACACGTCTCTGAACGAACAATTATTTGAAAATATCACGACAGACATCAGACAGAAGGCCCCCAAGTCCTTGCTTGCTATTGACATTACTTGGAATTTAGTGCCTATAGACACCACTTGAGGCTCATCTGTTGGACGGTATGGTCTTGTCGAACGAGCTGACAGATCTCGAAGTCCATCATGGCATTGAGGGGGTGGCAAAGCACGACGCACCGTCCTGTTAGGCACTTTCATTCGTTGGAAGGACATTTAAGATCCGGACTATTAGCGCATTCCACAAGCAAACAGGTCACCTCTTTACGCTACTTTGGGGCTTTGTACTGTATTTTTATAAGGACATCACTAAATTAAGCAGCACTTCTAGTAGGTCCTATGTGAAAACTAAGTTCGTAACTTAAAGTTGAATCAACCACGAATCAGAATAACCTTTACTAGCCATACTTGTCAGGCCACTCAATAAAAAAAAAAGTTCTTCGGTCTTGAGATTACCCACTGAAGTGGCTATATATTGTGACGCGCATTGATCACACACGGAGATGTCACCATTTGACTTCTCGATCCGGGGGCTCGTTCGATCATGTCAGCTCATAATGTTTCCATTCTACTCATCTCCTTGACAACATCTGCGCTCGAGATGCCGCCTACTTTCAGCGTAGGTCTCCCACGGAAGAATTCATGGTGGTGACATTGAACTTTCTTCCCTTTGCGATTCTACACAAAGTTGAACACCCAGTTACTATGCGACTGGAGCATTCTCTGAAAGGACAGTCAGCTGGCCCGTTGCACCCATTTACTTTTGATACACACGCTCAACACTGTCACAGATGGCTCGTGGTTTTTATAGTACAGCTCATTAATTGCTACGTTAACAATGACGGTATGAGTATTGGTCTATGAGACAAACAGAAACGATGCATCATTTTCGTCTGGCACGGCTCTGACAAGCCCCGTCCCGGGTACGCAAGCTGGACGACTGAGGTCAGGCAGGGAGGAATGGGTATCGCAAAAGATCCATCAAGCGGAAAAACAAGAGAGCGTGTTTCCTAATTGGGCATACCCCAGCGAGGGGCGTTGACGATAATACCGGCCAAACAACCCGAGATGATACCGGCCGTGGGGAGAGTGATGATCCAGCCCATGTAGATCCAGGCAACCATGCGCCAGTTGATGGAGCGCCAGGTACCGGAGCAGAGGCCGACACCTACGGTGGCGCCAGTGATGCACTGAGTGGTGGAGACGGGGAGCTCTGTTTTGAGAGGTTAGCGGCAGGATGACAGAAGCGATCGCAGGGCGGAGAACGTACTAAGGCGGGTGGCCAGGATTATCGTAACAGCGGCACCCAGCTCCATGGAGAACCCACGGGCAGGGGAATGGAGAGTCAGGCGGTTGCCAAGGTTGCGCATAATGTTGTAGCCGTAGGTCCAGATACCGAGCGCGATACCGGCACCGCCGAAGCAGAGAATCCAGATAGGAACCTCAGACTTGCTGCCGGACAGGGCGCCCGTGTTCCAGATCTGGAAGATGGTAGCGTAGGGCCCGATAGCGTTGGCGATGTCGTTGGCGCCGTGTATGAAGGAAGCTGTGCACGCCGTCATGATTTGCATGAAGGAGTACAGGTATTCGGCCTTGTTGTCGTAGTGCTGAACGCGGGCGTGCATTTCCTCCAGGTCGCCGGTAAGGGCGCTCTCCTTCTTCTGCATGTTGATGATGTCCTGGTCGACACCCGAGAGGAAAGCCTTTTTGAGCATCCAGAAAAGGACGGAGCGGCTGAACCAGGCTCCCTCAGGTCGGGGGCCGACGATGGACTTGTGAGCGTAGTCGTTCTTACGGGGAGTCGTTGTCGCGGAGTCGGTAGAGTCCTGCACGACCTTAGTTTCACCGTCGGCAGAGCCGGACTCAACGTCGTTGCTGTGGGTCTGAGCAACACCGCTGCTGCGGGCAGCGTCGAGCTCTTTCTTGGTCATGTGGCCGGCGTAGAAATCACGGATACCTCCAGTCGCGCCCTCGGGCTGAACGGGTGGCTCGGAGCGCCTGAGCAGGAGAGGGCCGAAAATGATATGATACCAGCGCAGTTGCCAGTCGTTCTTGACGACTATGCGGTACAACCAAGGGACGAGGAAGACGGTGACTAAAAGACACCAGGCGACACCCACACCGATAATCATACCAGCCGTTTCGGCGCCGTTGAAAGTAACCTTGATGGAGCCGCCCTTCCAGAAGATCAACATGGTCAGGAGAGAGGCGGTTATTGCGAAGTAGAAGGGCACGGAGATTAGACCCTTCATGACGGGGTTTCTGCGCAACATGATGGCGTACTTTGTGATGGAGAAGATGATGGCCCCAAAGACTCCAGAGAGACCGGGGGCGATGATCCACGCGAGGAAGACGGAAACAACACCAGAGTCGATGCTGCCGCTCTCTGACACCCAGTGAATGTTCTCAGCACCGGTGAGGGCGACACCCATGCCGATGACACCGCCCATGATGGAGTGGGTGGTGGAGACGGGGAGGCCAATCTTGGTGCACATAGTGAGGTAGATGGCGGAGGCGGTAACGGCACAGCACATGCCGAGCATGAGGAGAGCCGGGTCATTCTCGAAGAGGTCGATGTCGACGATCTAGGGGGGCATGTAGGTCAGCGCAGGATCTGACGACGACCTGTATGGGGCTCTCTACTGACCTTGGTACGGATAGTGTCTGCAACGCGAGCACCGACACCGACGGAACCGGCAAACTCGAGGACGGAAGCTAGGAACATGGCATGGATGTAGGAGATGGATCGGGACGATACCGAAGTGGCCCAGGAGTTGGCAACATCGTTGGCACCTATAAGGAAACAAAGGTTAATACCCCTAAGGACCGACGATGCAGCAGGACTCGTGGGCCCATACCAATGTTCCACGCGTCGAGGAACGCGAAGATGGTACCGATGGCGAAGATGTAATCATACTGATGGAGGGTCTCCATCTTATCAGTATCTGGCACCGGGGCACAGAGAGTCGATTTGATAGAGGTTGACGATGTTTCAACGAGTGTTGGACCGAGAAGCTCAAGCGCTCCAACTCTGTGTAGACTTATGGAGGCAACAGGAAGAGATGGAAGACCCTCTTGTTGGCGCGGAAGGCAAGGCCAGGTAGGGGTGATATTTGAGATGTCGACATTGAAGCAGGACAGAGAAGATTGGGAAGTTGCAAAGGATATATACCAGATGGGAGGGGCGATCAAGACCATACGTCGGCCCACCCGAGGCCACCACCCTCCGAAGATGCACATGTCCTGCCCTCTCGTCTGGCCACATCGGTGGCCAGCAAGGATTATCTTGCCGGGTGTGGTTCCCTAGGTAGGTGTGGGCAAAATGGGGGAAGGCAAACATTGGCAGAGGCTGGGCAAGACATTGGTTCCCAAGGGCAGGCAGGCAGGCAGGATTCTGCAAAGCGCAGATGCGCATGACAAGGATGCTCGCTCTGTGCCATGATTTGCGAGCTCGGCCCATGTACCTCGATCAAGTTCACACGGGTGGCTCCCTGGGCTGCCATGGCTCTGGCGCAGCCGTTCGAAGCACGTTTAATATCCCGTTTAGGAACAGTTTGACGGGAAGCCTGGACGACGTTGATGATTCTTTAAGACAGCCTAGATAAGTCAGTCGAGAGGTTATGCTGAAGAGGGAGTCTGTAGAACTGCCATTGCGGTCCCGTGGGTCAGGCCATCTCGTGCTCGACAGGCTCTAGACATCATCTCGTCTCCCATGGTGAGAGCTGACTTCGTGCCCGGCTCGGATATGGAGTGTTCAAATCCTCACGCCTCAACTGGGCAACATACTGCGGCACTGCGCAGGAGAGTGGGGGCGTCATCGATGGCAGAAACCCGATGATACCATAGGTCAAGTAGCTGAAGACCGGGCTGTCTGGACGTTGCTTTGCATGGGGCGTGGGGAAATGGGCAATAAAGGCTGAGAGGCAGGAGCAGTAACAGAAGAAAGACGCAGCCTGGCTCTTCCCACGTGCCATGGATGGACTGGCGTGCTTGATGAGGCGGCATTCCCAGAAGTCGGCAAGATCAGCCCGTCGACGGGTGAAGATATTGGCACGGCCGTGGTGGACACGAGGGTGGAATGGATCAAAGTGATGAGCTCGTGCACTCTGAGGTTCACCGACGGGCCAATGGTCGAGGTCAGAGCCGATATCTTCGATTTCCACTTCGATCCCCAGACGCCGGGGTCCCTAGGGGGTGTGGTTGTTGAGTAGCAATGTCCAACCATGGCATAAGACGAGGGCAACGAAGACGAGGACGACGAATGGGTGTACGGCGTTGTAAGAAACAGCAACAGACTTCTGGAGGGGAATTTCGACGTTGGTCTCGGTACCTACCTACCTTAGGCACCTTGCGAGTAGTTCCTGCCTGCAAATTGATAGCAACTTACTCTGAGAAACGAGGAAGGAAGTCGGCAAGGCGCCTTCCCCAAAGAAGCGACCGAGGCACTGTAACCGACTTGGCGCGCGCCAAGCGCCAAGCGCTCTTGTCTGGCAGGAGCACTAGCTGATCGCCCTCAGGGAAAGTGTGGCCCCGCTGCTGTCCTGCGCGACTGCCGAATCACGCCCGCCAATTCCACCACGTGGTGGTCTTGGTCCCTCCGTGTAGATGTGTAGGATGGATTCTTCCCGCCGCATCTCCCCGGACGCTCTCTTCCTCGAGATCACAGTTGAGTCGCTGACGCCTTCGTTCTCCCAATGGATCAAGTTTCTATAAATCGTGCTGCCTCCGCCAAGCAGCCAAGCGGCCAAGAACTCGGATGCCTTCCTCTGGTTTCGTTCCACCTGCTCGAACCCAACCGTCGAATGTCAACGCCACCAGACTCTGACCACACCCCGTCGGGGCTCCTTTCTCCTGTCTACTGAGCTTCGCCTTATTTGTCCCTCGACCCATACTACCAAACCCGGAACCTCTCCCAATATTTCCCCGATTTAGCTACATCCCCGGTTTCCTCCATACCCAGTCAATCAGCCGAACTCTCTCTCGCGTTAATCACGAAAGGCTGACTGACGAGTTTTCTCCCGAGCCACGCCTCGCCTGCCTTGCCGTTACTGCCTCTACCCGCGCTTACACTTGGGATGACCCTGACCGGTCCTTCCACGGTATCACCGAATCGTCCTCGTAGGCCACGTACCGTCACCCCGGTAATGGCTGCCACATCCATCAAGAAGCCCAAGCAATTACCAAACCGATTTTAACCTTCTCCGTTGGCAAATCACGTTCCTCCTCCGAAGCCCGTGTTCCTCTTCAGCAGACCAGAGCTGCCAGAGTTTGCCCTTGGCTGTGCGCTCTTGCATCGATGCGTCTTGTCTCTAATACCAACGCCAGCGCCGTCCGAATACCTCACATGGCTGTCTCCCTGGCCAGGAGCCTTTCTTGGCTAACCGGTACGAAAATATCGACGATACGATTTGACTTGGACTTTTGCCCGACAGAGAAGCTCGCTTCAAAGACTGCTGTATGGGAGCTACCCGAAGGATTCTCAGCATCGTCTTTGCCCTAAACAGTTGGTTCATGGACTCCCTAGCTCAGATGAGCCGGGCGGATCCAAATATCACACTTCCGCACTGGTCAACATCATCAGTCCTTCTCGGTATCTCAATCTCTTGTCATTGCCAAGTGGCTAGACGCTTGTCCTGGAGTCTAGGAAATCAAGATTTCGATGAATCTGTCATTTGCTCGGGAGTAGCCAACAGGTGATATCATGCTCTCTTCAGGGCAACCTAGGCCCCGAGGAAAAATGCAGGTTGTCACATTGGCAACCAAAACCCTTCGTCAACGGCGGCAACGGCTGCCTTTCCTGCGGCTGATTGGGTAGTCCAGAATCCTGAGACTGTGCACGTCGGTGTCCATCACGGCTAGGCCGTCTTGTCGTCAGGTCTCAGCTTCCCAGTTCGGTGAAACCACTGACGAGGGTTCAGAACTGACGAAAGAGTCCCGAATCTCTTAAAGATATCATTCATCGCACGTGGTCGATATCTTTGTCCTGGAGGTTGTAGCTCCCTCTCCTAGGCAACATTTCTCCGATATTTTTGTCAAAGGAACGGACAAAAACTGGAGTTGGAAGTTCTCTGAGAGGAAAAGAAACAACAGCCCTTGGTATGTGGATGATATTTCATCTTAGGAGTCATGCTATCCCTTTTTTCTGTCTATGCGATTGTGTTCACGAGGACGCAAAAGATCACCCTGAGGAACTAAATCTCTAGTTGCCCTTGCCATGGAATACTTTCTTTCTAGTCGTACCTTGGTGTCCTATAATTCTATCGAGAGTATGGAAAGTAGCATGAATCACTTTGCCATATATGGGGATTCTAGTGCCATGGGGTCATATGAATGCTGTCTCATCCGCAGCTCCTGGATCAAGTCAGTAGGCCGATGGATAATATGGGCCGGCCGATCGTTTGTACCAACTTTACGATCCCCCCCATGATGTCAGACTGAAGCCTAGCGGGATGCCCGGTTAGTTTCCTTTTCAGCGCTGTTTGGGCGCTCGTTGTCTCTAGTTGCCGACATTTTAGGTGGCGAAAGCCTTGTCGTCTGTATTATGAGGGCTTGATCTCGAGTACGGATCATCCAGCTGATTATGATTTCCTTTGCAACCTCGGCAACGTAGATCCGTCAGTATGTTCCAGTGGCGATTCCGATTTCGAATTTTGTGAACTTTCGCTCCCAGCAACTGTATGGTCACTGTGCTACCCGGCGCGGCATGCAGAGCCCGATGTGTTCCCTTCGCCACTTATGCGGAGCTAAGGGTCTACTTAGCTTTCGACGCGCGTGGACTGGTTTTAGGAAGGCTAGTGAAACCATTGTGTTCTATTAGCTGGCTAGCAAGTCATCGACGGCGCACGCGTCCGCCACTTAACTTTTGCGGACAACGCACGGCCCAATCCTGATGGTTACGGCACTCGGCTCGGTGCTTTTACTTCGCGGTGTGGCAGCGCAAACAGGACGGACTTTACGGCACTCGGCTCGGTGCTTTTACTACGATCATTGCCTCTCGGGGACGTCCCTGTGGAGTCGGCGTCTGTCAACCTAGCAACTCGGCGATATCTTGTATTACAGTATTAGGCAACAGCTTCCTCCGAGTGGAGCGGCATCCGCCGATAGACGACAGACCCGATTTAAATCTCTACAAGCCCCTAAACATACTCCCAACGACTGAATGTTACTGGAATACAGACGGTAGATCTAATATTTACTCGGTTAAGCCGCGGATACTTCCATTTGAGTGCGAGAGTTAGTGTTGCGTTCATGAACCTATTCATTGTTGGCAGAATGCATCAAGGGAGGACTGTAGACAGTATGGGCATCATCACCGTTCTCCCTTACCTACCTAGTATTACAAGGCAGAAAAAGCAATGTGCATACATCCACAAATAGATACGTACGAAGCCGGACCCCACTCAGAGGAACTATCCAAGCAGAGATCATCGACATGATTCATCCTGTCGGGGTCCACAGAATCCTTTGAGTAACGTAGAAATCCTCCAGAATGGCTTCACCGAGGTCTCAGTAGCTATCACGGGTGAACTATCGAAGGAGAGATCATCAACATGATTCATCCTGTCGGGGTCCATTGAATCCTTTCAGTAATCTAGAAATCCTTCGGAATGACCTCACCGAGGTCTCAGTAGCTCTCATAGGAGAATAGGCGGTCGCCATTCTATTTTCAAAGGTATAAATATGAGTCTTCATGCCTCTAGAAAACTGAATGTTTAGACCATCTCACACACTCATCCAACAAATACAACTTTATCATCAGCTCTCTTCCACAAGACCCTATACAACTCACTACTTACACCTAAAAGTGTGTCTACCATCTCCTTTGTCTCCCCTTTCCCTTCCTTTGACGAATACGAGGGAAAACTGACACTCCTCTACAGCTGACCTCACCCCCGCCAAAATGAAGACCACTTTTGCCTCCATCCTCGCCGCGACCGCCGTCTTGGCCACTACCGCGAACGCCTTCTCCATTACCAACTGCGTCACTGGGCAGTACAAGAACTTTGGCGAGGCCGGTAACAACAAGTGCAAGAACTTCAACGCCGGCAACTCCCTCACCTACGACAGCAACAAGGGCCTAACCCTGACGGCCTTCCAGGGTACCGACTGCAAGGGCAAGTCGTTCAAGACCACTGTTCAGAACGCTTGCACGGGTGCTCCTTTCACCGTTCTTTCTGTCATTGCCAGCTAAGCGCATGTTTCGGACTTTATAGCCAAGGCATACGAGCCTGGGGAGGAGTTTTCTGAGCCTCGTATGTTGAGTTTGGAGGACAGAAAGGGTGTTGTATATGAGATCTCGATTGAAAATCGGTTGTCTGTGAGGGAATCGGCGGTGTTTCATTGATTCTTGATAGTCATAGTACACCCTGAATTCAACGCATCAACCACCACTGTTGTCTTTTCAGAACCATGCACTACTTATGCATCTCCACCAAAATTTGTAAAATCTACCATCGTGGGAGGATTTGCATATTGGGAGTAGGCCTTGAACTAAGCAATTTCTTCATGGTGTCCACAAGCGCTTCTGCACTTTCATCCCAAGACCATAGCTTATTTTTGATAACGTTATGGGCTTGTTCCGCTCGACCAATGCCTCTGGATCCATTGAGGACCCGCATTGCATCACTGCTGACGAAACATGCTACGGAATGCTAGGATAACGTTGTCATCGACGACGTTTCCAACATATAGATATTGAATGCTCATGCTAAGCTATGTTATCTGCCACAAAAATCAATTCTCTTCCGTCCTGTGATTATGCGACTACGAAGCCATCAAATACGCAGGTGTTATCAGAACAGCCTCTCCGTAGACAAGTTGATGACATCCTCTGGGCTCTTGGCACTAACCCGGCTGCCCTTGATGTCAGTCCGGTCCAAAAGCTTCTCGTATAATGGCGCAAAGCTTTTGGAGGTTGTGACCTGAAAGCCATTCCAGTTCTGGGAACCCCTCTCTACTTCGACCTGGACGCGATAGGCAAGGTAGACCTCGTTGAAGCGAACATTTGTGTTCTCAGTCTGGCGGGCGGCGGCAATGGCGAAGCTGAACAGAGCACCTTGAGTCACGGCTGGGGCCACACGCTCACCGAGAGTTCCCTGAGCGCCGGTGCAAACTGTCCAGGTGCTTCTTTCAAAGCCCTGCTCGAGAAGATACGGCACGGTGGCGCGGTATGCGTCTGTTAGGGCATGTGGTCAGTTGCCCGAATCCTCTTCGTACCGCAAAGTCCCTGGTTTTGCCCCAGTCACTCACAGACATATGCCTCAAAATTGACTTTCAAAGCTTCGCGTAACGCAGCGGCCTCAAGTTCGAGAATTGGCGTGTCCCAGTACAAGCCGCCAGCTAAAAGTCCGAATCAGCCTAATCCACGGGGTAGAATAGTCGCTTTGGAAGTCCAGAAGAGGAGGCACAAGGAATCTACTTACGTGACGCCCATACATGCTGGAAGCTGGGTAGCTTTCCGGCACGGACTTGATCGATAAGGCCTCGAAGAGAGTCCTCCGACGTGGGATCAGCCTGCGCAATCGTGATTCCGTCACTGGTGCCTGCGTGTTTGTAGATCTTCTCTGCGTTGGCCTTGTCGCGGACAACAGCAATGACCTGGCGGTTCGAACTCAAGGCGGCAATAATAGCAGAGACACCCATGTTGCCAGAGGCACCAAACACCAGAACGGTCTCCTGCATGGTGGCTTGGTGTGCGTAGGTTGTTTCTGAGATAAGATGATTGGCTTTGAATGTCTCGAGTACTTTTTGTCTTGCAGCCTCCTGGAAGTGGCTCTGGAATCAGCTGGTATTTATGCATCTCTCGACTATGAGCCATCTTCCTCGTTGACCTACCCCTCTGTTTCACATCTATTCGAGGCGTACCCGCACGCCAACAGACACGCGGTGTCATCTGCAACTCGTAATCGATTTCCCAACCCCGAACTATTTGGACCCGACCGGACATTTGAGATTGGACCGAGTCCGAAGGCATGCCGCTGATCCTCTAGGCCGTGGGCGAACCTTCGTTGGCTCTTGACCCCAGTTCCATCGATGGCAGGTTGCTCACGTAACCTAGACTGGATTATCAATCATTCGGTATCGACCCCACAAACGCTTTCTACGCTACCGGCTTAAAGTCTTGGCCGAGCAAAAGGAGCAACCCGATCGGCAGCTGTAGTGGGGTGATAAGAAATGGGACCTTCTGGTGGTGCGCTGTGAAGTGACCTCAAGCCAATGGGACGCTCTGTTATGTTTGATCGGGTTATCCTTTTGCGCTGCAAGAAGACTCTTGAGCCGGTACTGTATCGCAAGTGCTTCTCACACTCAAGGACCAAGCGAGCCCGGTGTTTTCCATCCAGAGAAGTCCGTTGTCTATCCGGGGTCACCACAAAACCGCGGGAGGCCAAAAACCCCTTCTAGGTCTGTTAGATGAACTTTATGTTATAATATGACCAAACTCTCACGCAGCAAGCGAAAAGTATTTACTTTCTCCTCTATTATGACAAAGATGACCTGACGCTTGGGTATTATCCTTCCTCAAATCCGGACACCCATCTAGTTATGCTTCACTTCTACTTTTTCCTTCTCCTCTGAGGTCGACGTCTTATTTGGACCTTTACCAGGCCTAATGACACCGGCTCTCATGGCCTTGGTCATTTCCTTTGCGACCTTGACCGGGTTGCGACCAGATGTGAAGAACTCGTCAATCTCCTCTAGTCCGAAGTTACTAGTTTCTGGGTAGAAATAGTAGATTACGGGAACGAAGACGAAGTTGGTGACCATGAAAATCAGATAAGCCTTCCATTGCAGGCGATTGATAATGACTGGGGTGATCATGACGACGAAGAAGTTCCACAGCCAATTGGAACTTATGCCAACAGCCGTCCCGCGAGTTCGAGCGTGGAGCGGGAGGATCTCGGGGACGACGACCCACGGAACACAGTTCATACCCATTCCGAAAATCAGATTGTACCTTTGTCCACGGTCAGTTCTCGGCCGAGAGAGGCTTGCGAGCGGCCACTTACAGGAAGAAAAATGCTACCGAAGCCGAAGCGCAAGCTTGACCGTTTGCAAGCCCGACTCGAGATAAGAGCACCGAAATCATGAGCATGCAGAATCCAAGCCCAGCACTTCCCCACATCATAGTTTTGCGGCGGCCCATTCGGTCCAAGGCAAGAGCTGGCAGTATGGAGCCGAACATGAACATCATCTGCACGCAACCCCCGATGATCTGGGCCAGGTGAGCCGTCATTCCGACATTCTGCACCAAAACTGACGGGATGTAGTAAACAACCAGGTTGATGCCTCCTATTTGGTTCATGAACTGTGCACCCCATGCCAGAAGAACACGATGGCCGGTTCTGAGGTGGTCGTTCTTGAAGATGCTGACCCAAGAGGACGACTTCTCTTCTATAGCGTCTAGCTCGATGGCATGGTGTATTGCGTGGACTTCTGTTCGGATGTACTCGTCGGTAGGGTCTTTGTCAAAAACGTCACAGAGAACCTGAACTGCCTCCTGCTCGCGGCCGTGCTTGAAAAGCCATCGAGGGGATTCCGGCAGGGCAAAAACCAAGACAATGACGACGAGCGCGAAGACAATTTGGAAGGCTAGGGGAAGCCGCCACGCAATAGGGCCGCCGACGTATGACATGCCGAAATCGAACCAGTATGCGAAAACGATTCCGACGCCCACGAAAAGTGTTTCGGCAGACACCAGTCGGCCCCGGTACTTTCGATCACAAAGTTCAGATTGATACCTACGAAGACGTTCGTGAGTACTTTTTCGGGGATCTGAGACGTGAATTTCACTTACATAGGAACAGTCGAGGTCTTCATACCAGTGCCGAAGCCCGTGACGATACGTCCGATTACTAGGTGAGGGACAGTGTATGCCGTTGCTTGCAGCGTGGCTCCAACAATAACGAACGCCATGGCGGTCCAGATCGTCTTTCGTCGGCCGAGCTTTTCGCCAAAGACGAAATTCACTTAGGTTCCGAGGAATTAGCGCGAATTCCAATCTCAAGAGTTGGAAGCGGAAATCATCTTACGAACGCAACCAAAGAGGCATCCCAAGTTGTAACACGACACGATGATACCAGTTTCTGAGTCAGACGGATGGTCGAATTGGTTCAGCCAGTCCTCCATCTGGAGGATACCTCCAAAGACCTGCTAGTATGTTAGTTGGATTCACCGTGACATTTTCTTTTTCTGAGAGAAGGGGGGACTTACGCCTTGATCGTAGCCAAACAGCACAAATGCAATCAGACAGCATATCGTTACGCCGAACTGAAGGCTCTTGCCCCGACCGAGACTAAAAAACATGATTGAGAGTTGCGTGCTCTAAAAGGTTCAAAGTCTCAACAAAACGACAATATCAGAAGGCGTCGAATGGGTTTGTGAAGTCTTTCGTGGAGGGAGAAATGTTCCCATCAAGAATTTGGTTGAACTCCAGTAATATGCTGACTGAATCGTAATCTGGGGTTTCGGGTTGAACCCCGCGAAATCGTATCTGATGGACCATGACAATGCGGGGAAAGACGAAACAGGCAAATGTAGGCCCCACACGCTGCACGCCAACTGGACCAATCCCTGGAGTACGTGGGTTATTTGGACGCTTCAGCGACTCGAGGATGCCGGACAACTTGAATGACCAGGTATGGAACCGAGTCTGGGCATGGTGACCCTGGGAAGCCGTATCCTTATACTCATGCAAGCACAAGCATGCCGACGCCGTGTGACTCGGTAGACGGCTGAGCGGGGAAACTAATATTCAACTGCACGGGTCGGAATATGCAGGGTCATATTGGACACTGGTTGGATATTTTGCATGATGTTCCTCGATGGTACTTTTGACTCTTAACTTCATCCTGCTTGAAGAAACTGAATGTAACAATCTATTACTGCGACCTGGAGGTACCGCAACCCGATTACCGCTAGCCGATAGGGCGGATATGCGGTTATCAGATGCTGCCCAGACCGGATGACGTCCTGGCATTGAATGCTGCACGGTGAAAAGCAGGGATTGTTTCCAGTCAGTCCATATTGTAAAAGAATCATTGGTGTTCTCTTTCTCCTTCGTTCGATGTGATCGGTTGGTGGTGGTGGCTTCTCCGGTTGTTCCCCGGCAGATTATGCGTACCAATCATCGACGTGTATATTATGTGGCACAACCTGCCCCGTGTGTGAGGATCTGAGGCTGGATAACCCGACATGACATGCATGTTGACCTCGGCGCAGCATGCAACCTGCTCGAGTAGTCTGGCGCGCCTGTGATATGAGGGGGCTGACTGGCGATGGACAACAGCCCTTTGCGATTGACAACCAGCAAGCGACAGTATACAGCCAGGCTATTGATAAGCTGAATCGCTGGAAAACACTCACACAGGCATATTCGGCTGCTTCCGTTTACGGGACTTACTCGAAAACGTTCATGTGGGCACGTACACTAGGGGAGAATAAGGGCTACCAGTGCTCTTGTATGAGGCATTGCGGAACCGAGAAGGGTTGCTTCAGCTCGGAAACCAACCATAGCAAGAAATCAATACGGATGGACTACCACCTCATTCTTATGGCCTTCGGCGAAGCCCTCATTTCTGAAATTCTAGCCAGTAAGAAGGGTACCGGGAGAAAGCAAATGCCGAGTCCGTGGCTCCGACGCCTTCCTGGCTCGGCCCCACAACGCGGGCCGCCCCGACTGCTTCGGTTGCTACTAGCGTCCTCCGCTCAACGCTCGAGCGCAGGTCGAATGCCGGCGATCATTTGTGCCAAGTTGCCAGACGAGACCAGCCGTTCGAACTCGTTGTGGAAGCCATAAGATGATGTTCCGTTCAAGTAAAAATTTGATTATTTGGGAAGTAGATACGTAGGTACACTGAACGATCATGAATTCCCATTTAGCTCGATCTCGATGAGCATAATCCCAGTACGTTCTCAGCCTCCTTGCGGTCATCTCTGGTGTCTCAGTTATACGGGATCTGCGACGCCACTTACGTTGGGCTGCAGTTGTGGCTTCCCGTTCACAATTGATCAAAGCATCCCAAAACAGATTCAACCCCCTTACCTATATCAGCTTCTGCTTTGGTCAGCAAAATTGGTTCATAGGGTCAACGACCCAAAAGTGTCAATATAATCTGTAGCAACCAGCCGACGCTTCAGTATCGTCGGCATCCAGTTCAATACTCTGGAATCGGTATTTTCCTGTACTGCTGGCCTAGTAATGACCGTGAGATTGCCATGTAAGACAAAATCCTCACCAGAAGCTCCCCGTGGACTGGCTGTGAAAGTATATGCTGTGGAGACCCCGCCTATGACTTACTACTCTGGTATGCGTAGTTGCAGACTATTCTGCATTGGAGATACCCCCTCGACAAATCCCCACAAACATCCAAGACATAGCGCAACCGTCAATGATGATCATTGAGCCCAAACTTCGCGCCATCCCATTTAGGGAACTCTTGTATCGAGCAATCAGACGATAGTTTAGATACGGGTGGGTCCCTAGGCAGAATCACAGGCCAGAACATTTTTCTTATTCGTACTTCACAGGGGCATCGCTTTAAAATGGCCATCCCTTCAGCACCGAACCTTTCAACTCTCTCCCGTCAATCTCAACGCTTATAAGACTTCATAACATGGCCAACGCATCGACAGACGGCCCAACCTGGGTATCGCAAATGCAACTGCCGGATTCTCAAATTGGTAGTACGCAGAAATTCGCAGACTGTGCCCACCGAACGAACAAGACAACGAATAACAAACGAATAATTGCTTGCTGCGATGGAACATGGAACAATTCGTGAGGTCAAAGAACTTGCTTTCCCTGTTGAAATACTAAGCTCCATTTCAACAGAAACAAGATGGGGGGCATTCCAACCAATGTTGCTCGTATTTCGGCTGCAATCGCTCGTAAATGCTGTAATGGCATGCCACAAATTGTGTACTACACACGAGGAGCGGGCACAGACTCTTCCAAAGTTGGACAGTACCTTGGAGGCGTCTTGGGGAAGGGCGTAGTCCAGGTAAGCCTGTCCATCACGATATGATGGTTCTGTCGCAATTGCGCAATTTTGACGAGGAACCCCTGTTTAGGATATTGCGGATACCTATCGCTTCATCTGCGACAACTATAACCCCGGGGATGAGATTATCATTCTTGGATTTTCCAGGGGTGCTTTCACTGCTCGTTCAGTCTCGGGGCTTGTGTGCAACATTGGGCTCCTGAACCGTGTGGGATTGTCACAATTCGGTGCAATTTTCCATGACTACCAGAACTTCGCCAACTGGAAGCCAGACGGGAAGTTCAACAAGGATGATCACCTTGTGGGGTTTACTTTGTCTAATCTTGAGCGTCTTGAGATATTTAAGGCGGGTCCAGCAAGACGCAGCAACGCAGCTTTGGAAAAAGCGCTTGACGAGAACAAGCAAGAAATCTTCAAATCCATGGTGGAGTGCAAAGGAGGAAACGGTCAAACAAGGCTTCGGGAAATGGCACAGCTTTACAGGAAGGGACTTGTAGAGGTAAGATATTCTGCCCCGTTTCCTTCCGGCTTATGTTTTCATCCTTGAACTATAAATTTGCCTCTGACCAAATTACCAGCATGAGATGATCCTGTGCCAAAGAAAGTCACGGAATGAAGGTGGCCGGATAGTCAATGAGTTTGTCCCCACAGAGGTCAAGGTCAAAGCAGTAGGTCAGTAAAACAGGCCGCAGGGGATTGATGCATTAGGTCTGTATCAACTGACAGATTCATGGCAACTAGGTGTATGGGACACGGTTGGAAGTCTCGGCTGGCCAAAGATGCCGTGGGAGAAGATTCGCAAAGATCGCAGCGCCGATGAGGTATGAATATTGTTTCCACATCTTTCTACTTATGCTACCTCATCTTGTAGGAGTCTGGTATACTAACAGTCCTCAGCTTCGATTCGCAAGTCTTGATGTTCATCCAAAAGTTGAACACGCTTTCCATGCACTTGCACTCGATGAGTGGAGGACGGCGTTCAAACCAACCCTGTGGGGAATGAAAGACAATAGTACAACTAATCTTCGACAAGTTTGGTTTCCCGGCAGCCACAGCAACGTAGGTGGGGGATTTCCCGACCAGCAAATCGCATCAATTGCCATGGCCTGTATGTGTCTTCCTCCTAAGTGAGACAGATGTTATCAGTCGCATACTGACCAGAGGACGATGCAGGGATGGCTGATCAGCTCACGTCAATTGGTGTTGAGTTTAGCACCCCGGAGATGAAGCGTCTTTTTTACACGCTTGAGCCTGGCGTCAAACCACGTGAGTGGGCTTTAGGGCGAATTGCGAATCCTGACGCCACTACATCCATCCCAGACCAGGCATATAACGCACTGTGGTACCCCTGGCAGAGACTCAATCGTGAGAACACCGTTCTTGGCACCCGAACGCCCGGAAACTACAAGGAAGACGACAAAAAGACCTTGATTAAGGATCCAAATGAGTTTATACACCCCTCGGTGCGTATTAGGTACCTCTACAAAGGATTGGGCCTTGATGACGAGGATGAGTGGGAATGCGCGGCATTGACAAAGAATGGATACACACTCGAGAAGAGTACTGAGCCTCCTAAGCTTGGAGATCAGTACCTAAGAGACCCGATTGCCTCTACCTATGAGACTTTGAGTGGAAAAGTCTCCTCGGTCCATGGGGGCCATGCATTGGAGACCCAATCTCACAAAGACCACACGCTGGTTGTCCATCAAATGCCCTTCGAGAGGGACCTCTGTCTCCTTGACCAAGCCAAGAACCAATGGGTCTGGACCAAAGATGTCGGAGATGGAAAAAAGACCATCCAAGAGGAGCGAATCGGCATGTGGGAACGTCTCTTCATCGATATCAACCATAAGATGGTTCAAAGACAGAAAAGTGACGAGAAGGCGGCAAAGACGGCGCCGAGCTCTGGTCAGTCCAAGAAGTTCAGTTTGAAAAGACTGTTTTACGACGGGTACCAATTCGCTAAGGGTCGAGCTGGCAAGATGCTCAACCGCGCCTTTGACGGATTGCTTGGTCCATCAGTGAAGCCCATGCCTCGGGCTCTGGATTATCCCCAGAAACATGGGTATCACGACATGATCTCTTGGCAGCTTGGCGACACGACAAAAACCCGACCGAAGAACCCCTGGTAGAACTATCTGATTGAAGCCTGGGGGCCGGTGGCTGAGAAATATTGTATGGTTCCATAAATTTTGAACGACGGAGGTGAAAGGAGGAATTTAATGCGTAGGAACACTTATGGCACACTCGAATCCATCCTCATTCGCGATAATGACAAGTATTGCTATCTTAAACGCAGCCACAGAACGGTCCCCATACCCACGTTCATGTTCATTATGCCAAGTTGTAAGGCAATGAATAGCTTAAGACAGATTTTTCAACGTCTCAAGTTCCACTAGGCATTCATTTTCTAACATTTACCGTACTGCAGCCCACCTCAATTATAAGTGTCCAGACTTCACCGGGACAGAAGTAGAGGTCGGGCTGGCCTTAACTGATAGACGTTTCTATCATTAAACTCGAACTCCACGCCTAGACTTCTCAGACACTCACTCTGACTAAGTAAACCGTATATGGCAATGGCATATGCTCAAATCTCGTCATTAGCCCAGGCTAGGGCCATATGTCGATGCCCAAGCGTCATAATTTGGGGAAAGCATCAGCTGCTGCATGTGTCGACGTCGGATTCCCACGTTTCCCCCGTCGAAAATTGGAAGAACCATTGCGTTGTTGAGAAGCTCCGAAAAAGGCTGCTCGGTATCATAGGCGGATCTGCGAGTTCGTGACAATCGTAAGGCTGTGGACGTTATCGTGATGCAAAACAGGCAATGGTAAACTTACACTCCAACCGCGTTGATAGCATCAGTAACAGCTTTGACGGCGGCATCGCTGCAATAGACCTTGGCTGCCAGCGCTAGCTCACGCCTTGCGCTGTAATCGCCCGGCCCGTTTTCCAAAGCGTGAGCGGCTTTCCATGTCAATGCTCGGCACGCCTCCGTCTGCATTTTGATACCGGAGAGGAGGTCGGCAACAGCCTGCCGCTCCAGCAGGGGAACCTTGCCTCCGCGGCAGTCGCGTTTGGCGAAGGAGAGGGCAGCATCGAAAGCTGCACGCATCAAACCGACCGCCATGGCACCGACGAGCACGGCGCTGCAATCGAACGAGCCCGAGGCGACCGCTGCACCTTCCCCTGGTGCACAGAGAACATTCTTCGCAGGGACGCGGACATTTCGATATTTGATATGAGGTCCGGAAGTAGAGGTGTGCCCGGGGGTAGAAACCTGGCGCAGGACTTGGAAGCTTCCATCGCCGCTCCGTTCAAGATCCGCGGGGGTGACCAGAATGATCATAACGCTGTCTTCAGGGTTCGCTTCCGGCTGATGCGTGGCAGACACGTCGCGGCAGACCACGCAGGCTAAATCAGCGCCCTTAAGCTCCCAGCCTGCGCTGTTCGTCGCCCATATCTTCTCCCCGTTGATGATCCACTCGTCCCCCTCGCGGTAAGCCGTGGTGTTGAGTCCGGCCGCGCCTTTTTCCAGATAATTAGCTACTCCACCTGGCTCGCTGAATACAAGTGAAGCAAGCGGGGCCCCTTGACTGCTTAAAAAGGGCTCCAGAAACTCGCGATGTTCTGGCTTTTGCGTCAGGTTCAGAGGTGTCAATCCTAAGCCCGTCGCAAAGATGGTAAGAGAAGCGCTCGGTTCCACCGCATCTGTCAAAGATAGTGTCAATATCTAGTTCAGTGGGTATGTTGTTTTGAAGGCGGCTCTGTTCAGTAGATCCGCTGCTCTATACTATAGTTCGGCGGTTTCTTTACTGTTTGATTTGTTTTCCTACCCGAGTCGGAATAGGTCAAAAGTTTGGAAATTTCTTACAACACTCTTCAACCATAATGGCAGCCTCAAGCAGTGACCCACTGGCACCACCGAGGCTTTTGGAAATCTGCCCCTTGATCATTCCGCCCGCCACTGCTGTGCTGTAGATCGACCGAGTAGCTTGAAATCGCTTGTGCTGTTCCGAATGTACTGCATACTCAGCTCGTGCAGGTCTGAGTACATGTTGGGCAAATTCAGCCGCAGTCTTGCGAATCTGCTCTTCGGTGGTACTAAGGGTGAAGTCGACAGGCATTCTTTCGGACGTCTCAGCTTATTATTGCTGCTCGCAAGAGGTAGAGAATCAGTGATGCGATGGTAGCAGGAGTCATAGGCTCTTACATCTCGGTAATTCTTCCACTGACTATTATTTCTATAACGCTTCTCGGTTAACTTTATGCCACAGATCCATAACGGCTTTGCGATAGGTGCAATAACTTGTATAAATCTCACGTCATCTTCGCCGGCTCGTTAGGTCTCTGCGCATGTCTTCTTATGTCAGATCTGTTAGTTCAGTATTATGAAGGGGTCAAAATTTTTAGTTGAAGCTATGATTGGGCGAGCTCGACGTTCTGCATGGCGTTCTTCATGCTCGGCATTGGAATACCGGGGGTCCCGTTACACTATTGAATGCAGGCTCAAGTACAGAATAAGCTCAGCTCAAAAAATCACTCAAGTCCGCTGGCAGATCTCTGGACCAGCAGAGTCCGTTTGCCCAGTGGGGGCAAAGGATCTGCCAAGGAACATGGGTTGGATAATCTTCAGGACATACTGGGGAAATGTGCTTGCTAAGGCTGCACTCCCCATGACTTTGCCCGTCTTGCGTTTGAGTAGCTTGAAGACACTAAAGCCATGCTTGCCGGGTGACATCTACCAAGCCAAAATTTTGTCTGGAACGCACACCAACTTTCCTGACGTGGTCTCACGACTCGCTCCGTCAATAGCCTGAAGCACTCCACTGACAGAGCTCTCGACGTCAATCAGGTGCTCAACATCAACGTTCCACTGCCTGGCCGCATATTCGCCCATTGAAGTCCGGACGAAGCCTGGATCGACAGCCACGCTAACCAGGTTCTCGTTCTGCACATGTAACCCCTTCACAAGCCAATTGAAAGCAGCTTTGCTTGGGCCATACGCGCCGCTAGGGACGGGTTTGAAGAATTCGATGGACCCCATTATTGACGAAATGGCGATGAATTTGGGACCGATCTCTCCGGTAGCTCTTGGCTTGTTCATCAGTGGCCAAAGACCTTGAAACACCATCAAGGGCGAGATAGTGTTGACCTCGAAAAGGCTTCTGAGGTCTTCGGCGCTGAGTGATGCTACCGGCGATGCCAGGCAGCCTGCACCAGCATTACTGATCAAGACGTCGATGTGATCAATCGCGCTAGATGTTGCCTGGTCAAAAGCCTCGCGAACAGCAGACGGGGTTGGAGCTTTGGTGAAATCGAGAATCATGATGTGGATCTGGCTGCTGTCGCCTTTCTGGGCATTCCCAATGGCGGATTCCAATGAGGCAGCTGCTTCTTTGTTGCGGACAGATGCAATGACTGTCGTAAATGGCCTGGCTAATAAGCCTTTTACAAGGCCTAGCCCTATGCCTTTGTTGCCTCCTGTGACCGCATAGATGGTGTTTGCCATGGCGGAAGTATAGTTGAAGGCAAACTTAGGGAACAAGTCGGTGGTGGAGTGTTGACAAATGTTCGTCTTCAGCTGCGTTCTTGTTGATCAGCATTGGAAAAGAATATGTTTGACTCGCACTGGATATCGATCTGGTTATGTAGGATATAAAAGAATAGGAATAAAATATGACATGCGCTAGATTCGAGCTTATTCGGGTGACTAGTCTCAAAAAGGAGCGGCATCCCAGCATTCGGAGGAGATGTCGGACTTGGGGGTCCGGCCTGCTCCTTCTTTTTCCGTGTCATGGGGAAGCCCGCCGCAATTTGCGAATGAAGCTCGCAGGCTTCTAATACTGGAGGTGCATAAACTCACGCCCCTTCGATTCTTGATTGGGAAACTTCAAGTGATTCGTGAGAAGACAATCACAGGTCGAGAGACAGGGCCAAATCTGTTGCATGGGTCGCTCTCCTTTCTGACTTAACCCCCTGTGCTACGCATGCAGAAGCGTCTCTTGACTAGCTAGTGTTTGCTTCGGCTTCCATTTTTTGAAGTTTGGCTAAGTCCAACGCCGCCTGGTTCCCCGTTCAACAGTTCGAGACTGGATCATAGCCGACCCCTGCCGTCAAATAGATTGACTGCTTCTGGATATAACAGCCTACTGCTGATTAGTGACACTTCAGTCAGCCACAAATTGTGCAAAACTAAGGTGAATGAGAGCAATCTCTTGGCAGATTACACCTACAAAAGGTATGCCTTTGGACTAGGGATTCCGGGAGCGGGGTTCTTGAATCATCGAATCATGAACTAATGCATTGAATCCGCTTTGAGAAACTTGCTTTGAATGACCCGATTTGCCTGAATGATTGGTCCGATTGAGATTACTTCAATGGAGAATATGACCCACGTGGTTAGTCTGATAACCATACATATATCCGACGTGGGCTTGTAGATGGGAGAGTATGTAAAGATATGTACGAGTAGATGAAGGCCGGGGTGGGAACATAGACTAACTATCCAACTCTATTATTATTTCACACTTTCAGCAAGCCGAATTGTATATGTATGTTGCTTACCACTTTTCACTGACTTACCTGAATCGACATCATGTTACTGAAAATCGGTAAAGTCAAGCAAAATCCTCGCTAAATGCGTCGGTCTAAGCAGGGAAGTATTTAGTGAGAAATGATTGGAAGGCAGAAGGAAATAGTATTTGGAGTGCGCCTGCTTGTTATTGGAAGAAGGCTAGAAGGCCGATAACATACTGTAACTAGGAACTAAGATATGCGGACTCTAGGCAGTATTTCTTTGAGTAACTCCTGACAATCCAAGCCCCGTATCACAAGCCGCTGTCTTCACACCATCAAGTGGACTTGGACATGACTAACGTCTCCTTATGACGCAAGTTGCTAAATAAATGTTTATAGCGACTGGTCTAGATTCATCGCCACGGGGGTAGTTCCATTATGGGGGTTAGGGTGTATCTCTGAGGCTGCATAGCGCAACTCGGCTTATTAAAATGTCGCATTTCCACCGGGATTTTTAATCAAATACACCAACCGAGACATGTTTGAGTGACCCCCTTCTTGCTTGTCCTTACAAACATTATTGTGAAATGTTATGTTCCATCATTATCCTGCGTAGTAAGATTTCTGGCCTTAGTGTTGCGCTGTTTGGTGATTAATTATGTTCGTTGGCCGACATCAATGCAGAGTTTGTAAACACAAGTTCATATTTGCAAAACAGCATTTTATTCCGCATGTTGAATCGGATGATCGGGCTCAAAACTATTTGTAAACGAAAAGCAGATGTTTGAAGTATAACCCCACAGATCAGGCCTTCCTCACGACTTCCTACGCCGGCAACTTATGACCATTTCTAGTTCTTCGGACTTCTCAAATGCAGCTCAAGTAGATGGTTTCTAGTCCGAGACCTGATTTGATACGTTTGACTTGCTCATCCGGATTGTGGTGTTCTGGCTGCTCAAAAGACACCACCAGAAGATCAAGATAGTCCTTTCACTTTTTCTTCGACTGGTGGTATGATATTTTAGTTGAGGCTGAGGCCATTGTAGGCGTTGATGGCATTTTCAAGGGTCATGTCCAGGTTTCTTGCCTCAGCTTGGAGATCCTCAGACCGGCTCTGAACCATATCAATCAGGGCAAAAGCAATGGTCTTTCAATTCAAGTAGGTTAGCACTTAATCACATCGTTTAGGTATCTAGACCATCTTCCGGGTAACTTACGTCAACAACATTCTCAATCTGCCTCAGTACAGCCGCCACAGGTTGCCCAATGAAGGGGACGGTATTGAATAGACCAGCCTTGCCAATTAGGATGTTGAGAAGGACTTGGTGAACGCGTACGAACTCGCGGAAGGCGTTAAAGATGGCATCGGAATCAGCGCCAGCCCCAACTGGCGAGGTTCCTTGCATTTGTGCTATGGCAGTGGCAGCAGTGGAAACAATGTCTGTAAAACCGGCAATAATTTGCTAGTTAGGGGAGGTTGTTAGTATCTGTCCAAAATTAAGCGTGGCAAACCCTAGGTAGGTGTCAGACGAAGATAAAGAGTAAAGGGCCTAAATACCGGGAAGGGGCCCTGTCCAATAACAATCAGAGGCCCATTGATAATAGTGATGCTCTGTGCAGGGGCTTGAAGAGCCTGCGACTTTTGCGTGATCATCTGGATGTTGCTGACGATCTGAGCCGGCGTAACAGCCCGGGATTTTACGACGGCTCCTAGCACAGTCTCGCTAGACACAGCCAAAGCTGCAACTGCAAGCTTGAAGATTGAGAATTGCATTTTCGTAGTGGGGGAGAGAACCGATTAGGCTAAGAGAGGAGGTGTTTGAAAGGGTTGAAAGGGTTTGACTAGGTAGATGAGGAGGCGAATTGATGTGAAGTGATGATGAAGGATAGAGTCTGGAAAACAGGCGGGAGATGATCTCATTTTATACCTGAATCCTGATCCGAAGGGTGAATCCCTTGCCCATTGCAAAATTCAAGCACTTTGTTACTCTCACCACATCATGTTACTTTCAAGATAAAGCTGCAAAAGCCTCCATGCCAATGGACACCAGAGTGTCTCTCAACTAAGGGACGCAAAGCTCCCAGGATAGAAAAGATCACCACTCTCTCATCTATGCGAGTACCAGTCATTGTCGGATTTCCCTTGGTAACTTGACTCAAGGGGTAGCTGATAGCCCCAAAAGAGGCATAAAGCGTTATTCTATGGTCTTGGGAAGCGGAGAATCAAGACATGGCCCGCCGGTGTTCACCTTAGTAGATCAGGTGTTTGAGACTTCAGAGAAAATCCCTCTCCAGATTGAGAATATTATGTCCTGAAGTAGCAACCTTTGTGGGATCGGCTGCCGGGGGCTTGCGGAGCCGTGAACCCAAGACAAACGTCAACAATGTCTTCGACACTCCAGGACCCTGAGCGTGCTCTGGAGGGCTCAGAACTCTACCGTATCCACTAGCTAAACTGACAAAACGCCAGTAGTCAGGCTAACGGCAAATAGTCTAGCAGCTGTCGGCATAACTAAGCCATTTATAGAAAGCGGTCAACCTTTTGCTTAGCCCTCAACTGCTGCTGACGTACACAACTAACCTGTGCAGTATCTGACGAAGGTTTCTGCCAGCAAGCTAGCCCTCTTTCAGCTGCTGCGATATCTCTTACCGTTAGCGCGCGTACTAGCGGTTTGTCAGTTTACCCAGTGGATACGGTATACATAAGCAAAGGTGTGATATCATTGCCATTTTAGGGCATAGGATGCTCCCAATTACGCACCGGATGAAGGAAACATTACCTGTAGCATATCCTCCAGTCACGGCCGTTATGAGAATCAGATTGGCTAAGGTCAGAAACCCCCGTAACCTAAGACAAGCCATGCTTAAGGTCAAGAATTTTGAATCCTAAATAGGAAATCCCTTGACGGTCTCTTCCTGCTGAATTCTTGGTAGTGGGGCGAAGACGAACCCCAACCGATTCCTAACGAAGGATCTAAATGTCTTGGCGGATACCTAATGATCGACACTGCTATGCTTGACGTAACGTTGAAAAGAACACGCTTGGTTTCACTGTGACCTCCGGTATGCTGCTTCGGGAGACGGCCCTGTCACTGGTTCTCTCCTAGCTGAAGTTGGCGGCTAGCTAGCGCGTCTAGCGCCGGAGCTCGAGACAGTATGACAGCATGAAGTGTGGACCCATGGTAGTAGTCTGAGCAGCTGAAGCAGGCCCTTAGCTTCATTATTCCATGCTGTTAAAGTGCAGCGGCTTTTGGCGGAAATCTACCCAGGATCTGTCGACGCAAACTAAACAAGTGCACGGGACAGGCCGAACCCGAACAGGGTTGCAGATGCACGTCTACTAGTCTGCCCGATGACAATACTTGGCCTGTCTAAGTCGTTGTTTATATCACTAATCATGATGGGACTATATTCCGGGTTTAGACAGCTACACCAAACTTCCGAGTCCTAAGTAGGGAGAGTTACCCATTACACTGCGCTTCTGAAACAGATGCATACTGTTTAATAGATTGGTTTTCGCTTTGGGCCACCGACGAAGCCAAGTGGGCAGACGTCTTGAATGGAAGATTTTGGACGAAAAGTTTCCGTTGTGGCCATACCCATTTACCCGGGCGTGGGTCCTTGAAAGCAGCTTGACAGAACCCGGCTCCGGGTCGCTGGTGCTGATGCTTTTTAGAATGAATAACGATCGACATTCAAGCATTCCTCCGTAGTTAAAGGTATTTCTTATAGGAGAAAGGGACGTTCGTGAAACGGGATTCAGTAACTATGGGCCGCATTAGGAATGGGGGGAAACACACTTGACGATCAATTTTCCAAAGACCGCCAAGTGGAATCTTGACACATTATTAGTGGCGGCGACACGAAAGCTGGACAGGTGAAATGGCACCAAGATCGACGGTACACCTATACTGTGATTTCCTGCAAAGGACAATAATTGTATATCTAAATTATGCAATGTATGTATTTAGGTAAAAGTCTTTCCTCGGGAATCATGTAACACCGCTCAAGGATTGTGTGTCCAGTTTAAAACGGTGGGTATCTAGGTAGGTTAACGTTACAAGCTACATGTATGTACCCACGGAAATTTTGAACCGACGCTATCGAGGCAGCTGAAGCAAGCCCACTAGTCTATCCTCAGGATATCTCAGTGACTAAATGGCGTACCAAGGTATCAGACAACTGTTGAAATGTGTCATGAACCCAAGCGCCCGTGAAGTCAAGTAGAAAAGTGGTCGAGCCTTCGAACACATCTCGACGGCGATCGAGTCATGTTGGATATGGCCTTCGGACGTCTCAATACGCCAGACTCCATAACGAAGCGTGTATGCTCACAATATGCCCTTTACAACGACTAGATAGATCAATAAAGCTATAACACTATAGATTCGACAGTATAGTGTAAGATTAATTCCTAATACTGCCACATAGCTGTAACACCTGAATGGCGTTATGAGAAGAAAGTTATAGCGCAATTCTGGCCTCTATTATGAAATCAACAAAATTAACGCGTTGCGACCTGTTTCTGGGGGAACCGTCGTCCTGTATAAGGTATTGATGTGATTTTTTATTAAGCTTCACCGATGAATCCTGCTACTTCTTGAATACTATATACTTGACTCGGGTCTAGCAGTCTTGACCGTATGTTAATTGTGGATTCGTAGTCACCGAAACATTAATAACCCTTGTTTACCAGTAATACTAGGTTGTCCTTCAAATTGTAAGCGAAATACTATTGGTTTTAAGACTTGGGTGAATTTCAGGTACGGAAACCAATGGACGGCTCTCGATACAAGTATTTCTTCACATCGTTCAGTCTCATGAAAACCGCTCATTTAGGATCTATATAGCTTGGTTGGCCACTCGCGTCCCAAAGTTGAGAATCAGTAACGCTAACAAACTCCTGGTTTCCATGGTTGAAGACCCGTTGGGTCAAAGTCCTAACCGTGTAGCTTGAGAGCAAAAAGACCGAGAAATAGGTTCTGCAGACTTTTCACACTGGAGTCGTGAACGAGTTGTATTTGGCATCATCGAGACAAGCCGTAGCCGCTCGGAATTATCAATCCAAGTTGACATATGACTCAAGAAGTAATACTTATAGTAAGTGAAAAGTCAACTCTGGAACAGGCCTATGGCTCAGATTGCCAGTGGGAAAGGTTCATATTGAGACTCCTGACAGTTTCACAGAAAAGTTTCATCCTTCTATGCGAGCCTCTGATCCCTCTCCTGAGAATATGTCTTTGGCGACGTGATATGTCCATGAGAAGGCGCGCGCAGCACCAAGCCCAGGCTCCAAGAGCCAAGGGACGGATGTCGATGGTTCCCTAGCGCGCCAACCACAAGAGTTTTGTTCCGAGGTCCTAATCAGGATCTTGGCAACTGGCGCTGCCGCGCTTGTGCCAGGATATGGAGAAAGTTCATCATATCGCGCGTCTGCTGGTAGCTCTCGTGAGCCAAGATCCTTGGTAATTGGCGGAGGGACGGACCGAAGCCGGAAAGCCGAGAGCCCCAGAGATAGTAGAATGCTAGGCTCTTGACCCGCGTCCCAGTCACTTCCGTAGCCCAAAATTAGATGTCAGAAAGTTGGCAGTGAGCGAATTCGTGAGTCTCAAGTCCAGCAGACCTTCTAGGATGTCCTTACATTGGGCAAGACGCAAGAAAATCAAGCGGCTTGGCTATCATGGTCGCGGCCGGTACGCTGGACATCGACGGCGTGCCGCAGACTTCGGAGTACTTTGCAATTGAGGCTCGCGCGCCGAGCTACGAGGAGACTTGGACACAGAACAGAAGCTCATCACGGGAAAAAGTCACCAATAGACGCCAGCAGGGCGTCATGTAGCTGTATCAGTCACCGAGAGTGTCTAGCGACGTTGAAGGCACATAAAGCGGGCCGTTTGTGTCCAAAAATGCATAAATAAATATGGTTGCCTCTGGCCCACCAGTGTAGCACAGGTACTGGGTGCTGTTCAGTTGGCATAAGGACTTTTTGACCAGAAGGTACTTAACTAGCATAAAAACCCGTGTGCTGCTACAGCTGCTGCGATTGGGATACGACAAACACTGTCTCACAGCAGTGAGACTTTTCCGCCGTCAAAGATTTCCTTGCACAAACAGCGGTGGTGAAACTATGATACATAATCCGCGGTGCCTTTTGAGGTCGCACAGGTACACAATAATAATACTCTCAACACAGTCTAAAAAGCACAGTATAATTATTGTGCCCAATACTCAGCACAATAGAAGGTTTGTAGGAGAAAACACAATACCATGGAGCTATCCAGGTGTCTATCCACCCCATTGGCTACCAAAGTTTGACCTTACCCATACAGGTCAAGAGTATCTTGTGAGACAGTAAGGTGCTATAAACCTGACTAAGGTACGTTGCCAAGGCGGTCCCTTTTACAGTTGGCTGGCTGCTCTACCGTGTGTGGTCAAACGGTGAAGGTCCCCGAGAACTTACTGTAATTGGTCAAAAACCAAAGAGGTCGGTGGCCAGTCAACACGGGATCTCCGCAACTTCACCCCTGCAAGCCAAGACCCCAACGCCGAAAGAGGATGGTGGTTTGAACTCGTACACCGATGGACCGAACGAATGAGTACCAAGGCCTTGAGAAGAGGAGATCACCGGCGGTGTCACCTGCCACAGAGCAAGAACACAAAAGGCGCCCTCTTTCCTAGATGTCAAACTTGTTCTCTCAGTCACCTGTTCAAACTCTCGATATCTTGTTGCACAATCCTCGAGCCGAAAGTCATCGATCACAATGAAGTTTACCAAGCAGTTCTCAGCCATTGTCTTCATGTATGAATCTATCAATCACGCCGAGTGGGTATGTCACTAACGAGACCAGCGCGGGGCCAATTGCTGCCCAAAGCACGTCGGATCTATACTCGATACTCCCGATCGACTTGACCGCATCGGTTACCCTTCCGGTTGAGACGGACGGCACAGGCTCTGCCTGCCCGACCGTCACGGAGGTGACGGAAAGCTGCGCCACTTGCCCGGTGCCGCAGTGCCTCACAGTGTCCACTCTGACGCAGTCCTGCGGCTGCCCTACCCCGGTGCTGACGGAATATGTCTCTATTCCATGCAGAAATCCCTGTGCCCGCGTCGGATGCAGCACCAGCTACACCATCATCCCGGGAGAGGAATCTTGCGGCGGTACCGGAAGTGGAACTGCCACCGTCACGGCGTCGGTGACGGGGTCGACCACTGTCACGGCGACATCTACCGAGACACTCGGAACAGAAACCGGTGCGGCGACAGAGACAGGGTCCGGCGCTTCGACCCTGACGGCTTCCAGTTCTCCGACACCGAACGCTGCGAGAAGGTTGGGCGTTCCTTTCAAGTTTTGGTAGGCGTAATCCAGTGTTGTAGGAAGCGCCCAACACCCAACATGCGAAAGTGGAGGCATCTGGGAGATTATTGAAGGATTCAGGGAATGTTCCTTAACTATTTAATACTAGATTGCACCCGTGATTGAATGACAAGGAAAAGTCCAGCTTAAGTCGGTGCCCATGTATCAGCTGTCCAAGATTCCGGACTGAAATCCGGCCAGTAGAGCCCTTGTGCACCATCGTTGTGAATCGAGGCATCGATAAACTGCAAATCCAGAAGTGGCTGAGCCAAGGGCTCCTGAAGGGATGGTTCGTTAAGCGCCATGCCAGCCGTCGTGTGTTGCGTCTGGAAAGGCTGACCAAGGGTCACCGTATCGGTGAAAGAGGGCATGGTAGAAGGCGTGGCGGTCGACGTATCTCCTTCAGTGGCGTAGCCTCCCCGACGGGCCTGGGCCGCTGCCATGGTCCTCTTCATGGCATCAATGTGCTGACAGAACTCTTCTGCTGCGTAGTTGCCGTTATCCTTCAGCTGCGAGAGGAATTGGGCGGCCTCCTCGAACTGCTCCCTGTCGTTGTGGCTTTCCTTTCCATTCAGGAGGCTGGAGGCGGCGAGCACGGTGGCTGCCGAGAAGAGATACTGTGTGAAAAAACAGTCAAAGGTGGCGACACACTACGCTACTTAAGCGGAATCTTCTCACCCAGTTGCTCACCTAATTACTGCTGCTTTTAATGAGGTTGAATTCCGAGGAAGCTGGGGTATGGTGAGCGGGGGGGTGAGCAATTGTTGATGTTGGCGACTTGTTAGTGCGTCTACATGTTTCGTAACCCGTGTACAGATAACAGAACTTCGGTGACTGAAAATACATCCTCGTACTTAAGCGCCCAACCCCTGAATATCTCTTTTTTACTCTCACCTTTGGTTCCTCTTCCATTCTCTTTCGACTTCATTTCGATTCAATCCTCTACATTCTCACTGGGAATTCATATCTAGACTATCACAAAACCTCCCAATTGCTAATGCAGCATCTCACGTGGCTAAGCCATGGTGGAACTAACAAGAGTCGATTCGGTTCAGACCTTTTCTTTCCGAAGCCAACTGGCATCAAAAGGGGCTGGAAACTAGGAAGACCATTTATCGCACCGCGGGGAACTCGGAAGCCATAAATATGATGGGTGGTTTCTTCCCTGAGCTGAGTGAGTATTCCTCTCCAACCATACTGTAACTGCACACTCGCACTTCCAACCAGCATACATAACCCACACGGTCGTCTTTAGGTTCGTAATCGGGGGTTCTAAGAAGACGCAAGGCCTTCCGCTCTACGAGACTATCATTACCGGCGCAGTAGCAGCGCTAGGGGCTACAAGACAGACAAAGGCTCACTTCAAAGGTGCCATAGGCTTAAGCATCTCCGCAGCGGCAGTTCAAGCTGTCTAGCAGGCTGCAGAATAGGTAACAGAATGGAATAGCGGCAGGCTTCTAGCGCAAACTGACATTGCAGCATTAGCGGGGGAGGTTGGGATGAAGCTCGAGAGCCGAGGCAGAATGTAGGCAGCCAGTGCAGACAGAGGTTTCTCGAAGAGCACTTCCCCGTACAGAGCTAGTACTTCAAATCTCGGGATACTTGGTGCCCCTAGAGACGAATGCATATGGTCAGGTGCCATTAACCGTGTTAAGTCGACGCCATTTGCTAAATTTTAAAGGGTTGGCGGCCCGGACAAATCATTAGCTTCTAAGGTCTCGCATTTTGAACCAGTTCGTATTTCTGCCAGATATCAGATGGCACGTGTGATCGAACAGACAGCTGCATATTTCTGCATCTAAAGTCGTCCAAGAATAATTCCATAGTTCACATTCCGTCGTCTATCGGTCTGAGATCCGTCGACAGGTCGGCCGTTGGAATACTGGAGTTCCATGTCTCAACGTTGACCTTTCTTGCCTTAGGTTTCCCTTGGGCCGGGTCACGGGGGGACGTTGTTTCGCCCATGACCCCTTGGCAGAGGGATCCTGGGCTAGTAATAGAAGATAGGTTGCGTAGGCGCCTTGTGCTACCTAGATAGACTTGTTAGGCGTTAAACAATATCATCATCATCATCATCATCATGAGTTGGTCCTGCTCGGTGAGAGTCCTCTGGAATTCGGGACGATCCCCGGGGAAGGCTTGCTCAAGTAGGTATTTTGTAGGCAAGCACGCCTTACACCCTCTCATTCGCCATCTCCTTTTGACATTGTTCCAAATCTGGGCCGCAGAGAACTCCTAAAATGGAAATACGAATCAACAACGACGGACTACGTCTGGAGGGATGTCAACAGAGCGAGGGAAATTGTTCCATTGGAAACGCATGATCTGGAGCTGCGGAACTGTGGGCCAGATCAAGAGAACTCAGATATGAAATCCTAGAAGTCTTAAGATTCCCCCCCGAGGGGAAACGGCTCCGTGATTGTCTTCTCATCACTGTTCCCGCTTGCTTTTCATCACTGCTCCCGTAGGTCTACCATGGAGCAGACATGTAGCGACGGAGCTTGCTTCAAAGGAGTGTGGGCAGGGACTTTCCGACGCATCTCCATGCAGCAAGAACGTAGCTTCCTCGACGTAATAACAATCACTTCGACATGAGCAAGAAGAGGCCCACCCCTCCTTCCCTCAAGCAAGGTCAGCAGCATCGCCTGCTCACCTGCCTCCCGTCCTAGGCACCATCCCTTTATATTGTAAAAATGTGTCGAAAGATTCCAACACAGTCCCAATGATGACACGAAAATTGCTTTTCACCCCTGAGCCAGGAGCTTCGCTCCAATGTGCTAAGACCATATCAAACTGAGGGACCAGGACTTCCTCAGATGAGGGGTTCTTCTTTTTTATAACTTTCGATCCCTTCTTTTTTTCTTCCAAGCTTTCCCACCTTGAGAGCTACAAAGGTGCAAAGGGTACCAAAAGTTTCACCGCATTTACCTCTATAGTTATCTGGATTTTGCACGGTCACTCACACGTGTGTCTGGGAGCAAAACATATTTGCTATATCCATACACGGAGGATCGAACTACGACTTTCACAATAGCTACATATCAGAGCTTGAGAACCATTCCACCACTGAGCCTCACACGGTAGCATGCACAGTGAAGGGGGGCGGCAGGAGCGGCGCGGCAGGATGTGTCCTGGGGGATGGAGGTGCAGTCGGTCCTGCTGGTTTGATGTTGTGAGGTTTTGTGGGAGGCAAGAGCAGCCGCATCAAGCAATAGTCCCCGATCAAGGGAGCGCAGGGCAGGCTCGTCTCACTGAAGTTCACTCTATTTCGAGGTGCGCAAAAAACACCAGACAACCTCAGTAGTGAGTTTGGAAGCCTAAAGCGGTCATCATGGTGTACCGTGGGTGCAGGTATGCTAGCGATAAAGGAGACAACAAGGTCGAAAGGACCTCTGCATCGCATTCGAGCTCAAGCTATGGCGGTTATACCCTTGCTGTGCGTACATGTAGACTAATGCATTAGATGCCGACCATTCATCTATTGTGTGCTACCGAACTGCTACTCGCCCACGTCGATCTATTTATGGCGAAGGCACTGCACTACAGACAAATCAGATAACACCTCAGAGCGGAGCTAGGACCAATCAGAGGAAAGAGGAACAAGTCTTACTGCCACTTTCAGCTCATTGCCGATGAGGATCGGGGTATGCGGGATGTTCATGTCGAAGAACCAGGGACGTTCATCGAGCGAAGGAGGCGGGATGGCAACGGCGTTGTCCGTCGTCTCCATGACGGGCGCCACTGTGATTTCTGGAAGAAGGGCATCTGCGCGAGATTGTGTGGCCGCATTACTGGTGTTCTTCAAACGCTGGTTTTCGGCGATGAGATCATCAATGTACCTAAGCGTGGGTTTCTCTTAGCGACCAGGCTTGGGACGTTCTGAAGTAACAAGTATTAAGTAAGGCTGACCGTTGGCTGACTTTGACCATGCGGTTTCTTCGAGGATATGTGCATTCTGCGCCCTTGCTCACTTGCTGACAGTTTTTGCAGGGCTGTTCCCCGGAGCATTTCACCTTTCTGGAATGACATCGACGGCATCTGGCGCAAACAGTTGTGAACATCAATCATGAGACATTAATGGGGCGCAGAGAGGATGGTACCTACGCTGTTGGTTTGATCCTCGGACGGCTCGTACTCTTGGAAGATGTCGGAGCGGGTCGCAATGGGCCCCTGTCTTCCGAACTAGATATATCTCCTTCGGATGCCATGATGTTCAATCTGAATGCCGGCTCGGGCTGTAGGTGCTTATCAATCAAGTCGAGAGAAGATTGGTAATCTCCCCACATTATCGGCATCATGTGAATCCTGCCGAGCATATTCGTCACGATTCAACCCCACAGACCTCCTTTCCCCCACTAGTGGGGAATGAATAACCGGCCATGTTCCCAAGTCGGCGTCTTGTGGAGTTGCCGACTAGTTCTTCGAGTTATCAACCACTGAAATTGCATATCAGTCGCGATCCCGTCACAGACCCGGGCCGGTCTTGACGAAAGGTGTCATGCATGGTCCACTCAACGAAACATTTGAGTCACAGGAGAAGACTGGAATAATGGAAGAAATTTCGCCTCTCGAAGGATGCTTCCGAACGGCGGAGCTCCCGCGACTATAAACACCCGGGGAACCTCCCGGGTCACGGTCCGGTTTGAAAATGGTACAGCGTAGAAACTAGCTTCTCTTCATCTCTGTTCAATCCAAGAGACTCCAAGATGGGTTCGCCGAGCGCCGAAACCCCGGCCCAAGCACATACAGCCAACGTCCCTCAGTTCATGATTGCCGATCCATCCTCCGGCCCCGTTCCGGTTGCTCCTGCCCCTCTGCGGCCTGCCGCCATTGACGATGTGGTGATGGAGATGCCCACATGGCGTAAGTGGGTTACACTCTTCGTCGTCTGCTGGATGGCCCTGCCCGTCATCTTCTCCGGAAGCTCCATCTTGTCGGCGACGAACGAAGTCGCTGCTGACTTTGGCATATCAACGCATGCCATCACCACAGCCAACGCCGGTGTCTTCGTAGCCATGGCCATGTCCGCGCTGATCTGGCTGCCAATGACCGACATCCTTGGCCGAAGGACGACGTATCTGGTTGCCAACACTCTGTTGACCCTATGCTCGATTGGCTCGGCGGTGTCCAACAACTTTGCCTGTTACACGGCGACCTGGATCATTGGGGGGACGACGGGTCCGTTCTTCCTTGTCGCAGGGCAGACGATTCTGGTCGATATTTTTGATCCCGTAAGTCGGGCCTCCGAGCGTAATGTCTGAGACATCTCTGACAATTTGGAAAGACAACTCGCGGAACCGCTGTCGGCTTCTTCTTGGGCAGCTGCGTTGTAGCAAACACACTAGGTGAGTGGCAACTTGTAAATGGATTCTGCATCTATCTAACATGAGCTAGCTCCACTGACTGGAGGTGTAATTGTAAACTTCACTTCGTGGAGGGTGATCTACGGCGTCCAAGCGGGAATGGCGTTTCTCGGTCTGATCATGGCGTTCTTCTTCGTGCCGAAAGCTAGCGAGCTAGCTAAGCACCAGGCTGCAGAAAAGACCCCTGTGCGATCCCTAGGTGAACTTTGCCGTGCTTTCAACCCGATGGGGGTTTTCCGCCAGTTCAGATACCCCAATGTCCTCGCCGCCGTATGTTGCCTTCTTCGATGTCCGCTTCGATCAATGACTTACACATATTCTGATCCAATGCGTAGAACTTTGCGTGTGGACTTCTGGGCTTCAACCAGTACGGCTTACTTGGCTCGATCAGGCGTGTCATCAACCCGCGCTTCAACCTCACTTCCCCCCTCATCAGTGGTCTGTTTTACTTGGCCCCGGGCGCAGGCCTCTTGGTGGGCAGTACCATCGGTGGCCGAGTATCTGACTATACCGTGAAACGGTATATTCGCAAGCGAAACGGCCTCCGGCTTCCACAAGACAGGTTGAACAGCAGCCTCCCAGCCGTCTTTATCGTTCTTCCAGCCGGCACACTGATATTTGGGTGGAGCTTGCAAAAAGAAGTTGGTGGAGTGGCGCTGCCAGTCGTAAGCTCCTTCATCCAGGGCCTTGGGCTTATGTGGTCTTTCAGTGGTCTTAATACGTACTCTGCTGGTAAGTCTTCCTTTCTTTGTATATGCCTGCATTTTCTATGGCCAGCCATCTAAACCTCACTCCTACAGAGGCGCTTCCCGAACACAGAACAGCCGTTATCAGCGGTAAGTATGTCATTCAGTACATGTTTGGCGCTGGTAGCATCGGTGGCGTCGTACCAATGATTGATGCCATAGGCGTAGGATGGTCATTCACGATAAGTAAGCGTCCCTCTGTTCCTCTATGCTGATATTCGCACCGCGTGCTGACTGTGACGGCTTAGCTGCTCTATCGGCTTTGTCGGCCGGGGTGTTGCTGTTGATGATCTCCAAATTTGCATCCAGAGCCCAGAATTGGGTTGAGAAGAGCGACAGCAAAGATTCTGATGACTGATTCCTCATTGGTAGTCAGCGCGGTGCCATGGATACAGGGTCCAACATCACTAGACTCGCACAGAACATGGCGTTTGTGAATTTTCTACTACTCTATAATTACAACGCTTGAATTTATTTTCTGAAATAATTTAATATTCATTTATTCATTCAAGGCATTTTACGTTGGAAAAAGAGGTTAGATTACGTGTGCTCTTCGCTGTGATCAGCAGAGGAATGATGGATCACAGTCTGCCTTGTCACATATCACCATTCTCAGCAGCAGATCAGTCTTCAGGAAATACTCCAGGAGTCCAGTGAACTACGTGACTCGATTCAACCCTTGTTCCATGTCTTCGGCTTCCAACCACTCTTGGCATGCGTGTGTGCCTTGTCGACCCAATCGATGGCCTAATCGCGTTCAGTGTTCGCCTCAGCCGCAGCCTTGTCAGCACAATAGCTTCGTAAGCCCCTCATTTCCACCGCAGAGAGAGCGGGAGCTCAAATTTTAAGCATCCGCCATTGACTTCCAAGTCATATATGGTAATTTATTTCTTGAAGCAAACGGGGGTTACTTTCGATCCGGTATTGCACGCTGGGAATAAGCCATCAAACACGTCCCGTTTTGGAGGAACTAATTCTGGATTCACAGCAGCTTTCCCTAGGTTATCTATTTTATTTCGACAAAGTTCCAGCCATGCTTCTCAGAATTGGATGGTCCATGTCGTTGCGCCAAGACTTTGCACTGCTCTACCCTCAACGTCGTCAAATTCAAATCTGGATGTGCAAGTACACAATCGTAAAGGTCGACATTTACAAGAAAGTTGTTACTTACGTTTAAAAGTTAAAGTCTCTTTGCAGTCAGCTACAAACTATTCTTTTCACGTCCTTCGATTCTGAGTTTAAACCCCTTGAGAAGAGCCTTCGGAAGCGAAATTGGGTGTTCTTCCTCCTGCGTGCAGTTTGTACTTCAAGGGCGACAATAAGCCATCGGCTTTAAAGACTCTTCTGGAATACGCAGAAATTCATTCAGACGTGGAAGTAGAATACAATCTGTTTACGGATACGCACTCTGCGAGAGCTTCACTAGAGACCATCGCCCTTTTCACGATATCGAAGATGCTCGGCGACGACAACTTGATTGAAGATGACGGATTGACCGGGAACAAAAGCTTATTGATGTTTTTGGTGAACCGAATTCCACACATCAACGCAATCTTACACAATGGCAAAACTGTTTTGCAAATGGCCGTTGAACGCCCTACGATAGACTGGGGATTCGTAGTCGACCTGACCAAGAATGGGGCGGACCCAAATGTCCTCGATGAAACAGAATTGAGCTCCACTGCATCTCGCTTGCGGCGGATGACTCAAGACGATTGGGCGCCATCGCGAGCCCGAATGTTTTGAGTGACAATAGATTTACACCTCTTATGCTTTTTGCTTTCCGAGGAGATGACATCGCGATCCAGGATCTGCTACGAACAGGAGCTGATCCGGATCATCAGCTGGGAAGGTCCGCTGCGCAGTAGAAATCCGTCAAAGATTTGCTTGGAGACTGGAGACAAGACTTGCCAGGTTTTACTGGGCGTTCAATGCAATGAATGCAACGATAAACCATAGCTTTGAAGGTGACACAGCACTGTCTTTCGCAGTCAGTCGTCTCGAGTTTTACTACGAGATGCTAGGAAACAATTTCATTTCCAGGCGTCGTTGGCCAAATGGCAATTCCTCTATTGAGAAGTGGTCAGATTCTCCTGGGTTGGGAAGGGAGGTGTTGGGGAGCTGGGCCTTGCAAAGAAATAGGTGGATTGTGAGACAACCGTATCGGCGCTGCTAGCGTCGGTAGCATTCGAGCATCAAAAGTCTATAGCTAAACGACTTCGTCAGTACCAAGGGCTTCACCTTTGGCATATAATCCTGGATGAGTTTCAACCTTATCACGACTGACCATAGCTAGTAGAGAGAGCCGGAAGATGGAGGAGCATCACAGATTGTGTTCCAAGTACTCACGAGGATCTAGCTCAAATATATGCCGAGATCTTTGGTTATCTGTATATGGGTGTAAGGCTTTGCAACATTACTCGCCCCACTTCAAGTCGATCGTGTGAGATCAGTCCCATAACGTATCCGAGCGGGTAGTATGCTGAGAGCTGCAAGGACGCTGCAAAGAGAGAACCGAAGAGTAGCAAGAGAAGGCGGCAAAGAAACGACAGTGGAATGACGTCCTCGGGGACAGCTATGCAGAAATTGAAAACTGGCCATGGCTGTTGTCGTGGTAGTTAGTGGCTTATGTCAGCCGAGCTTATCTGGACGGGTCAGTATTTATTACTGTAGTACAGTACCAGGTCATAAGTCTGGCGACACCAATAAGGGCAACCAATCAAGCAACTAGGATCCCACCGTGCGACCCATACTCATAAGAGAGTTACACAGCATTATCATAATAACATTAACCGGACTGTTTAGCCCTGGTTTATGTGAGGCAAGCATAATGTGACCCTTATTTGTGTCGCCAGACTTTTGACCTGGTACTGTAGGTATGTAAGGCTCATCTCCCCCTGTCGTTGTGGTAAGGAGTGACCGGGGTCTCGCATGACGACCTCCTGCCGGTACTACCTACACTGTAAGGGACGAGGGCGAGTCGAGACGAGTTCACAATTAGGTAGGGATATGTAGCGTGGTAGGTGGTAGCCGTGCCGGCGGGATCCGGTGCCGATGACACGGAGGACCCCCTGCGGGGTGGAGACCGAGACGCGTCAAACTTAGCGCAATCCGAGTCGAGAAGGGGGCTGGACGGAGTTGCTTGGCGTTGATGTTGAGACGACGCATTACACACAGCATCTTGCGGGTGTGCCGTAAGGCAAGCAAGGATGTGCTGGCGGTGTTGGAGGATGACAGCCCCACGGCGTGTATGACGATGGCGATATGATGAAGAGGCAGAGTGTCAAGGGGTTTAGTGAGGTGATGATGCGAGATGTGAGACGGGTAAAGGTGGTGATGGTGGTGGTGATGATGTGGGATATTTGGTTTAGCTGGAAAGGAGGGAATGTTCCGGATGGCGGTGTCTTTTTGCTCCTTCTTCATCCAGATCCAGGGGGAAGGAAGGCGCAGATTGAGCTGAGGTACGTGTCCAAGCAGCAGCAAAAAAAAAAAAAGGATTGGGCCGCACCTCCTTCCTCGTGTGTCGTGTGTCTGTCTCACACGGAAAGAGCGGTGGTGACGTAGCGGGCGCAGACAGAGCGGGAACCACACACGCAGAAGGCGGGGGTGATTAGGTAATGAAGCGTCCGCTGGACCAGCATCCACGGTTTGATTGGCGGCAGCGTCTGACCTTTCTCTCGGTTATCATATCTGCATTTCCAATCATGCAACCGCTGCAAATCCAGCATATACTCAGTAGTGTGCAGTATGATTACGGAGTACTACAACATGGATATATAGGCGGTAACTGATAGCAGTGAGGCGTATAGAACAGAACAGCGAAGCGCAGCGTGGCCAAGCACAAGGCAAGGGAGGGCACTGGAGATTTGCCGTTGGGCACTTACTGTCTGTACCTAAGCACCTTGGGCAGGCAAGTGCGTAGTGCGTAGGTACATCGTAGGTAGCTACCTTAGCAAAGTATCTTCGCTTCCAGGTACATCCCACGCCCATTGGGCATTCTACACTAGATACTACCTACATTGTACATTCGTATCGCCCCTTCTGCCAACGTCCCTTCCCTTTGCCCTACCCCCTGCAGCACTTTTCCCCACTCCTTCGTCCTGTTCCTTCCGGTTCTCCATTGTCTGCTACGTCTCGTCTCGGCTTGACTTCCACGACTCGACTCGACGACACGACGAGTGTCATTTCTCCCCTCTGCCACGCCCGAGGAACGACCCTTGTCTGCCACCGCAACACGTCCATTCGTCTAGCGTCTAGCATCCAGCGTCCAGCCCTACCTTTATCCCTTGCTTGTTCCCGGCCACCGACGACCAGCACGGTCCCACGCACACGTCGAACCCAAAGGTGGAATTAAGGAACTCGATCCCCCATGTCATGGTGATGCCACATGTTGCGGCCCAGATCCATGTCGTTTTCTTCCCGCCGTCGCCCGCAACCCTTCCTACTGGCCGACCTGGCTTCCTAACCCAATATTTGACCGACTACCGCACGTACCTATCCCGCAAGGCCTTGCGGATGCACCTCCCGGAAATTATTGGCCCGTCGCTGCTGCACTGCACACACCGCAAACTACCCAGTCCGCAAACATCACAAACACACTACCGCCACTGACGGCCGACAAACCCGTTCTGCATCACCACTGAGATTCGATCCAATACGTATAGTATAGTCTTTCCACCATCACCATCGCACCCGCTTTCTTGTCTTTACGACCTCCTTCTTCCTTCACCACCGCCATCTGCTGAGCGACTTCCTTCACCATCTCTCTTCTAGCGACCGACCCGAACAATCTCGAAATCGTCTCTGCCCAATCCAGCCTTTGGATCTAACAACCTACCGCTACTCCGACTCCTGCCACTTTTTGATCTGTCTGATATCGACACGACCTCAAACAGCCCGTACGAACCCGCCGTCCTCGAAACGGCCCCGACCCTCGCCATCTCCCCTTTCGACCGCCACCAGAGCATGCGTCAATGGATCCCCCCGATCCCTTACCGTTGCGCATAACGCGGAGCGCCTCCTCTTCCTCGTCCCTCCACTTCAAGCCTCGCGATCGGAAACTACACCTGCTGGTCGCCGCCAACGGCCCTCGCGACATATCATGGGCCCAGACCCTCGTCGTCCGCCTCTCCAAAAGCTCCGCTATTGAGATGCGCGCCATCGTTGATGACGCAGTCCCCCGCCTCAGCCAGACCGTCATCACCATGCAGAATCGCTCCATGACCCTTCCACTCGGCCCCTCGCGTGCAGGCTCCGAGGCCGACGTCGACGATGTCGAATTCTACCGCCAGCAGGCCTTTGAGCTGGTTGAGTGGGCCGACCTGCTCGTCCTCGCCCCCATCGACGCCGATAACATGGCCAAGATGATGGTCGGCATCGCCGACACCTTCCTCCTCGAGGTTCTGAGAGGCTGGGACACGGCCAAGAAGATACTGCTTGTTCCCGGCATGAGCACCCATATGTGGGAGAACCCCACCACCAAGAGACAGCTCAACAAGATCAACAGCAAGTGGCCGTGGATTCGCGCCATGTCGCCCATCCTGTGGCACTACGACGGCTCCCACAAGAACCCGAAGCGAATCGTCAACTGGAACGGCTTCAACGACGTGCTTGGTATCATCAAAAACCAGGCCGACCTGCTCGGGCTAGGCCGCGACGTCGACGTCGTCACGCACCTCGGTTACCTCGCCTCGGGCGACCCGCGAGTCTACTCGAACCTGCCGCCCGAGATCTGGACCATCATTCTCGACTACGCCGGCGACTGGGAACTCGCCCAGGCCTTGGGCATCTTCACCAACCTGCCCATGCCGCATCCTTGGAAGCTGCAGCCCAGGGACCCCAACAACCCGCTCAAGGTCTACGAGCACGAGCTCGAATGGCTTGTTCTCACCTGCGACTCGACTTCCATCTGCAAAAAGCTCCTCCAGTCCCCACCAACCTTCCACGAACTCCCAGCCCTCGTCATCAAACTTCTCATCCGCTTCTCGCTCATTGAAGTGCTCACCTGGATGGAAGCCAACCGACCCGACCTCTTTCAGGCCTTTGACGGCAAAGTCCTCCCGACCAAAGCATCCGCCTACTTCGGCCGCCCCGATGTCCTCGACTACTGGAAGGAGAGTCGGTACTTCCGCGGCCGCCATCAACAGTGCTACGATGCCGAATCCCTCGACGGCGCATCCAAGAACGGCTACGTCCAGGTTCTCGACTGGTGGTGGCGCCGTTCCGGTCTGCCGCTCCGCTTCACCGAAGCAGCGCTTGAGCAGGCCAGCGGCAAGGGCCACCTCCTCGTGCTCGAGTGGTGGCGTGACGCCGCCGCTCAGGATGACACCATTGTGCTGAGGCCCGGCAAGTCGCTCTTGTGGGCCGCTCAGCATGGCCAGGTGGATGTCCTCCGATGGTGGATGGCGTCCGGCATCCCCGTCGCCCACGGGGACGGCGTAGCTAAGATTGCCTCGCGCTGGGGTCAGGTCGGTGTCCTTGAGCTCTGGCGGAAACTGAAGGGCGATGACAAGCTTGCATTTGACGGCGAGGTGCTCGTCCAGCCAACCATCCACCAGCACATTGGCGTACTGGAATGGTGGCGCAAGTTCGCATACGGCGAGCTCGAAGGCATGGAGGGGCGGAAGCAGCGCGTCGAGTACAGGACGTGCGACATTGAAGAAGCGTTGGAGGATAGCATCGGTGACCAGGAGCAGGTGCGCAGGTGGTGGGCCAGCAACGGGCTCAACCTGGGTCTCCGCAACGTCGAGTGGATGAGGCCCAGGTATCTATAGGATACTCACGAAACTTGTATCACGGGGATGCAGGCAGCATTGCTCGGCAGTAGTCAGCATCACATACGCATGGCATCGGGTCATTTTTGAGGTTTACATCACAGGCAAGAAAAAGTTTGGAGTTTGGCAAAAAGGATCATTCGGGCGTTGGGAAGCGTATTCAAGGTAGTCCGGGAATGAACATTACGCATTCAGATTATAGATGAACGACGACAGGTTATATTGATCTCTTTCTAACAAAAACGCCCTTTGGTATCTTGTGCTCGTCGATCGTGATCCCCAAGCTATTTTTTCCACGCTGACGACATCTACCCTCAGACGACCAGCGGCGCTGCTGCGAACAGGCCCATCACAAGGATCGCGCCTTCGATATTCCTCGCAACGCGCCCGGCGCCTCCATTGGCGGGAGTGCTCGGCGCCGCCAACCCTGTCGTCTGCCCAGTCCCCGTCGTGGGCGTTGTGGCCTCCGTGGACGCCGTCCGGGTAAAGACGGCCGAAGTCGAAGTTGAGACATCATCGTCCCCTTCTTTTGACGTCGTCGTTGTGGTCGTCGTCGTCGTTATCGGCTCCGGCTCGTTCGCAAACGCCGTCGTGGACACGGGACGCGCCGTCGTCGTCGTCGTCGTCCGGATCAGCCGCGGGCTGGACGACGTCACGGACCCGTTGTTCTCCCCGCCGTCCCCGCCGCTGGGGTTCCGGCATTTGCGGTTCGCCGCGCACGTCTGCCCCTCGAAGCAGTAAAACGTCTCGCAGCACACCACGCCCTTGGGCATGCACCCGGCACCGCACGGCGCCTGTCCTGTCTCGCACTGGGACTTGGAGCCACCGCCGCCGTTGCCGCCACCACCGCCACCGCTACCGCCGCCCGTGTTGCACTTGCCGTTCGCCGCACACGTCTCCCCGGCGTTGCAGTAGTACGTTGAGCAGCATACCTCGCCGGCCGGCATGCATCCGCTCCCGCAGACCACCTTGCCGGCCTCGCACTGTCCATCGTCACCCCCGCCGCCGGAGGACTTGACGCAGGCCTCGTCCGCCGCGCACGTCTCCCCGGCGGCGCAGTACCCGCCCGACGGGCAGCACACGGTGCCGACGGGGATGCAGAGGCCGTTGCAGAGCACCTTACCGGCGCCGCACCCCTGCGGCGGGCCTGAGCACGTCTTGCCGGTCTTGCAGCAACCGCCGGCGAGGCAGTAGTTGCCCTCCTCGCAGTAGCCGCCGCGGCCGGTGTCGCAGCAGGCCCCCGATATAGGGATGCACTTGCCGTCGCACACCTTCTCGAAGGGCGAGCAGAAAACGGTGGAGGAGGACGCGGCGACGGTGCCGAAGGCGAGGATGTGGGACCCAGCACCGGGGAGGAGCGGGACGGAGGGCCGCGGTGGGGATGGGTTCGCGGCGTCGGGGTTCAGGGGCTTCTGGGGCGCGTCTTCATCGGCGGCGGCGGCGAGGGTAGGAGTGAAGGGGCCGACACCGGCCAAGGCGAGGAGGAATGTTGAGGTGAGCATTGTGGATGTCGCCAGCTACGGTGAAAGAGGCTCAAGAGGGGGGGAGCAGGAGGCCAGTTGATTTGGACGGGGCGAAGGGCCTTGGAGGACCGGTGCACGATGTGCATGATATAGAGACGCGTACCGGGCCCCTTTATCCTTAGGGGGATGGGAGGGGGGAATCCCCATCAATGTAGACAATGACCGTAGAATGGCGGATTGTGTAGCGTCTGAAAACTCACCCGACAAAGGGGGACCGCCGCCACGTGGAAACGGTCGCGACATACACGAGCGATAGGAACAAAGGGCCAGGCCTGGGGTATAAATAGCTGAAGCGCATAGGCTAAAAGAGCCATGTTTGTCCCTCAGGCGGAGGAGGGGGCACGGCGACGGGGGAAATGGGTGGCGTCCATGGCCGTTGTCGCGAAGAATGCAGGGATGCATTGGGGTCTTTATCGGTTTTTTTTTTTTTTTTCACGAGATCCTATTCAGCTTTTTCTCCCTCTTGTTCATTCTTCCCGCCCCCTTTACGTTCTCTTGCTTTGACAAAATAGCTGGACAGGCGTGAGAGTCCAGGCTGACTGGGTTGGAGGGAACGACTCCAGAGATGGTATGGCGACGAGCCCTGAGTCTCCTTTTCTTAGTAGGAATCTGGGAGACTGGGCGAGTCGGTTTCGTTCCGCAGCCGAGCTGACTAGGACTAACTAATATTGCAGGTCGGGGAGATAAGGATGAGGGGGGATATCTAGCGCCCGGCGACGGTCTGGGGTTGATCGGCCCGGGGGTGATTGCTCGGGAGTGAAGTAAGCTGGCACGCAATGTACCAACTGCGAGATGCTTCTCTTGAACTGAGATATCCCTGTCTGTCATTTCGTCCCAGCTTTGTCTGGAGGAGATAGGGAGCCAAGTTGAAGTTATGATGACAGCCACATCGGTTCGCAGCCTTGCGAAATGCATTGAGTTGGTGTAAGAGAGCAAGCCGTCTCAAGGATCAGGTGGGGGGAGGAGGTGGTTAGCCAGTCACACATCCCGATTTGGCGGCCCGCGTCGGCAACCCGAGGCCCAGCACGACGGGTCCCAGAAACGCGTACGGACGAACGAAAAAGAAAGGGTAGACAGACGGTCCGGAGAAAGCGTGGGGTTAGTTGACAGAGTTATCGGCTCAGAAGAGCCATTGGTGGGCGCGCGTGTGGAAAGAGGAGTTTTGCTGGTCTCAGATGATTCGATCGATCGCTTAGGTTGGCAGGCAAGTCGTTCATTCACATTCCCCGCCAGTCCTCTTCCGGATCTTCAACAGGTGTGTCGGGTCAGCGTGCGGCCCGGGAGAGCACGATACAAAGCGGGGGGGGGGGGGTTCTGTGTTGCAGACGAACCTGTCCCAATCGTTCATCCCTCCTGTCCGGATGCAGAGGACGCTTCATGAAACCGCCGTGTCGGTCTCGAGAGTCATGGGAAGTCATGTCTTGGATCGTAGACTCGAGACCAGCCGGCAGTGACCACCGCATAATGAGCGACGATTAGGGGCGAGCTGTCAGGTGTGGGACAAACGAGCATATATATCAACCAACGTACTTGCGAAGTTGCGATCTCCATGAAGGACGCCGAAGCCAAGTTGTAGTTGGGCACTTGGGGGCTAGTCGACCGCTTCATTCTGCCTTCCGGAAACATGATGGCTCAATGACTATAGCTGGAAGCAGCATGGAAAGATTGCTCGTGACCTTTGCATATTTCTCTTTGGAATGTACGCTTGGTTCGAATAAGGTTCTGTCCATTGACTGACAATGTCTAGTCTCCCCTGGCCTAGTATCCTACTCGTATTGCCAGAAAAGTAGGGGGCCCATGGTGGCTCTCTGAGTATAGTAGATAAACCACGGCATTGACCCGTGCCTTTCTATGAGCATGATAGTAGTAGTTAATACTGGTTTATAAAAGCTTGCAATAGCGACGCCAGCTCCATTCCACGGTCTGTGACGTTGAAACCAAACCCCTCTAGTGACAACCAATGCACCGCTACAAGGCTGACTAGATCGACTGTTACGATTGCAGGTGTCCAAGAGGAATTGCGGTCTGTCTTTGTTATTATATAAAAGTGATGTCGAGAGGTTACAGCGGTTCAACTGCTTAGGTAAGAAGCCTTCGGTCTCGGTGTGAAAGTATTGGGTGACAAAAAGCGGGAGAAATGAAAGTCAAGTTTCCACTTTCTACCCGGCTGAGAAAACACACAATGTGGACATTTCGCCGTCGGGAAGTTCAACAACGATGAGACTTTGGGCCCAGTGAAAATGACGGGGAAGCTTACTCACCGACCCAAGAGGCAAAAGTATTCGACGTTGGCCTGATTCGAACAGACGCTCCCGAAGGAACAAGATTTCTAGTCTTGCGCATTAGACCACTCTGCCACAACGCCGATGTGTCAAGGAACCTCCCTCGGAGCGGGGGTTAACGATTGGAGCGCCGCCTCGGCCTGATGAGCTGGAGCTTTGAGTTGGGTACGGCTTTTGACTCCACAAATCGTTCACAATACTCATGTCTAGATGACTCATAATAATTTTCTGTTTTGGAATAATGGTAATAAAAACACACCGAAGGTACATCCGGACTCCACCTATGTCCTGGGCCCCGCTGCAATTGCTGACCGGAATCAGCCATCCGTTGACAATTACACGTCTACAATACGGCGTCTTGAAAAGTGTAAGGGCAGGATGGAACTATTCATGTATTGAGCCTCAGGCGCAATCAAATATGCGTCGTGTCCTTCATCATGTTTGACAGAAAGGGAGGTTTCGTTGCGTAGTAATGAGTCCCTTCATTCTGTCAAGAACATCGCCGGTGTTGAATGAACAGGGTTAATACCTGAACAGGAACTTCCGGTTGGCTCGCAGAGATATGATTGAAGCTTTTGGAGATAAGTGGGAGAATATCAATCGAGTTTCAGTTGAACGATGTCAAATGGACTATACACATGCACAGAGAAAGATGGCCCCAATGTAGAAGGATCGCTAAATATAGTCCTCAGACAATAACCACTCGACCTGTTTTGAACTCCGTAACATGTTGGCGCCGGACGATCGAATCATATCCATCTTTGTATGATACACTGTATTCTTCATTCTCAGATCGGATGGCAATGCCAACACGAGGAAACACCAGAGCAGTTCTCAAGTGTTTGCCAATATCCTCATAGATCCAAAGCGTGTTGGGATCGAGATCGTCTTCAAGCGCCTTCAGAACAAGTTCCGAAGCAGAGCTTCCTGCATTGTGGAACTTGTCTGTGAAGTATAGTTTTGGGAGATATTTAGAACTACCGAGCGTAATCAGAATATACATTAAGGTAAGTTCGATGAACGTGTCTCTTCCGATGTACCTATGGTGATTCTCCTGTGCCAGTCTCTCTTGTTCTTCATAGCTTGACTTTCTCTGTAGTTCTTCTTCCCGAGCTACCAGTTCTGCAGCGTTCGTCATCATGATCGCTTAAAGGATCAAGAAAGTACCGAGATCATGTTGAAGACGAACTGCTCATCGGCGGTAGAAGAGCAGCATGCGTGACGTTTCGATACGGTCGGGTCTCGCAAGACAGCAGATCTGGAAACTCGGGAAGGGGTGGTCAAGTTTTGGGGAAGAGGATTGCTCAACATGGGACGTAAATCAGGCGGCTTATATTTAATGGCATCGATACCAGTAAGGCTACTAATGTCTCACCGGCCTCTCTTTAGTTTGTATCACAATCAGCTCGGCTGGCAAATGTTTACCCCGATCCAGACAGACGGCATCGATTAGGCTACTAATTATCAATCACAGCATACCTAATGGCAGTGAACCCTAAGATAAACAGTGCCTCACTAACCTCCATTTTCTCTTACCGACGGCTTGGCTTTTGAGAGTCTGCCCCCACGTAAAGATCATGACGTCGTAAGAATGTGTAGGGGACACTTCAAGTACAGAGCACACACTTACAGCTCATTCGTCACGAAATTCAGTTATGAATCCCTCCAGTGTAGCTGAAGTAGAGAACCCGACACATACTCAATTTCAACCTCTTTCAAATTCATGTGTAGGGCCGCATGTAGGCTCTCAAAGATGATAACTAATTGCCATGCGAGAGGAACCTCCTGAGAAACCATCCCAGCACACCTTGCCGATCGTGAGGGGATGTATCTAGATTTTATGTCTGCCAGTGTGATACAAGCCTTTTCTTACTTCAAAACTTGAAATTCAAAGGTTGCTACCCTAACCTAAGCTAAGGGTGAAAATACAGTCCCCGTGGTTCTTCTAGCTTGCCTTATGCACGACGTGAAACTAGAACCCTCTGGACCAGGTTCGCCTGTTGAACGGTAAGCTGCATAAAACCCGGTAGAAGTCGAGGCTCTCATCCTCCAAAACATGAACATGGTCGTAACGAATTCCGTACCAAGCAAGGAGCTTACGAGGCCCCCTATGGCCGATCATCTTTGAGCTTCCTTTCTCACTGACCTCTGACCAATAATCAGTACCCCATTTGACAAGACTGAGGTGATTTTTTAACATAGACCCACGGCGATCTCTCAGTGTGTAAACGAACACAGATCCACAGAGCCTATGCGAAGGGCATGCGGCAGGCTAGTCAATTTTTGTCATCAGGCACTTTGCTACCATTATTTCGTTCTACCAATTTCTCCTGACAGGCGCTGTTAGCCCTGGCTACAAGGCTCTGCTCCAGACAGTAACAGCTCATCCCCACGAATAGATATTACCTCCCGTGAGCTGTTGAGGTTCAGGTCAGTTTGCCACATGTTGCACGGGCTTCCTAGTATTTGATGTGATACTAAGACGTAATATTACATGCATCTGTATCTCAGATGTAATACGGCAATTCTGATGCTAAATGATAGCCAGCTACACCATTCTGAGACTAACAGTCAACAATCTCTCTAGCCCTTATGCACAGTAGTACTAGATTACTCAATATAGGGCTGTTTGATTAATGCTTTGAAGCGTGTCGAGTTTGTCAATTTATTTGATATGAAGCCACCTGGGCAGAAGAAGAAAAAGAAAAACAAAGTCCACCAACCACTGGAGACTTCACAGCACCGAAACGCGTTCAAGGATGAAAGAGTCGCTATTCCGGATGATATCATACTCTTAAAAATTATCGACTTCGATAAATGATATATTCAGGAACTCAAGTCGGGACTAACGTCGTCGAAAGACTCGGTATGTGATGATCATTACTAAAAAGGGCATGGTGCCCGCTGATATTGCCCCATAGCTTCGCGCACTACCCACCGTGTCAGGCCCATCTACACTTCCGTGCCGTGCTACCCTAGCCGAAGACCAAACTAGTTGCATCATAGTCGAGATTTGAGGGCATACAGCCCTGTCAGACGGGCGTTGTCCGAATCGATAACGGTTTACACACCTTCTGCAGCCATGTTCGCAGGGCCCAGCTGCAGTCGTAATTACGCACTCGCGGTGGTCAGGAACTTTCGATCCACATTATATATGCAGGGGATAATTGCCTGTGTTATTCTCTGCCACGCTGCCGACCCGCAAGAAGATTACGGACGATGTTCCGTAAGTAAGGAGTTCTTGTGGAGGCAAGCAAAAAACAGTGGAGTGGTTGTTCGCACCCAGCTCGGAAACCCCTAATAGCCTCCTTAAGACTGGAATGATCTCGTTCAGTAATCAGCTTATAGTTCTACTTCGTTGGCCACTTTCTTGGTTTATTCATGGAGCAAACGAAGATAAGATCACGATAGTATCTGATATCTTTTTTCGCCCACCTCTGTGACTTGAACAATTCACTAGGACAAGGGTCGGCGACCCGTTGCTAGTCAGGCATTCGCAATAGGTCTCTGTGGAGCCCACCTTATCTTTACTGTCAGTATCAGTACCACGTGGGTGATAGCTGATGTTGTAACTTGGTTGCATTTGGCACCTTTTACAAATCCGATATTAATTCGCAATTGCGTTTAGCCCTATCGAAGAAAAAGCTGTGATCTTTATATAAAGCCACTCTGAGATCCGAATTGATCGATAAAGACCAAACTTATCATCTATAATGCTGTCCCCAGATGCGGCTCCGGTATGAAGCTAGCTGCAAACAGAGCCCCCCCACCCACTCCTCCTAGTTTGCGAGTCAGGCATACCGCAACCGATGATATCCATGACGGGAAGCAACGCTACCATTGATGACCCAGTCGCATGTCTAGACCATATGTCGCAGTCACAGTTGCAAGGGAGCAAGCATTGAATTTGTATTGATGTGTGTTTATCTAGGTATTTAGAATAAGAGGAAAATGGGTATCTGTTGGCTGCTCGAGCCGGTATTGACGAGCGAAGCTAATCATGCTGAACAGACCTTTCATAATAACACACGAGATGATAGGATGAGCGTAAACACAGTGCGATCAGCACACGAACCCACAAGAACTTCGAAATAAACAATCAATTATATTCATGGCCGCATACCGCCACGGGATGGTGTCAAAACTAGCCGATCCTGCGACTCCTGGTCATCTGAAATCTTCTTCAATCCGTCCGAAAACAACGACTTTTCGCTCGGCCTGGAAGCAAGTCGTTTCGACGCGACCTCGGCCTCTGTCGTCGGTCTTGCCAGGATCCGGGTATCAGTGTACCACGGACTATTATCAAGAGCCTTGAGCGGTGTCTGTGGTGAGAATTCACGAAGCTCTGCAGTGGCCTCTGCGTCTTGGAGGGCGCTGAAGCGACGAACCTCCGAAGTAATCTCGACTTCTTTCGTGATGAAGATCTGGCCAATGTTCTTTTGGAGGTTAGGCCAGAAGACTGGGAGTGAGGCACAGATAGTCGCTAGGTTGACTTCGACGGCAGCGAGCACGATGGGAGTGCAGCCATACCAGCTGGGGTCGAGAGTCGGGTATGTACCGGCTCTAGAACGTGCAATACCAATGACACGGAATATGCCAAGAATGTTAACACTGCCGAGTGGGCGAGTCAGCATATAGCCTATTGACGAGAATAACCAGGGCCTGGGAACACTCACAGCACGCCCATGATGAACAGGCCAAATAAACTCGCCCGAGACTTCGCCCGGAGACCCGCCTTTAAGAACAGGGGAATGGGTATCGCGAACACGATCAGATCCAACGCCACATTAATTGATACATGGCTTTCGAAGCTACGAGCAAAGGTTTCGGGATCGCGAGAGCCAAAGGCCCATCGTGTCTCCGTCGTCGCCGCGATGTCCCAGAAGGCCGATACGGGTATGCACGGGACCCAGGCGAGGAAGGAGTACGCGATACCCCAAGCGGCGGTAATGTAGATGAAGATAATGGTTATGTATCGCGACTTGGTGCCGCGCTCGAACATACGAAGGTACTGGAAGAGTAAGGCCAGCTTGATGAGAGCAGTGGCCATGGGATATGCGCCGTTGCACACGTAGAAGACTTTGATAAAATCCTGCATGTTATTGATGCCAAGCAAAATGAAGTGTTTTCCTAGTCCATACTCCGTAGCTATATCAGGAAAGTCAGCACATATCAACGACGGGTGGAATGGGGTTGGAAACATACCAACGCAAGTTGCGGCCGACAGAAGTAAACTTGTGAGCTATATTGAGAAGATTAGACATCAACAATCAAACTCCATCCACGGGATGTCACATACCATAGATAGTATGACAAAGTAATCATCCCATCCCGGACACCGAAGAATGAAGTAGCGAACATAAAGTCGGTAGACACCACAGATCCATGCCACAGTCTATTGCGAGTGTTAAGGGATGCCGCCATAGTTGAAGCAGGGGGATTCACTTACCATAAACGAAAGAACCATACCCAGGACAGCCGCTTGCCTGTTGAGAGTCGGCTCGGGGTCACTGAGGTTGTCGGTCTTGCCGAGCAACTCCAAAATGTTGCCCATTGGCACGCGGGATCTTGGAGATCTAGATCGTTGCAGTTCGCATAGTTTAAGGGCCTTCCGTTGCCTGAACTCCACGTTCCGGCTGCGATGAATTCTGCTCGCTTCAAATGTCCCGGCGTCGTCCTCGTCCTCGTCCTCGTCAACCCGCGGGAATGTGTGGAACACCGTTGGGAGCAGCGTCGAAGAAGCAAGTGCGTACACGAGTGTCACAGAGGGAGGGGGAACCGGGGCATGATAAGTGAATTCAAGTCCAACAATGAAAGACGTCGGGTCTGCAGATGGATCGGATGAGGATGAGGGGGGGGGCGTGTCTGGAGCAGCTCTAGGAAACTATACAGTGGTGCGCGCCACGGTACCCAGAAAAGGCCGTATGCACTGGGGGCCCTGCACACGTGGGACTGCCACTCTGGAAGCGGAAACGCACCGGTATAGGACATGGTAGTCTGATATCCTCTCATCGCTAGACCAGTTTGTTTCAGTTTTTACAAACAAATTAGACTGGCGTTTTGGCACCGCCAAAAGGGCCAAGATCGCTGGGTGTCAGTGTGTGCGGAGAAGGGCAAATAGACGCATTTGAGATTCCTGTGTGATGGGTTCGCGACAGCCGAGACAGGTAGGTGTATGGAGTTTGTCTCTCAAAAAGAAAAGGAGAAAAAAGTTCTGCCTTTTGGCAGGGATCGGAGATGCAGAAGTTTCGTTCCCCAACGTTTTGACAACTGATATCTGACCCCACAAGCCGACCGGCCGGCCATAGGTGCGAAGGGTCATTTAGATGATGGATGACCATACTCGTGTGGTGCGCTAGACGTGTAAATGCAATGCTGACCATGCGTGATTCACGAATGAATCAGGTATGCTTCTGTAAGACATCTTCATCGGCCTTACTACATCACATCTCCTTATCTACAGAGTAGGCGTGCCGAGAGCAGATACACGAGGACGGTTCTGACATGACGCGCATTTTTCGCTTCCCTTCTTCTCTCGCCCTTCCTGGCAAAGTCGTATCCTCGGCTACGCCATATGCCCACATGAAAGTTCAAGGGGATCGTATCCCGGTTCCGTGGCCTCATCTTGGGAACCGAATGCAACGTGATCCCGCGGGCAAACACACAGGTGGTCATTTACAAGGAGTATTGTCCCGTCCCTCCCTTCCTGGGCAGCTGCGAGTCCGAGAAGGGCGGGGAGAGTCCGCGAAGACTTTAGCGCCTCAGGAAATATTGACAGGACAAACAACTTTACCCGACGCGTTCGTGTGTTGGTCTTTCCCCTGCGGCCTACCTTTTTTCAGACGAGGGGGATTGACGAATCAGCAGTCTGGTAGAACGCCAGTCGATTGTGGAGGGTTCGCTCAGGCGAACGCGGCATTGGTCCGTCGGTGGCCAAGAATAAGCCAGGATTCCCCTAAGAGCCCATCCGTCGGGATCGACGGCTACGGCTAGAGAGCCGAGACAGCCCCATTGACAAGCCGTCTCAGGCTCCAAGAAGGTTTGGTCGCATCCGGGCGTTACACCTTTATCCCCGTCCTCGCCCGCCATTTCTCTTTCTTTCATCACCGGAAATATGGCCACAGCTTTCATCACGCAACAGGCCAAGCTTCCAGGGGTGAGACACCATAGAGGGGGCCCGCTACTGATCGACGTCCACTTGGAAAGTCTGGCCGGATCTTTGGCCACCGGAAAAAGGCAAGCTATCTTACTTATCTGGTTAGCCCGATAAGAGCCAAGAGAAGCCAGAGATCAGCAATTGGTGACGATGCGTATGTGATGACTCTGGCTGACGTGTAAACAATTTCCAGACGAGCAGGCCGGCCCCAAAGTCGTTTGGAATCAACATAAGCACAATTGATAGGTTCATTGCGGTGCGGCACATAATCAGCCACAACCTCCGATATGGTATCCTATCCACTCCTGTCGAGCCACGCCACTGACTGCAGCACCGTTGAAGCCCGCCCAAATAACGCAGCCCGATTCTTCTAAAGCAGTATCACATCAAGCCATAAAGACATAGATTTGTTACAAGACACAGGGCACCAAAACCTAGAAACATTGTCATCGTTCCTTTCAGCCTCGGGACAGCTGCTGCTGCGATCCAGCAAGTACGCCTGAATCGCAACCTAACAACGACGACGGTTGAAAGTATGCTCAAAGGGAGCCCAGACTGCATGAGGATGGGACTCGATTTCCCTTGTCCGATGAGTGGATCAGTCTTTCAACTAGTCTCAAGAAGCGACTGGACCAAGGTTCCCATCCCAGTTAGTATGTTTTTCACCTATTTTATCGACGGTACAAGCCGATGGTAACTGCACTGGCCGACTTCAGATAACATCAATGGTGCCATGGGTCGATGTTGTACGTCGCAAATCAGCCCATCAAAATTTCATCACTACGAATTACATGGATGGACCCGTCTTTTCGTCAGAACAATGCTTCGATAGTTTTACTCATCTCCAGGCAAGTTTGAGCCCTTCGAAGAGACTATCGAAGATGGCACAGAGCGTTCCACTCATTGATCACCCTTCTGGTGAAAGAAAAGGTTAGAGGCTATCCCCATGTGCCATGTCGAGGAGTTCTTGAACGGCAATGGAGTCGCCGGCGGCAAGCCACACTGCCAGTGCTCTGCATCGCGGGCTGCTGCTGCCACGCGACTGTGCTGCATCACGCCATTTTGATCAATAATACCATAGTCCCAGCAAAGCCCCGGCCTCAACACCAGCTACAGCCATCCCTCTTGTCCGTGCCTGTAGACTCGATGTTGTCAATTACCATCGATATGCGCTAGCCAAAGCGTCATTGAAGCTCCAGCCCGAATTTCGTCTGGCTTATTTTTGCAGCGCCGAGAGCTCAAAGGCGAGGACTCTGCAGACCAAGTAGGCTAGATACCTTTCCGGCCGAAAAGACTTGGGCTTGCCATTGTGAGAGAGGGGCCATGCCATTAGCCGGAACATTCTGCCGCCTCTCCTCTATCCCCCTTTCTCTCCCGGCTCTGGCTGTGGCTCGATCAGTCAAATTATTGGGATGAGAATCGTGGAAGACCTAGCCTTGTTCTATTGTCACCTACTATTGTGGTAGCGGACCATCGACGGCTTTGTCGCCGAGTCCCTCCTTTTAGGAAAGGTGTCGTTCCGAGGAACTGGATCACACCACCCACCTCTCATCGCCACGTGAGAAGGAGACGGAAAAGGCAGCATGGAACGAGTAGCGGTCTTGCAAACGCTACCAATGGAGGACACTAACGAGTATTACAATAGCTAGTGCCTCAAATTGCGAACGCTATCAACGTAGAGTCGCCTCGAAAGTAGTTGGAAAGATCTCGGCAAATAGTTTAGGGTAGAATAAAGGAGAAAGGGGGTGTAGTCTACTACGAAGATGGCACCTTGGATGCTTGTTGGCAAAGGGGCGGCACTATGACCTTGATAGAAACTGGGGATTAGGAACAGCCCTGACACGAAACATGTTTGTCTTCAGCTTCCATATATTGTCAAATACGTGATGAAGTCTTGTTGGTCCACCAGCCGCTGCAAAGCTTGGTTCTGCCTTTTCATGGGGGCACCATCCAATGTGTTGCCTGTCAGCATCCACTGGTCGCTTAGGAATCACATACCCGAGCCAGAACGTTTTCACAGAGAAGTCTCTAACGCAGCCTTGGGAAGGGACTTCCAAGAGGGTTAGACCACACATGAACCAAATTTGGTCTCGCATGACAGCGTGGGTTCCGCGGCAGGTGGCGCAGGAAACTGAACTTGTCATCCTTGTTGGCCATGTAAAACGACTTGAGCATCCGAAATCACCGGTTCATCTATGGAAGCGTGGTCGAAAACCCGGGTTCTCTCATAGCTATGGTCGGGGGTGGTTGATAAGGCAAAAGACATCATATGTTTCGTTGACTACACCGGTGACGTGACCGGTGTTGTATTTGTCGTTTCTAGCATCAAAAACAAAGCATACTAGACATGGGCTCTCAACCGTGAGATCAACGGTGCGGCACCAAATGTGGTCCCTGACTCGAGCTCGTAGATGAATGCTTCCCCGCGAAGGTTCCACCGTTATCTTGCTCTTGCTGTTTGCGACGACTGGGAGTTTACCTCTAATTCCGAATGCTTTCCGGCCTATGAGCCAGGCCAGTATAATGAAGCAATCAAGTGGATAATAGGCCTCGAACATTCCTGTTTCCTCATTTGTTTCCTGGGCAAAGTACTGGTGACAAAACTGTAAAAAAGAATGCGGCTGCCGCTTGCCAGAATTCCGACTGATGTCGTAAGGATGCTGCTTAAAGTTGTCTTTCGCTGACAGCTGCGTATCTCACAATTTGATGTGGACAAACGCTCCAGCCTCGTAGACCGGGGGTAAGAACGACTCAAGTCACTGTGATAACCCCTAGGCACAGAATTACCCTTCCAGTTGAATTTAACGAAGACGGACTGTAGCATAAGGCTGGCGGCCGGTGCAGTTCTACTTACCTAGCCTTCAAGACTGTACTGGCCCCGTCTGAGAACACACCTGTAGTCATGTGCCGTGCGTTTAGCCTAGAAGCTCAGGTATACGGATGAGATAACGTAGTTTCTGATTAGGAGAGACAGACAACACATTATTCATCTAGCTGGACTCCTTGTTCCCTTGCAAGGCTGTTTCTTTACTATGCCCTGGAAAGTGGGCGCAACAGATTCCACAAGATCGTCGTCGACTGATGACTAGCCGTTCATAATTCTCTGGAGAAGATTCCTGTGCAGCTCGTGAGGGTCGCAAACTATGCCGAAACCCATGGTATTTAGAGGGCCGGTAGCGCACAGTCTGTTGTTATGCGGGGTGGAGGTTGTAAGAAATTTGAGAAGAGGACAAGGGGAGGATGAAAGAACGGAAGGAGACTGGGTAGTGACGCCTAACAGGCCGTTTTTACCATGTACTCATCCGCAATCTGAGCAAACTACTTTCACGAGCTATACAGGTGTGGTTACTGTCCACATAGCTAATGGTATCGTTTTGTTACGTGACAACTACTTACAGTAGCAGGCCCAGATAACCTCGTTAGAGAAACCGAAGCGGGAGCCCACCTCCTCCTGCCACAATATATATTAGACGGCCCACTCACTAAGTCAGTCATATTCTTCGGGCTCCGTTCAGTCATTCAAGCGTCGTATCTAGGCAACATCGCCTACGGAGCGGATTATCCCCACGATGCTTGGTGTTTGGTTCGCCCCTCCGAGGG